CAAAATAAAAAATATTTAACAGGTACAATTTAAAATAAAAACATACTCTTTTCTTTCGTCCGGCTCTAAGGATCTCATTTACCTTTTGCATCATTGTACTTAACATTAAAAATATGATAATATATATAATTTTTTTGCACAAACATTATTATAATAGTATTATAAGATATTTCTCTTAATTAATATTATATTTTTATATAATAAATAATATTTTAAAAGCAACACGCGAAAAATAGTATTATTTTCTTTATTGCAAAACTTTTGAAACCACCCAAAACAAAGCAAAACACATTTTGATAGTAGTATTTATTTATTTATTATATACTCTCTCTGACTCTTAACAATCTATCCATTATTCTATTTTGGTCCTTCCTTATAACAAAATATTCATTTATCTTTTTTAATAATGTACTATCTACCTAAAATTACAAATACCCTTCCAATTTACAAATATATTACACAAATGTCATTACATTTATATCATACAATACTAATAGGGTTAATTTAGTCATTTTACTTTTATTTCTACTTTATCCTACTATAATACTAATATTTCTAAAACTCCGTACAAAAAGAAAATGAATATACAGATATGAGATGAAAGAAGTATTATTATTTTGTTACAAATGATATTACACTAAAATTTTAATTTTAATCTATATATTATATAATGTTGATTATAATTTGAAATTAGAAAGTAAACAATCTTATATATATTTGAAAGACAATGCTCTCTATATGTTACACTTAGTTAACATTTTTTAGAATAATTTAATATACAAATATTCAATAAACTTATACTATAATTCAATAATTTTCTTTAAGTAAAAAAATAAAAATAAAAAAGAAAAAAGAAAATATTTTTAGTGGAAATATTCCCAAAATGCATTTTCTAGATAGTCAAATTTAACATAATGGATCAAGTACTCAATATTTGCTTTGAACCATGTTGTAACAAATTATTCAAAAGATTTAATAAATAAAATTTGACTATAATATATTTCTAAATTTGACATTTAGGATTTACTTCATCTTTAACAAATTGATCACAAAATTCATTTATAATTGCATTTAATAATATATTAGTGGAGCAATATATGATATATATATGTAGATTAAATTTTATAATAATTGACTTTTTCAAATTTCATTTATAATTATTGACTTTTCAATAATAGTAATAATAATAAAAACTAAATAATTATTGTATTTTTATCTTATTTTACAAAATATTTTTAAGGACAAGTCAATTAATATAATTTTACATCCTACTTATTCTATAATACTCCCTCAATTCTTTAACAATCTATCCATTTTCCCATTTTGGTCCGTCCCATAACAAAGTATCCGTTTCTTTTTTTAATAATTGTACTATCTACCTAACATTACAAATACCCTTCTAATTTATAATATATTACACAAATGTCATTACCTTTATATCATACAATACTAATAGGGTTAATTTAGTCTTTTTACCTTTATTTTTACTTTATCCCAATATAATACTAATATTCCTAAAATCCAGTGCATAAACAGAATAGATAGATAAATTGGGGACGAAGGGAGTATAAAGTATTATTTTAATTTACATAACAAAAATAAAGGAATAAAGTATTAAAAAAAAATAAAGGTTTCATGTACATAGAATATTTTTGAGTTTTAAAAAATAACAAAAATAGTAAAAATTTAGGTGACTTTGTTTTGTAGTTTTAATTTGAAACATTTTAATATTAAATACGAAAAAAGTTATAATATAAAAAATAATAGTTTATGTTAAGTTATTATTTTTCTTAATGAATAGTGTATATATTACTCCATTTGTCCACTTTTAAGGGTTACATTTATCATTTATGTCATTGTACTTAACATTAAAAATATTCTTATATATGTATATATATATTGTATAAATGTCATTATATTAGTATTATAAAACACTAATCGAAGTATTTTTATGATTTTTTCTTAATGTGTACTATATTTTGATATAATAATTAATATTCAAAGAGCAATAAACAAAAAATAAATAAGACCCTTAAAGCCGGACAGAGATAATATATATTTTGGATGAATATTTTATAATATTAGTCGGCAAGTGTGTTGAAATTTTTTTTAATGGAAAAAATAAACTAGTAATGACATTCGATGTGATCTTTGCAAGATCAAGTAGATTTTTAAATATTATACTCCCTCCGTCCAGTTAGAAAGTATACATATTTCTATTTTGGGACGTTTGATTATAAAGTAAATATTTTATTAAATACCTTACTTTTTTCTATAAATACCTCTACTTTACATCATATCATTACTTTTACACAAAAAAGCAAAGGCAAAAATATCATCATTATACTACTTTTAACTACTCATTATAATTAAAATACTATTATTTTTTAAACACTGCGGGAAAAGTAATTGTATATTTTATGTATGGACGAGGTAGTATTTTATTTATATATATATATATATTATCAAAATTTTTAAAAATAATTATGTAAAATAGCTCAAAGACTTGGCCATCACTTCATATAACATCATGTTGATAAGAAGCAATAATTTTCTTGAAATGAAAAGTTTTCAAAAGGGAAAAATCACACATAATTCTTGGAAATGAAAAGAAAATTTCCACACAAAAGATACAAGAAAATCTTCAAAGAAGAAAAAGGGGAAGATCTTCCCAAGAAATTAATAATGAGAAAAAATCTACTAATAAAAATAAAATAAAAAATAAAAAATCTTACATAGTACAAAACAAAATCAATTCACATCAAAATGGGGTCACATTTGAAATTCACATTGAGCCAAACAAAATAAAAGAAAAGGATTTTAATCTTTTTGAAAACAACCCATCATACTTAACTAGGTAATCTCCATTAATCAAAGATTTCTTTTTATTATTTTTTTTTTAAAAAAAATAAAAACAAAAAATATTATCTCTTTTCTATTTAAATAAATAAAAATAAAAATAAAAATGGTCATGCAAATGGGATTAGTGGGACAAAAGAGAGAAACTGCATTAGGAGTTGTTAGGACATGCACGGTGTCCATAAATGGACTGTCAATTCTTGGAAGCTCCCGGGACCTCAACTCTCACCGAATCTGAACCCTCGATTCCTCCCTATCAACGGCCCAGATTAATTCAGGGACAGAAACCCTAGATTTTGCTTATAAAAAGGACGGGTGTATTTCTTTTCCGATTCTAAAAGTGTGTTTGGTTGATGTTTTCGTTTAAAAGAATTTTTTTTTTTATATAAAATATAAAAAATTGTGTAAATAATATAAAAATAATAAATATATAATGTATTTATATATTTTTTTGTCTAATTAAATTTTTTTTATCGAATAATATAATTCTAATATTGAATCGGTTCAATCCCAATAGAAAAATTGTTACGATGCTAATTTTTCAAATTAACCCCCATAGTATATACAAACAACACATATTCTTATTACATACCGTACATGTTGTTGTGTGTAATAAAAGACATGTATTGTTTGTTCATAATAATATTTATGTTGTATAAGAGTATGTCATGTGCTAAAATCAATTGTTGTGTGCGTTGTATGTGACTATAAGATATAGTATTAGTTCATATATTGTATTTGTATTATATTAACATATACAATATATTGTTTGTAATAAAATTATGTAGTGTCGAACAATATACGATATACTTTTCAACGCAGTAATAAATTCTAAATTCAATACTGTAACCACCGCCGTCCCAATAAAATTAAGAGTGTGTTTGTTCGTGGGTTTTAGGTTTTAGATTTAAATTTTTGAAAAGTTATTTGATTTGATATAAATAGACGTTGATTGATGTTTTGAATGTTAAATAAATTTATAGTAGAATATAAAAAAAGAAAAGTACTCTCTATGTCCCACATAATTTATCCATATTTTCTATTTTCGTTCGTCCCACATAATTTATCATTTTTTAAAAAAAATATAATTATACATTTTAATCTCATTTTAAATTTTACAATTTTTTAAAATTTTAATTAAACTATTTAGTTATCTTAATCTTAATCTACAATTGTTTTTATTATACAATAATTATTTTTACTAATACACTTTTTAATTACTTACTAATTATACTTTACATAAATTCTCGTTTCTACAGTAACATGCCCATATTACATAGGACGGATGGTGTAATTGTTTGATACTCCCTCTGTCCCATAAGAAGTATTTCATTTTTCATTTTTGTCATTGTATCATTTCCTAATTTAGTAATTGTATTATCTACTTAACATAATATACTTTTTTCAACTTACAATATATTACAAAAATTTCATCACCTTTATATTACACAATACTAATAAGTATACTTTTGTCTTTTTACTATAATCCAATATAATACTAATATTAAAAAATCTAAATCTAAAAACCAAACGTTACTCTTTATATGAGACAAAAGGAGTATGATCTCTTTGAAAAATATATATATATATATATAGTACTTTCTCCACCCTAGAAAATATATATATTTTTATTTTGGGATGTCAAATTACAAAATAATAATTTTATTAAATATCATTTTTTTTTCACAAATATTTTTACTTTACATCATATCGTTACTTTTATACCAAAAAGTAAGAACAAAAATATAATTACACTACTTTTAATGATCAACTATAATTAGAATATTATTATTTTTTAAATTTTGCCTAAAAAATAAACGTATATTTATTAAGTTGAAAGAGGAAGTAAAATTTTATGGTAAAAAAAAATATATATATATATATTTATATAACTTTCTAATTAAATCCAAACCCGACAAAGCTTATGGCCATGGGGAGCAAATCTTGAAAGGGAATCAAATGAAATTGCCCACTCTTTCCACTGTTTCCCCACCTGCCCAAGATATGGTAAGAGCACATGATTTCACACTATGGAAAAGGGGCCATTGCTGCCATCATCTGTATCTCTTCAAGGGATTTTGGTGGGGCCCATTACCCACCCCCACCCCCTACCCTACCCACCTCCACACAAAAAGCCCTAATGACTTTCTTCCTTCTTCACATTTTAAAACATCCCCAAACCCTCAAAAGAATCAATCAATGTGCAGTGGTGGCTTCTTGTTTTGGCCCCTTTTTTGTTGATTTAGGGATTTCTGCAATTCTTTGTTTGTTTGTGTATATATAGATTTGAGAAGAAGACCACCATAGTTGTTGCTTGACTTGCAATTTCAATTTGGAGATTTGTTTGGGGAAAATCTTTGGATGAGATCCGTCAGATCTTGCTTTCTGGGCTGTGGAAATTTGGTGGGACTTTGTTTTTCTATAAACCTCATTTAGATTAGCGACCCAACCAAACACGCCCTTGCCCATTATCATCTTCTTCTTCTTCGAAACCCTAATTTTATTCCGATGGGCATGGCGGCTGCCGAAGCTCAGTTTCATGTCCTCGCCGTCGACGACAGCCTGATTGACCGGAAATTGATCGAGAGGCTTCTGAAAACATCGTCTTATCAAGGTAATTTGGGATGTGTATGGAAATGGGAATGAAATTAGGGTTTTTTGTGATTTGGGGATGAAATTAGGGTCCTTGTGATTTGGGGATTTTTTTGTGACGGATTTCGGTGCGGTGCTGTTTGGTGCAGTTACTACAGTTGATTCTGGAAGCAAAGCTTTGGAATTCCTTGGCTGGCATGACAATGATATGTGCACCAAACAGGAATTAATTTCCCCCAAAATTAATCAGGTTAATATTTTTAAAATAATAATAATAATAATAATAATAATAATAATAATAATTTCAATTTAGCTATTTTTATTTATTTATTATTTTTTTAATAATTATAATTTTGGCAATTTTGAATTATAGGATGTGGAAGTGAACCTTGTAATTACAGATTATTGTATGCCTGGAATGACCGGCTACGATTTACTCAAGAAAATGAAGGTATTTATATTTAAAATTAAGTAATTAATTTTATTTTTATTTATTTATTTATTTATTTTTGCATTTTTTTGTTATATAATTATATCCTGTAATATTCTGAGGAGGTCCGGGGCTCCGAACACCATATGGATCTACAGTGTGGTGCGGATCGCTTTGGTATTTGGGTCCTGGGCGCTCCCAAGAATACTAAGATCATAAAAAAATAAATTGAATTATTTTCTTATAATATAAAATCAAAATTATTCTGTAATAAATTCAATCATATATATATATAAAATTATTGTTTTATTTAGGTAAGATTTTCTTTTTATGTTTAATAATTTTGAAAAAAAAATTAAGATAGTAAAACAATTGGGCTAATTAGATTTTTCTTTTTTTTTTTTGTAAATATATTCGAGGTTATTTTTTTAAAAAAATAATATGGTAATTATTAAATATATATATACAAAAAAACTTATTTAATTTTATTTAAAAAAAATAGTGTCAAAAAATTGACAAATTGTACATGTAAATAAAATCAGAGGATATGTATATAGATTGGGTTTGATGTCACCACATGGCCCCCTCTCTTATTTTCTGGTCATTCAATTTCAAGATCGATACGAATCTTGTGGAAAATCAATAATAATAATAATAATAATAATAATAATAATAATAATAATAAAATATTGTATTATTAACAATGGGGTGTCCACATGCACATCCTTCTGGTGCTGTTTTTCTGTCTGTATTTCTATAATTATTATTAATTTTATTGTAATAAAAATAAATATTATAATTAATTGAAATTTTTGAAATTATTATTATTATTATTATTATTATTTGATTTTATATATTATAAATAAAATATTTATAACCTTAAAAATGAATTAGTTAGTAAATAATTATGTGGGGTTTATGTTGACAGGAATCTTCAAATCTGAGGAACATACCTGTGGTTATCATGTCCTCTGAGAATGTCCCCTCAAGAATCAACAGGTAATTCAAATAAACTGCTCCCTCTTTTTTACACGAAATTTTAAAAATATTAGTATTATATTAGAATATAATAAAAATAAAGGTTAAAAAAAAAAAAAAAAAAAAAGACTAAATTGCCTTTATTAGTATTGTACGATATAAAATTAATGAGATTTGTGTAATGTATTGTAAATTGGAAGGATATTTGTAATGTTAAATAGATAATATAGTTACTAAGAAAGGAAATCGATACTTTGTTATGGACAGAGGAAAATGAAAAAATGGATAAATTGTTAAAACACGAAGAAAGTATTAGGATTAGTATTTATTTTATTTTATTTCTTGCTATATTTATTTTTAACACAATTTTTCAATGATATAATTTGATAGTTATTGTGACCATTTTGGGTGTGTTTGGAATTTATTTTGATTCGGCATCAAAATAAATATTACTGGATATGTACGGGTTTTTTAAAAAATATATTCTCTCCGTCCGTCTCGGTAATATTTACCTTTTGCGTCATTATACTTAATATTAAAAATATTCTTATATTTATATAATTTTTTGTACAAATATTTTTTTATTAGTATTATAAGAACTAAATATTTTTTCAATTTTTTCTTAATTTGTATTACGTTTTGATATAATAGTTAATATTTAAATATTACCATGCAAAAGGTAAATGAGACCCTTAAAATCGGACGGAGGTAATATAAGTATATATATTTAAACTTAAATTCGTATATCAAAATAATATATATATATTGTTAGTAATTACATTTAGGCAAAAATAAAATATATTTTAGTATTAGTGTATGCTTATTTTTACTAACATTAAAATAAGAGATACTTGGGGTAGACGAAAATGATAAATATATATATTTTTTGAGTTAGGACGGAAAGAAAAAGTATATATTATAAATTTTATTTTATATTTATTTGTATAAATATTATTATATAAATTAACATATAATTTTTATTTTTTTTTTAAAAAAAAAACATGTAAAAAACAATTTTATTTTATTTTATTTGCATGGATTGAATAGGTACCGAGTTATATATTATCTTCATTCGACTCTAAGAGTCTCATATATTTTTTGCATGTTGATTTTTTACTATTAATTATTATATCAAAACGTAGTACAAATTATAAAAAAATTGCAAAAATACTTTCATTAGTGTCTTATAACATTAATATAAGAATATTTGTACAAAAAATTTATACAAATTTAATATTGAATATAATAACGTAAAAAAGTAAATGAGATCCTTAAAAGGAGACGATAGTTGCTAAAAAAATATATTTATTTATGCTTGTACATAGTTTAAGCATGAAATGAAACATAGTTTGATTGAGACCGTCGGATCTAAAATCAAAACTGAAATGAACGGCTGTGATGTGGACAGGTGTCTAGAAGAAGGGGCAGAAGAATTCTTCCTAAAGCCAGTGAGGCTAGCAGATGTGAATAAACTGAAACCTCATATGATGAAAGCCAAGGGCAAAAATGTCCAAAAAAATGAAGAACACAGCCCAAACAGCGAAGAAGAAGAAGCAGAAATTGAAGTAGAGATAAATCTAGAGTCACCGTCACAGGCACAGCCGCAAGCGTCACAGACCAATAGCAACAGCAAGAGGAAGTCCGTGGAAGAAGGCCGGCTGTCACCTGACAGAACAAGGCCCAGATACAACGCCAACGGCCTCACAGTCATGTCAAGTTAGCCAACCTTTTATTTTATTTTATTATTATTTTTTAACAAAATTCTATAGTTTTTTTTTTTAAAAAAAAAAAAAAAATTAAATACAATGGGATATATATGTATGTATGTATATAGAAAAAAATTATATAAATTTGTGTACACTACTTACCTTTTGACTTTGGAAATTTCCAAACAATTTTGTACCACTGAGGATGAATATATGAAGAGGCAATAAGGGCTTATTATTTTATTTTTTTCTATCCAACTGACATATTTTTATTTTTGGTAAAAATTATTAAATTAAAATATATTTAACAAATATAAATCAATTTAATTAATAACATAATATATAATATTATAAATGACGTAAGAATTACTCAATTTTTTTTTATTTTTAACAATATATATATTATATTTTGATATAAATTATATATTAAGATTAATATAAAATAATTAATTAAGATTAATAAAATAAATTATAAAATTTAAAATGTGATTAAAGTATATAATCATATTTCTAAAAAAGTAAATGACAAATTATGTCAAACTGACCGAAATAAAAAAATTGGATGATGAAGAAAATAATTAAAAATATATTAGTAAAACAATTATCTTAAAAATAAATAGTTATAGATTAAAATAACTAATTAATTTAATTATTTTTTTAAAAAAAATTATAGTAAAATTTAAAATAAGATTAAAATATATAATTATTTTAAAAAAAATAAAATAACATGAGATGTTCAACAAACAAAAACGATAATGTAAACACGATAAATGAAATCGAATGAGTATTTTATATAATAAAAATTAATAAAAAATAAGTAAACATATGAAAACATTAATATATCCTTCATCAAAGGTTATAAGTTTATTTTATAGTAAATTATATAACATCCCCTTTTGTTTTTAGTAAAAATGCATAAAATATTTTGTATTTTATTTATTGCGTAAAACCTTCTTGTGTTAATGTAAAATTTGCACGAAACATCCTTCTTGTCAAAAACTGATATTTAATTCTAAATAAATGCCTAAATTACGTAAGTTTTATAAAAATAAAAGAAAAAATATCTTAAATAATTTTTTTGCATTAAATAAATAATTTATTAATCCTTCATTTTATAGTTTTTGGAGACAAATTGTTGTCTTATTTTTTTATAAAAATTATAAAAATAAATAATTGATCAATTATTTATTTATTTATTTTATTCAAAAAAAATTATTTAAGATATTTTACGTTTTTTATTTGTATAAAACTTACGTAATTTAGGTCTTTATTTCGAACCAAACATCAGTTTTGGACAAAGAGGTGTTTCATGCAAACTTTTCATTAACACAAGGAGTTTCACGTAATAAATAAAACACAGAATATTTTGTACATTTTTAGTAAAATACAAGAATGTGTTATATAATTTAAACTTTATTTTATTACGTTTTTGTGTAAATATAATAAAATAGTCTTTGTTAAATCAAGTTATATTAGTTTATGTCTCAAATCAATCCATTTTTTTGTTGTATCATTAGCTTGCTTACATATATTGACCTGTTTTTAACTTTTTATTTTTATTTTTTAATTTTTTATATTATATTAAAAATCAATTTTACATTCAAAATATCACATCAATACCTATTTATATCACATCATACAACTATTCAAATTTAAAATTTTTACTATTCAAATCCCAAGTCAAAATCGAAACCCCCAAACAAGTAAGATCAAGTTTAATTTATTCATTTTTATTCTGTTTTTAAAATTATGTTTTACACATATATATTTTAATTATACCTTTGGAGTTTAGTTTTATCTTTTATTTTTAATTAGATGACGTCAAAAATAAAAATAAAAAATAATATTGTATATTAAATTTAAATTTAACTAATTAAAATCAATCTATTTAGGATGTATTTGTTTATTTTCTTTGTAAGTTTGAAATATTTTTATGTTAGGTATGTGAAAATATGTCGTTAAATAAATAATAATATTTTGTATTGAATTAGTAAATTTTTATGAATGTAAAATTTACAGGGTAGACAGTTAATTGGATCCCCTTATTACTTTAGTCCCGTAAGTGGAGCATATCGCAAACTAGTCTCATAAGTGGAAAATTTTTGCTATTTTAGTCTTTCGGCGCCGGAGACGCCTGCGTGGCTTGTCGGAAGCCACATGTCCTCCAGGTCAGCGACACCTGGCGGACACGTGATTTTTATTTTTTATTTTTTATTTATTTATTTATTTTTTCAATTTGACCAAATAAAAAAATTAAAAAAAGTAAATAAAATTTAAAATAAATTTTAAAAAAATGAAAAATAAAAAATAAAATCCACGTGTCCACCAGGTGTCGCTGACCTAGCTGACACGTGGACTCCGGCGAGCCAAGCGGGCGTTTCTGGAGGACTAAAACAACGAAAATTTTTCACTTATGGGACTAGTTTGCAACAGACTCTACTTACTAGACTAAAATGATAAAGGGAGTCCAGGAACTAAAAAAATAATTTACCCAAATTTATATTATTTATTATGTGAATGTGTGTTATATTTTATATTTTATGATATTAATTGTGAAATATATTATAAGTTTTCGTTGAATTTTTTACCCGAAATTATTTCAATAATTTTATTTTTAATTAGAAGTAAAACATGAAATATCTTGCATATCATATTGGAAAAAAAAAAAAAAAAAAGAAAATACTAAAAATCAAAAAGTTTTGGTATACTAAAAACTTAAGTTCCATATATATATTATACCAAATTTTTTTAATACGATATTAGTATATAATTTGACACTATTAATATATATCGAACTACCAAAATTATTTTGGTATACAATGAAAAAATAATACTATATTACGTTGATACTTTAGTATTCAATATATTGGTATATATATCCATAATTTGGTACATCTAAAAAAATAAAAATATATTGGCTGAATTTTCTTAAAAAAATAAAAATAAAAATAATTAATAAATATTAACCATATATTTGGTTAAGATTTTGGATTTGGATTCAAATTTTGAATAATAATTCTTTTAATTTGAATTGTTATTTAATGTAACATAAGAAATATTGATGTTCTGTATGTCTAATTGATTTTATAATATAAAAGTAAAAAATAAGTATTTGATTGAATATTGTTAAAAAAAAAATATATATCCGTTCATCCATAGTTATAGATTGACTTTTGGGGTCTGAGTACAGAGAATTGTGTTAAAAATATAAAATATATTATTTTTAAGTTGAACATTTAATTTTATTTTTTTTTGAATGGCTGTTTTTTGTTTTTTTTGTTTTTTTTACTTTTTGAGTTTTGAAGAAAATATTTTGTATTGTTTACTATTATTTTTTGGAATCGCAATTAAAAAATAGTGTTGGAAGAATAAAGTGTAACTAAATACAATTTTTATTTATATTTTAAATAATTACAATGATAATTTATTACAAATAATTTAAATTTATATTTATATATATATTTTTTAATTTTTAGTATTTTTACAAATACTTACTCCAATAATTTGTCTAAATATAAAAATTATTTGCATTAAAATTAATTTATATTTATTTTATCTATAAAACATTAAATAAATAAAAATATATCATTTTATTACAATTATCATATCAACCAAATTCAAAATAATTAACTTTCTAATGCATTAGGATTTTGGCGTAATGGGGTGAGACGGAGGGAGTATGACTTTTTTTCTCTTTTTAAAAATTTTCGAATAAACTTATTTTACATTAATAATTTATAGTTAACAGGTATAATTGTCTCCGTTAATGAAATTGTGAGTAATAAATATATTTAGGGTGTGTTTGTTTGGTTGTTTGGATTTTAAATTGAGATTTGAATAGTGAAAATTTTGAATTTAAATAGTTATATGATGTGATATAAATAAGAATTGATGAGATGTTTTGAATATAAAATTAATTTTTTGTATAATATAAAAAATAAAAAATAAATGTTTGATTTAATTTTTTTGGAGGGAAAATTTTGTGTGAATAGTAGAAATTCCACAAAATCCCTCAAACAAACACACCCTAATAGAGTTCACTTTATTTGAGTTTGAGTTCGAGTTATAGTATTTTGATTTGATATTTTATGAGTTGAAATAATATTTGATTTATTTAGAATTTATTTTATTTGGGTTATTTGGTTTTGATTGAAATTGAGATTTTTTCAAAAAAAAATTGAATTTTAATCTAACTAGTATATCGGACTGAATAAACCAAATCAAATCAAACATAATTAATTTTATAAAGGGTAAATTGTTTTTTTAGTCCCGGACCCCTTTATCATTTTAGTCCCGTAAGTGGAACCTGTCACAAATTAGTTCCATAAGTGAAAGTTTTTCGCTGTTTTAGTCCTCCGGTGCCGGAGACGCCCGCGTGGCTCGCCAGAGGTGACATGTCCGCCAGGTGTCCTGCCAGGTCAGCGACACGACACTTGGCGGACACGTGGCTTTTATTTTTTATTTTTAATTTTTTTTTTCAATTGGACCAAATAAAAAAAATTTTAAAAGGCAAATAAAATTAAAAATCAATTTTAAAAAATAATAAAATCCACGTGTCAGCCAGATGTCGCTTACCTAGACACGTAGCCTCCGGCAAGTCACGTGTCCGTCTCCGGCGCCGGAGGACTAAAACAACAAAATTTTTTCACTTATGGGACTAGTTTGCGACATGTTACGATACTAAAATGATAAGGGGTCCAGTTAGGGGACTAAAAAAACCAGTTTACCCAAAAATATTTATTTATTGAAGGGAAAACTAGAAATAAAGAGGCGTTCAGTAAATCTTAGGTGATGTATGATATTATATGTTACAAAGTTAATTAATTTGATTTATATTTGTTAAATGTGTACTAAATTAGTAATATTTAGCAAAAGATATCATTTGTTATAGACCGACTAAAATAAAAATAATATAATTTGTTATGAGACGGAATTAATAATATTTTTAGATATTCAATTTATAATTAAAATTATTATTATTATTTATAAATAATAATAAATACTACTCTCCCTCCCAGTTTAATTGACCCATTTTTTACTGTATTTAAAATAACAATGTTTAATTAATTAATAATGGTAAATTAGAATATTATTTAATTGTTTATATAATTAATAATATTGATAGTTTAAAATAAATTTAGCATATATGATTAAAAAATTAGAATATATATTAGATATTTTTAAAAATATATTGTAATATAAGAATATTTGCATAATGAATATTATTTTGTAGATAATAAGATTTCCTATAATACAAGTTAATAAAAAATTTTATTTATTTATTAATTAATATAAAGTAATTTTATATAAGATATGAACTTTTAAATATAGATATATATATATTTTTATAGATTAAAAATAATATAATTAAATAAAGGATCTTGAATGAATCTTATATATATATATGATATATGATGTTATGAAGTTAATTAAGTTATATTTGTTAAGTATATTTTAAAACTCTATATCTTTTATAAGATTAGTTTATGTTAATTATAAATTAATAAACTATTTTTATTTACTGGTATTATAGAAAATATTATTCTCTAAGAAATAATATCTATATTGTATTAATTTTTTATTGAGATATAATTTTCAAAATATTTAAATACATATTCTAATTTTTTAAAATTATATGTTAAATTTATTTTAAAACTACTAATATTATTAAATAAATAAAAAATAATAAAAATAATATTATAACTTATTATTATTAACTAATTAAATATCATTATCTTATTTAACGTAGTATCACTGATGAAAGGATTGAATTGACCCGAAACAGGAGAAGTATTTTTTATTTTTCATTAAATTTTTAATTAAAAAGGTAAAGTTTTCATTTTTTGTTTGTATTATTCAAATTTTATTAAAAAATTCATTACAAAAAAAACTGGAAAAAAAAAATAATAAAAAATTAATTATTATTTATTTAAACTAAGATAATAAAATTATATATAGATAATTTTTTACTTGTGTATAAGTTTAACGGACAAAAAACTTATCAATTTTTTTTTTTTTTTTATATTTGGTTTTTATATGTACATGATTATATTTCTTATACACAATTATATATAAATATTCCATAATAAATATATATATAATTTCATTTTTTTAAAAAAAAATTAGATAATTTTATCTATATATTTTTTTTTTGGATAATTGTTGTTGATGTTTATTTATATGAGGGTTAGTGAGGCGATAGAATTAGAACATTATTAGAACGAAGAAGCAAGATGAAGCTGAAGAAGAACAGTCGATGCAGAAGAGAAAACAATATTATGTATGTACATATATATATATATATATATTTCAAATTTGTATGCTTTGATTTTGGATATTATAGTAAGTGTGTTTGTTCCTGGGATTCTTTTTTTTTTTTTTTTTTATTTTTATAATAAAATTTTAATTTGAAATAGTTGTTTAATTTGATGTAAATATGTATTGATATGATATTTGAATCTAACCTTAAAATTTTAGTATAACGTGAGTAAATAAAAAATAGTTGGTCTGATTTGATATTAGTTAAACCAAAATTAAAATTCAAAAACAAACACACCTCAAGAGTAGAATCAGCAATCAGTCGATTCGTATAGTTTTTAAACGGGTTAAATAATGTAACCCTAACCCGACCTATTTGTCGAGTCGAGTATTTGTTGACAGTTTATTATCGTAGGTTCGTGTGTAAGTTCTTGTTGATCTGTATACATAATTAAATTAAAATTTTTAATTCAAATTCAATTATTTTTCATATTTTATCATAGTTTTGTAGGTTCCATGTATAATGAATGAAATTGAATTATTTAAAAATAAATTTAAATGAGTTTAATTAATACGTGGACTAATTATTATATTATAATTATTTTATATATATAATAAATATATTAATTAATATTAATCTATAAACTTATTGGAATCCTTCATATATAATAAGATTAAAATCTTTGTAGTATGTTTATACTATATTTATTTTTATATATTTTTCTCAAATGGGTTTTAAGGAACTAAGATTTTATTTTATTATATAAGTTTTATTTTTATTTTTAGTGTTTAATATTTATGTGGTTAATTGTTAAATATAAATATATTGGGTTATATAATTATTTTATACAATTTTTTCTAATTAAAAATGTTTCTATATACAATTTATTTTCTTTTTATATTAAATTCTAAAAAAAAAAGTTTAGATACTTTTTTTAATTGCAAATTTTAGTAGTTATAAATATTGATGGTTTCATATAATTGATTTTATTTTATTTTACTTTATCTATTTTTTTTTTAAATTTTTTTTTTTGATTTGCCTTATATATGTAATAAGGGTGTGTTTGTTTGGGGGATTGGATTTTGGATTGAGATTTGAATAGTAAAAATTTTAAATTTGAATAGTTATATGATGTGATATAAATAGGCATGATGTGATGTTTTGAATGTAAAATTGATTTTTAGTATAATATAAAAAATAAAAAATAAGTGTTTGATTTAATATTTTTGGGAAAAAAAAATTGGATGAATAATTGAATTTAAATCCAATCCTCCGAACAAACACACTTTTAGATTATCTTATTTGAAAGAACAATTACTATATTTATTTTTTTGTAGATAAAAATCACTTTGAGTTCTAAGAAATAAATATTTTATTTTATTTCATTGTTTTTATTTTTTACTTTTTATTGTGAATGGATAATTTGATAGTAGTAAATTTGTTGTATTATACTCCTCAGTCATTCAAATTTATTTGCTTATTTATTTTTTTGTTATTTAAATTTATTATCGTTTCTTTTTACAACTTTTTCTACTTTTTATTTATTAAAAAAAGTATAAAAAAATCTATTTATACTTATTTTTCTTAGAACTCGTGTCCGATCAAATTAACACACAAGTATTATTTTCTGCAAATATATTTTATTAGCTATTAACAGTAAAATTATAATTAAAAATTAATTTATTTTAAATATTGATTTGATTAAGAATTATTATATATATATTCGAGTTTAATTTTCGGGAAAAAATATATAATAGGAATAAATCTAAACAAATGCAGTATAATTAATTTACTTATTAATTAAAGTTGACTTTGACTTACCGCAGTCATAATTGGGTTTCTATCTAATGAGATCGTAATTTTCTAAAAAGACCCGAGTTTAAAAGTTGTACCTTTTTCAAAGATGGTTGTACCTTTACTTGGCAAGTTGAATTTGGCTTTGGAATAGAACTTGCTATTTATACCGCGTCCGATATCTTCGAATCAAAGCATTTTCAGTAATCTCGGGGAAGTCGGCGGCGGTAAAATCTACCAACGATTTCAGGTGAAGCGGCGATACTTCTCGCAATCGGTTTTTGATTTCAGGTGCGCGCTCAATTTGTTTGTTTTGTTTTGTTTTTCTTTTTTTCGTGAAATTTTTTTGCATGAGTAAGGGATGATTTGCTCTTTTTGAAATTGTATTCGCAGTGATTTCGCGGTCGATTGGGGAAAATAATCAACAATTTCAGGTGAAGTGGCGATTGCTTTTCGAAATGCGAAACTCCCTTTTTTTTTTTTTTTTTTGTGAACAATCTGCATGAGTAAGTGTTGCTTTTGCTCTTTTCGTAATCGTATTCGCAGTAATCTCGCAGTTGGTTGGGGAAAATCACCAACAAGTTCAGGTGAAGTGGCGATTGCTTTAATTTTCGTAATCCGAAACTCAATCTGATTTTTTTTTTTTCGTAGACAATCTGCATGAATAAGTGTTGCTTTTGCGATTTTCTCCTGTGATTTTCATGTTCGTGAATCGTCCGCTGCAATCTGGTTGTTTTTCCGAGCGTCGATTGTTTGTTTTCATCATATCTAGGGTTTCGAGGTTTTTCTTTTTCTTTTTTTTTATAAGAAAAAAAAAATCTATTGCTCGTTCTTCTTTAGATTAAACCTGTGGTGTATTTTGGTTTTGTTCTTGAGATGATGATGATGATTGAAGGCATCGATTTCGGTAATCCTTGTGAAAAAATCGATAATCTGTGTATGAATATGAATAATTGAAAGACGTCAGTGTTAGTTCTTTTGATCATCAACTATGGTTGTGTTTTTTGAAGTAAGTATGACTGTGACTGAAGTTTTGGATTCAAATTTTTTTTAAAAAAAAATTCATATTCATCTATTTTTAATGAAAATCTTGATGTTGTGTTTGCTTGTGTTTTGGATCTTTCGAAATAGAAAATTTGAATTTGGATTTGGTGTTTGGAATGAAAAACATGTATTAAATGTAAAAAAACAACGTTCAAAACACAAATAAACACACAATCTTCGATAAGATTGTGGTAATAACTATGTTAGTTTTCTTCGAACACAGCCATGTTGAATCATCCACTTTAAATTCACAAAGTTAATGTCGGCATTTAATTTGATGTTTTCGAACAAGTGACTACAAAAAAATTCAAGAATAGTTTGGTTGAATTTTATTTTTTTACCTTTAATGAGGTAGTGATAAGCATTTGTCGGCATTCGTATCTTTAAGAAGTATTTATGAGTTCTTGTCGTATTAGTAAAAGTTCCTCGACCAGGGAGCTATGTTCGTCCAATTTAATTGATCTCCGGCAAGTTTAGAATTTAAATTGCCAAATAAGAGTTGAGTTTGGTTTTACTTTCCGGATTAAGCAATGGTTTGTTTGTTTGTTATCGTTCATTCATTCACTCACATCGCGCTTATTGAAGAAACTATTAATTGTTCTGTTTTTACGGCGCTCATCTTTATTCTTGAAGGCGACATTGATGCATTTAAAGAGTGTTTTAGCCATGATGATATGACAGGGTGAAGTTACTTATTTGCAAAAATGTCGAAGGAAGCAAGAAAAGTTACTGAAGTTGACGTACAATACGTAAGTTTTCCATCCGTATACATTTACCACTCTTTTATATATATATATATATAAGTTACAATTGTTGAGGATTAGCTGCAACTTGGCTTGTTCCTAAGAAATTATCGAATGAATTTTCAATACTTGATCTTCATAGCGAATGCATTATAGTGTTAATTAGTGTGATGAACAATGGTTCTCTGTTTTTCCACCATTATGTATTTGAGTTTCTTGCTAAAATCGTCGACCAAAATGTGTTTCCATTGCATTAGGTTCAAAATCTCATCGAGCTAAGCCTCAAGCATTATATGACTCGGAGCGAAACCGTGAAGAAATTGAACGAACATGCAGACATCAAGCCATGTTTCACAGAACTTGGTAATTCTTTTTTTTTTTTTTATCTTTCTGGTAAATTTCGATTTCTTGAATATTGGTTATGGCATCGAATCTTTCGAGCTTATGCTCACTTGTTCCGTCAGTGTGGAAAGTTCTTGAAGAACAAAATCGGGAATTTTTTCGGGTGTACCATCTGAGGCTGAAGCTGAAGGAACAGATTAAGCGATTCAACGAGCTGCTCCAGATACAGTATGAGCTGACAAGGCAGTTAAATCAAACCGCGGCCGTCCCCAATCTCATACCGAATGGACCTCTCATTCATCCAAGTAAGGATTCCTTTCGAATTCAAGTTATCTAACGATTTCTTCGTAATTATCGTTTAAAATCATGTTAGAACTAATAATTTATATGTGTTTCGTTGAAATAAAACGTACTGCAACATAGAAGATGTTAGAAGAGAAATAGAAACAGAGAAATTGAAATATCTCAATTTTACTTCTCTATTCGAGTCAAAGAAATCAAATTTCATTGACATTAAACATGCTTCGAACTATCTACAAGTGATTTAGGCATAATGTACTAATCGTTGGAAGATGTTAGAAGAGAAATATTGATAGAGAAATGTAAATATCTCAATTTTTCTTTGTATTTGAATCAAAGAAATTAAAATTGAGAAGTAATTATTTTTTATTTCTTTCTCATAGGTTGGTTTTCATTTATCTTCCATATGCAGCAGAGTAAGAGTATGAAAATTGAAATTGTGAAGGATGTTTGATTTTATTATTTTTCATGTGTTTTACTATTTAATTTTTACGATTTCCTTTAAAAATGTATTAATCCTATCTCATAAAAATCATACTTCCTTCGTTCCACGTAAAAGTGTCTATTTTTTTTTTAATTTTAGTTCGTTCCAAGGTAATTTGTTCTTTTCTATTTTTATAATTAATAATTTTTTTAATTTTAATTAAAGTATATAGTAATTTTAATCTTAATTTATAATTATTTTTATTATATAATAATTATTTTTATTAATATGTTTCTTAATTACTTATTAATTATACTTTACCTAAACTCATGACACTTTAACTTTAACTAGCAGAGAGGGAGAATCTAAATTATTATCAATTTTCTTAAAAAATAAATAAATAAATAAAAAATCACTACCTAAATATAACAATATTTTTTCACATTGGAACTATCTCTTCTTCGATTCATTTGTTACTGTCAGATTATATAAATGATAGTCTTATCTAAAAGTTTAAATTTTTAGGGTATATGCATAATTTATTTATTTATCAATAAAATGGAGTCCGCCAATAGTTACCTCCTAGTCGATACATTCTTCACTCATCCCCTCTTCTACATTCATCCATATCGTTGTATATTTTTTTTATTCAGCTGAATTTTCTGTCTGCACTTATAGTAAAGCGACCTTGATAAATTCTTATATGTCATGTATGCGCGATGTCTAATACGTCTTTCGACACATTGATTTTTCAGTGCAAAGCTCAGCTCACCCGACCGAACCTTCCGGACAATACCCGAGGACGATGGAGCGCATGCAGATCAATCCTATCAACTCTATCCCCAACGTTTATGCCAACCACAGAGTGGAGACAATGCCTATGCCTACGCCTACGCCAATGCCAACACTAATGCCAATGCCAATGCAAATGCCAATGCCAATGCCGGGAATGGTATTCAATAATCAGGTCGGCAACCAATCGAACGCACAACCAGGAGGAATGTTCAACGCCGTCGACATGATGCATCAAGGAAATAACCGCGGAATGATGGTTCCCGCTGGAATCAACAGTTCCTTCAGCATGTATGGCCGTGTTGCCGAGACTGGTCTTCCCCTGCAGCCTCCTCTGAACAACAACCGCGGCATTAATGTAGGTTCGTCGATTCCTCCTAACAACATCGGCGGCATGAATGTAGGTCCGTCGATTCCACCGATAAATTGCGCGCCGCCGGCTCCGATGGGGAACCCGTTTTTGCAGGCGCAGCCGGTGTGGGAACCTCCGGTGAACCCGTTTGGATACATGCCCACTGATGCTTTCGGTAACTTTATGCATACCAACGGTTGGCCTTTCTCTCTCTCTCTCTCTCTGTATATATATATGTGTATGTAGATATATGTGTGATTTCTTGATGTTGAATTGATTTTTGGTGTTCAGGAAACTTGTTGGGGTTGGATATGGAGATGGGGCTTTGGAATGAGGTTAGTAGTGATCATAAATATAATTAATGCTTTTTGTGTTATTTTGAATGATGAAACAAAGCGAGTGTGTTTTGGATTTTGGTTTTCGGTTTGAATTTGAGACTTTGTATGGTTGGATGGATTTGGATTTTTAGCTCTTCTTTATGGTTTTGGCAGTGATTCATGGACTTAAATGACTACATTGTTGTTTGTTTGTAGTTCTTTCTCTCTTTCTCAATCCTTTTCTTTCTATATATATATATTTGAAAATGATTACGATGTTGCGTGCTAAATTTAAATCGGTATTTATAATATATATAAACAACACATGTTCTTATTATTACACAGCACTTGTGGTGTGTAATAAAGACATGTGATGTTTGTTTAGAATTATATATGTTGTATAAAAGTATGTTATATGTTGTGTATGTGACCATAACATGTACTATTAATTTATGTGTTTTTATTTGTATTATATTAAGTACAGGGGATGTGCTGCCAAGAGCAATACATAATACATTGTGTTTGTTTGTTATTAAATTCAGCACCGTAGTTGTCGCCCATATATATATATATATATGGATAGTTACTACTCCCTTCATCCGTTTACAAAAAATAAATGGGTTGTAACAAGTAGTGTAAAGATATTTTTGTCTTTGTTTTGTAGTATAAAAGTAACAATATGATATAAAATATAGATAATTGTGTAAAAAAAAATATTTAATAAAATTGTTATTTTATAATTGGACATTCCAAAATTAAAATTAGTACCAGACCACCAGGATAATTAATTATATATATATATATATATATGCAGAATAAATTAATTAAGGATGGGATCGGACAACACATATGCATGCATGCATATGTAACGTAGACATGAGTGGTACGATAGTACAGTACGAGGGAGGTACGTAGCGTAGATATATATGGTCAACTCATTCAGGGAGGGTTGAGATTCTTACACTTACAACAAAAGTGGTTTTAAGTTGGAATTTCGGATTTCCGTCTTAACATGGTATTAGAGTCATGACATTACAAAAAAATTAATATATTTGTAACAGAATTCCATCTCTAATCTCTAATATCATTAGTAATAGAAAAAGTGAATTTAGTAACGAAAAAATTTCGTTGCAAAATTGATAATTTCTTGTAGTGATATGTCCGCCGTATTAGGTTTGGATCCGGTATGAATTTTCGAGATTATTATCTCGAGTGGAAGAGTGTTAGGCTACTCCACTTATAACTAATTGGTTTAAAATTGGAACCCCGGATCCCCGTCTCAATTAAAATATTATTATTATTATGATAGAGATAGAATATATATGCAATGGTAGACTTGATATTAGTCCATTATTAATCAGTTTGTTTCTTTTCTTTGTTGCATTTTAGCGGTGATATGAAGAAAACATTCACTTAGACATTTTTCTTCACTTAATTTTTTTTTTTTTTTTAATTTTTTAGTTAAGAGACGAATGTTTATTCTATTTCTTTCTTATTGTATTCATTTTATTATGAATTATTATGTTATGTTGGCCCGGTACACTTTCATATCATACGTTACAAAAAGTCGGGGGTTCGATAATTACTCTCAACCATAGTTTATCCATTGAAAACTTAAAATAGCAATTACGAATTTTCATGTTATATAAAAAATACATATATATATATATATAGATATAAAATATAGATACAAATAGGGGCTATATAGACAGGTACTAGATTTTGGGTTGAATGTAGTATTGGATGTGACCATAATTAAATATGTTCATTTTACGATTAATGTTTATGTTTCGCATGTGACATCTTATTATTTTAGAATTATAATTAAGCTACGTGAACAATATTTGAAGATCATTTCTTAAAAATTTATTGCATTCAAGATTTTATGGCCTTTGATAAAACATATTCCAATAAAATATATTCGAGTCAAACAATTTTATTCAACAAGAAAATAAAAATGGAATGAAAAAAAAAAATCGCAAAATCTTTGGCATAATTATTTAAATATTATTGAATTTAATAACAATTACAGAAATAATGCTAAAAAAATACGAAACTAAGCAATAACAATATTTTATGATGTGGTAACAACCGTGCAAAAAATCAGACTAAAACGAATCATTTATAGTAGACAAGATGTAGGGATTTGAACGCATGACCGGGACAGCCCTACTATATATATATATATATTATAACGCGGGAACCTCCGTTCGGGTTTAATTTGGTACTCGCCCCTACTATATATATATATATATATATATTATAACGTGGGAATGTTAACCTCCGGCCAAACCTAATATATTTTATATCTATCATGGTTCTACTACGAATATAAAGTTCTATCTTTGATTTATTCCCAATTATTTTATTTTATTTTTTTAATCATAATGGCAAATCAAATAACTGTTTTTATTTATTATGGTGACAATATTATTGAAGATTATGAAAATATCAGTTACATTATGCTTCTTATATTTTATTTACCTATACCTGGAATATAAGTTATTTCGAATTAACAAATTTCTTTTTTGAAATTGAATATTGATAGTAATAGTATTCTATTGCGGTGCATATTATATTCATATTTGGCCAACAAAGAGATATGTGATGATGAAAATCATTGCCGTGTTGGAATTTTTTTTTTTCAGAATTCTGAGCAAAAAATAAATTATAAACTCTATAAATAAATATTTAAATTTATTTTTAAAATGACATAAAAATTATAATACTAATAAACTTCATAAAAGTAAAAATTATTAAATTTTAATTTTAGAATAAGAATTAGAATTAGATTGGGTAACTGTAGAGAAAAAGATTTCCATAAAAGTATAGAAAAAAAGAAAAAAAAAAAAGTAATATGATATTATTGCAGTTTTCTATAAAAATTACAAATAGAAAAAAGATTTCCATAATGATCTTGCTCCCGTCATTCCATACATGCTTTTATAAATCGATTGATACACGCGAACAACAAAAAAACGATGAAGAGAATAAATAAATGGAAAAAAAAATGAAACACGAAAAGAATAAATAAATGAAAAAAAGAAAAGAAAAGAAACTCATTCAAGTGCATCATTTTTATTTTCGTCTTAAAAGTAAAGGTTATCGTATAATTTTATTTTATTTTTTTTATTTGTCGAAAAACTTACATTATATTTGTGAGATGATCTATAAAGGAATCACTTTCATCTAAGAACCATTAGAAGTGGATGAAGTACTAAAAATTAATTTTATATTTACAATATCATATTCATATATATTTACATCACATTAAATAAATATTTTAATTCAAAATTTTATTATTTAAATTTTTACCCAAGCAAACACATCCTAAATAGTAAATAATTTGAAATCTCTAAGGTACAATCAGCAAAATAAAAATTCTGTTTACATAAATATTTTTGAAAGTTTTGAAATAATAATATTTTTTATAAAAAATAAATCAATTTTTTTTTTTTCTCACAAAAGATAATATGTTAATAACTAAACTTTTGATTACTTTAATAAACTTTCGAAAATTATATTTAAAGGAGCCAATGATCTTAATGATTTATTTCAAAAAAATTACTATTATTAAAAATATACTCCCTCCGTCTTAGATAAGATGGGCATGTTACCGTAGATACGGAAATTTATGCAAAGTATAATTACTAAGTGTATTAGTAAAAATAATTATAGATTAAAATTAAGATAACTAAATAGTTTAATTAAGACTAAAAAAATTATAAATTTTAGATTTTAAATTATAATTAAAGTTTTCAAAAAAAGAATGGACAAATTATATAAGATGAACGAAAATAAAAAAATAAGGACAAATTATGTGGATCGGAGGGAGAATTTATTTTACAAAATATCAAATTAAACATTATTTGAATATAAAATATAAACCAAATATTTGGGGCAGTCCAATCTGACACGATTTAAAATCAGTTTGATTCGGCCAAAACTGATTTCAATCCGGGCCTTAAATTACAGCCCAACGACAGGCTAATTTAAACTTGGCCTGGGCCAGCCCAATAATTTTTTTGTTCATTTACATTTTTGTAAAAAAAAAATTATTAGTTAAAATTTTCTAATTTTAAAAAATTAAGACCGTGTTGGGCCGGGCCGGACAGGTCGACTTTAATTTTTTTTCAAATTTTTTCCTGTTTTAATTTACTAAAAATTGTAATCCAATGATTAAAGTAAGAATCAAAGGTAAAAAATAACAACCTTATCATCAAACTATAATTCAATTTTTATCATTAGTTAACACACATTTAAATATATTATTTTTTAAATATTAATGTTAATAAATCGGGCGGACCGCATCGATAACAATCCAAAAGATTTTGAATCTATATTTGGAGGCCTAAGTACAAATTTTTGGGTCAGATTCGAATCAGATTTTTAGATCGTGTCTATTTTTACTAGCTCTAGCTATTATTAAAAAATTTGAATACTGTCATTTCAAGTTTAAATTATTATCATTATTCAAAAAATTAGTGGACTATTTAAAATTTAAAGTATCACTAGTACTCACATGGAGTAATTTAAATTTAAATCAATTAAAATAATTAATTTATATTTTAAAAATATAAAATACTCTAATTTTAGAAAAGTCAATAATAATTGAATAAATCAATTTGTTTTATTTTAAATTTAAATAATATTTTGATATAATATTTTATTATAAAAATAATATATATTTTATTAAAAACTATACCAACTTAGTACAAATTTATGTTTGAAATTTAAAAATACTCCTTCGTCTCACGTCTATCTATTCGTTTATTTTTTTTTGCATAAAATGAAATGTAATAAAATAAAGATAAAAGGACTAAACTAACTAAGGTAATAATATTTAAGTATTATTTATAACGAAACAAACCAAAATAAAAAAATAAATTGTTTGATATAGAACAACTGGAGTACATATATTTGGATTTACTTTCAATTTTACTTTAAATTTTAATATAAAATTATTTAAAAAAATAAAATTACTCTACCAAATCTATACCTTCTTTTTTTTTTTTTTTTGTCTACAAAATATATTTCAAATTAAAAGTATTACTATTGTTCAATTTCTCAATAAATATATACTTCCTCAATTATCTAATTGTAAATTCATATATTTGAACACATATTTAAAATAGATAATAATTATTACCTTTTGTTTTTTTATAATAAAAATTATATATAAAAAATTTATTATTATTATTTAAATGACGAAGATAATATTATTTTATTGTGAAATATTATATCAAAATAATATTTAAACCAAATAAACCATAGATAACATAGGTTTAAAATTTCAAATTCAATAATTCGAAATACATATTCAAATTCTAATCCCCTACTATAAAGCAACATTTCTTTTTTGGTATATCCCAAACACCCTGCAATATTTCCAAATTATGAAATAATTAATTAGTCTTAATCTCTACCCCACACTTTATCCCCTTACATCATCCAAATAAAAAAATAAAATATATATTTCTCTATCCATTACATCACCTAATTTCTAAATTATCCTACTTAATACTACCCACTTAAAAACTCGTACCAAAAACAAATATTGCACCTTTTTTTGGGGCAGGGTGTAACATTCACAATTTGTAGGACGAAATATTTTTAAATCAAACCAAATATGCTAAAAACTTAGTCAAGGAAATTGAAACAGATAATTCAAAGCTATTCACACATAAACAAGACAACAACAACAAAAAAAAAATCATCAAATTTTTTGTCAAGATTACACAAATGGCAGGACTATATAATATATATATATATATATATATCATCTCTAGTCTAGTCTAAGCCTAAGTCTAGTCTCTACCACATTTGAGTTAAATGTGGATTAGTTCACTTAATTCAAATGCCAAATTTACTAAGCATCAATCAATTTTCATTTTTCACACAAGCATTTACTTAATCAGACATAACATAAAACAACAACAGAAACTTAGGGTTCATGCCATCGTACCTTGTACCCATAAGGACAATGTTTATGATGATGATGATCCCGATTTCGATATTGGCTTGGCTGTCCATTTTTAGGTTACCTGAAGGTAGATACCAACCAGTGTTGGAATTAGAGGGACTATACAGAAAGTCGAAGATAATACTCTATTCTTCAATCAATCAAATATATGTTCATTTCAACTAGATGCAAGTTTTAATGAATATGATATTATATTAATTGGTTGTAACATGAAATAAAGATATTTTGGGAACTATAGAAAACTTTTTATATAAACTGAATATGTAAATATCGTAATATCAAAGAGTATAAATTAATGAGCCTAACATACTTTGTGTAGACAAATAAAAACAAAAAAGGGAAGCGAATAATTTGGTGGATTGAGGGAATATTTGAAATGGTTTTTTTATATTTCATATTTAAAAAGTGTTGGAAAGAAAATGTTACCATCTACTGCTGGATGAATTCTTACACATACCTTTGCTTTACTCGTCTGCTGGTTCTCTTATTGGAGGGTCGAGAATTAACATTGTGCGATTTTGTGTTGCTTTTCTCGACCTTGGGCTTAGAAGCACCTGAAAATGTCGATTGGTTTAGCAGATAGTTGATCATGGGATTTATGTATAGGTAACAAAGGTTGCAATCTAGCATGACCTCTTCGAAAACGTTGAGGGGATTGAATTTCGTCGTCATCTTCATCTCCTTCTTCTTCTTCTTCCCTTTCTTCTTCTGTCACCTCGCTGGAAGCATCTGAACTTGTTCTAGATTTGGTTGTTTTCCTTCTTGACTTTGAACTTTGAGTATCTATCGACTCATTTGTTTCATCATCTGTTCCAGCTTAAATGCAATAAGAAATCAATATTAGTATATAATAAGATACGTCATAATGTAACCATAGTTGCCAATCTCGAATAAGCATTAAATAGCAATCAACCTCTAAAATACTATAACAGAAGAAAAGAGATGACTACTATTTAGTAACTTCGATATAAAACTATAAAAATTATTATTATATATACGAATTTACAATAAAATTACATAAAAAAATATGTAAAGTTATAATTATCATTAAAAGCAATAAAATGTCAAAAAAATATATCTGATCATAGTTTAGAAATAGGTACATAAGCAAAAATAATTAAAATCGCTACTACTTTATACGAATCAAAATCTAATAAATAATTTTCTTCCTCAGTTTTGCCCTCTTCACAGCTGCTTGAACAATTATCTTAAATGAGATAGTTCTTCATCTTTATCCATTTCTCCCGTTGTATGTTCGTCATCCTTCATAATGTTCATCTTTCTAGAGCTAGAACTAGCTATAACCCCTTTTTCTCATCGATGTTTGCTTCCTATTGTAAATAGGTGGTTCTTATATAAATATTTATGTAATATAATACAATTTACAAAACTCCCACAAGTTTTTTTCTTAATAATAAACTATATATATATATATATAGACTATAAGACTATAGAGCTTCCACAGCTCACACCAAACCAATGCGAAACAGCACTACGGTCAGTATTGCCTAAATTGTGCGTTATTGACAACTATAAATGTAACTAAGGAAACAAAAGACTACGAAATTCTAAAACGAAAGAACTGGCAGAAAATACAATTGACCAATGCAAATTTCAACCAGCTAGTAGGATTATAGGGAAAGGTTTTCAAGAGTTCATTTCAGGCAATGTAATGTAATACCACATACCTTCAGTAGTATCATATTCACCACTCTCATTTTCAACTTTCTTGGTTGCCACAAAGTTCTGGAAATTATCGACCTTTTGTTGATGCGCTTGTGCATTCTTTTCTGTGAGTGCTTGCTCCTTCTTTTCATGATGAACGGCATTGAGCTTCTCTTCAAACTCTTCAAGTATTGATTTCAACTCAGGTTTTGCAAATTTTTTCCCCTGAAAGAAAAGAAAGTGGGAATCAACTAAAATCGGAATTACAGATGTTAATAAAACCACGTCCAAGAAAAACATACCTTGTTAATTATATTCCTGAAGTGGTTCATGACAATATCCTCGGATAAGACATGCTCATATGCCTTGAATGACTCCATGAGCCGCCTCATACTCTTCTCGGTAAAAGGTAGAAGAGAGAGGCAGTAAGAAATATAATCCCACAGCCGGATATCTGCACCGAAAGGTATAGTAGACAAAATGCTATTACTGTTAAACTGATCAACTCTAGAACTGAAAACATAAAAAATTTTCTTGGCTTATCACAAGAATAAGAGCAAACCGAAAGATATATGGACAAGATGATGCAAACTATTGCAGCTTATCAAATGAAAATGACATGGAGAGCATTTATCATAGTTACTAAGGGTAGTATGTTACTTCTACTGTTAAAACCATTATATGCAAGACTACATTAAACCGAAAGAAATTTTGATGCTTGATCAATCAAAGATTAAAGTTATCACCTCTACTTTTGAGTAAATTACTGATTTTGCAATAATATAATTAACAAGATTAAAAAGGGATTCGATACCTGAGACTCCGGTGAGCCTATTGAATAGTTTTTCAACAAGAGATTCCACTTGTTTATCCTAAAATGATTCACCAGCTCAGATAATTTGTAGATTTGCAAATTGTGCAATTGAAGATTACTTAAATTGTAATACCTTTTTGATAAAACCAATTAAAAACTGCATGATGTTATAGAAGGACTCCCTGTTTAGGTCCTGGCTGGATAATTTTCCAAGGATATCTGGAAGCAGATTATATACAGGGTTGTTTCCTACAACAAATTCAAGTATTTCAAATATTTTGCAACATATGCCTACAGAAAAATTGGGGAAAATGTATAATATGTGTCAGACCAGAGAAAAATACTATCAATAAAATCACCTTTTTTCGATAGCTCATAAAAGAACAGCTTGGCTAAATTTGCAATCCTCTCTTCTACATCTTCCAATATCATAGCCATTTCATTGATATAGCCTTTAACCTAAGTGTTTAATGATCATGATCAAGATCAAAACCAGAAAACAAATCAACAAATAAAAAATAAATAGAATCAATGGGAGAGTAGCCCCTTTATCAAACCTTCATCATGTCATTTAATATAAGGTGAGAAAGAACCAACACAGCATTCTTCCGAACAGATACTGACTGATCTCTAAGACGTCGGTACATGTTTTCTGTCCACGGTTCTAACAAGTTTGGAAAGCGAACGGCTAGATCTCCAAGAGCAATAGTGCAATTTGAACGGACAATTTCAGATGGTGCACTCTCCACAACAGTGAAAAGCAACTGGAGATTTGACTCACTAAAAAGTGAAAGAGTATAGATGATAAGTAGAAATGCAGTCTATGGCCATAGACCTAATGGTAGTCACATATCAAAAGATTTTCACTTACCAGAACTTGGCATCAATGATCATTAAACGGCATAAAGCAAGCATTCCAGATGCCTGCAGATCAGGGTGCTAAAACAACAGCATAACTATTGTCAGTTCATCAATTTAGTGTCAATGCAAAAGAATATAAATTGGTGCACATAATAGCAACAGCACATGGCGAATACGTTTCCTTCCTAATTAAAAATATTAATGGCTATTGCTCATGATTGTTCTTCAATGATAAGGAGACAAGGCTAGTAAGATGATTGAGTTCCTAATATTTAAACACTTCCATATTTAGTTAAGTACTCCACGGATGCGCTTTAATGGAGTGAGAATTTCACATTCAGGCATTCAGCCTTTTCTATTTCAAAATCAACTAGGGAATCTACCATACACTATTAAAACAAGATTTGAATAATCACCTTTTGCATTAAATTGAAGTTTCTACATAATTTGGATATAAATGGTGCACAATGTCCAATCAAGTTCTTTCCAGCCCCAACACCAGAAACAATTTCTTTCTCTGCCTTTTCTGCTAGGCTATCCAGGATTGCATCTTCTGAGGCTGCAAGTCCCAACTCTGAATTGATCCCACTATCCTGAAAGAAACCGATGCGGAATAATAAAACAGAAAGTTAAAACAAATATGATATAGCCATCATATTATTCAAGATAGTTTATGTAAATTTCCTCATTGCAAAGATATCATAAATTGCACCTTCTGAGCATTTGATGCAGTATTTACATCAACATTGCCGTTCTCAGCTGCCATTTTCTCTTTCTTGGCTTTTGCTTTCTGTATCTTGTGAATACAGGACTCAATATAGGCTAATTGGTTCATGGCAACATGGCTAACAACAAACAGGTATCTGCTGAGATTTCTAACTTGCACAGTGGTGAGGAGATAAGAACCACCAGAATTCACTTCTAGGGGCATATCAGTTTCTTCACTAGATTCAAACACAGATTTAAGTGATCTTTTCACCAGATCAGCAGCAATTGTTTCTGGAGTAGGGTGGATAGAATAGAGGGTAGCTATAGCCTTATCTGCAGCAGCATACCAAATATTTTCAGGGATTGAAAACCCAGAAATCAAACCTTGCAACAAACTAAATACGCGGTTTCCATTAGTTGACAACAACTTCTTTTTGTCTTCCACAGACAACCTTTGTAGTGCTAAGCATGCTGTTCTAGCAAGCAGTGGTTCCACTTTTGCCCATTGACCCAATCCAATATCTATGATGTCTTGTAAGTGAGAGCTGAGAACAGTGGGTGAAGATTTTGCTGCCATGCACAGAACTGATAAAGCACCTCGGCTTTGCTGAGCAGTTGTTCCACTAATATTGAAACAAAAGAAATCCCATAGTACAGACAACTGGGCAAGAAAACAAGAATTAAAACTAAAACAGAACTCTTGAGAAAATATGCTGCAAAGAGACTGTACTATATCCTAGTTATTTGGCATAATTATGTTCTTATTTAAAGGAGGTGAACTCAGACATAATCTATACACTAGATTTTGAATATGGTTGGAAAAAATTTCACTTCGAAAATAACCTCAAGTTATTCGGCTGCGCATACAAAAGAGCATCATACTGTACTATAGTATTACTAAGGCTATGAAAAGTTGAATCTCCCAGAGTAATGTCTGAGTGTAGAAGCATGATTTTGATCAGAAAAAAATAAATAAATAAATAAAAATGGTCACAGTCATCTTCCAATAATAGCTTTAGAGAGAACTTAAATATCTGTTCAATTTAGCAAGGACCAATAGGCACCATGAACCATTGTAGCATAGGATACACAGTAATTTCTCGAATTGACAGCAATGACAATTTGAATTTTAGCATGTAAAGTATAGGACCTATTCAATTTGCATGTAAAAATAGAGGTTAATCCCAGGCAAGCTATGGAGTATGATTGCAATTCTTATATTAGAAACAAACCGGATAACATAGTTACACTAGATTCTAAAGTTACCATAGGCATGATATTATATTAGGTATATAGAACTCTACTATTTAGTGTTCTACCACTAGACATCATGCTCAACAAAATACAAAACTGTACACATGCTCCATAATTTTAATGGAAGGAAACACCTTACACTTAAATTGCCTAGTCATGATAGCAACTTACCATGCTGGCAGTTATATCTCCTTTGGATACCAAAACCCCAAGAATGAATTCCAAAGCCGCGAGATCTCCAATATTTGAGTCTATGGCAAGATTTAAAAGATTCTTAGCAGTATCCACTGGGTTTTTCCTAATGTATATTGCAATGAAAGCATTCTCAACGGCCTCATAAATTGATTTTTCTTGAGAAAATACCTGTCATCATCCAGGACATATGGCTATTATATTGTCAATTAATTCATGGAGTACGAATACCAACATAGGTAGCTGACAGAATCTCTTATATTGGAGAACAAAAAACAGCTGCATCTAACTAAACAAAATCATAAGGGTAATCATGATGAGGAAGTACCAAAGGAAGCATCTTTCGCAGGCAGGCTTCTGATCCATCAATTTGAAATTGCCTACATCTCATGAGCAATAGAATAGTGTGCTCCACATCAGTTGAAGATGATGAAGCCATTAATTGAACAAGTATAGGCATCGCATCGGACATGCATTTTGAGAATCTGAGGCCAGCTTCAAGCGAAGCAACCAAGGCCCGAGTTTGCTCCACATTCCCAAAATCTGGCACAGAATTGTCCGCTTGCAGGGGCTCATCTGCCACCTGAGATAAACAGCTATCAGTCATACTGTCCTGATCCTTGGATTCCACTTTTATACCTTCATCTTCAACCCCACTATCACTGCAAGAAACTTGACTATCTGATGGAAATTCTTCCGAGTTTTCAGGTGTACTTTTTGGTTCAAGCTCATCCAACTTTTTCTTGTACTGTTCCAGGGTTGCCTCAAAGGAAGCTGCCCTAAGCTGCGGTCCGAAAGGATTGTGTTGCAGCATCATAATAAGCAAATTGAGTGCTGACTTTCTAACAATCGCACTCTTATCCTCTAGTCTCCCAGAAGCCATTGTTGCAACCTCATTCCATAAACCAATAGAGATAGAATGTTCCTCACATAATTCTGCCCAGACCTGAAGAACCCGACTCCTAGTATAAGCAGACACATCACGGCAGCGCTCCAGCAAGATTTCAAGCATGGCTTGTTTTGTCCGAAGACGTATAGATTTGGAACTAACTTCGCCTTCAACATCATTGAAGGCCTTTGCAATTAACTTACCCAATACCCCAACAAGTGCATTCCTTATCTTGTAGGATTCTCCGCCAAAGTGCGGAATCAATAAGCCAATGTTGGTCGAAAACAAGTTTGGCAATCGATCAGCTAGTTCTACTAGGAAACGCCCAATATTTTCAGCTCCAACAGTATCTTTAAGATAGGCTTTTGGGTTTGTCCTTCCAATCTCCCTAATGAGGGCTGCAGCCATACTTCCATCAGCATATTTCTTTTCAGCTCCAGCAACAGCATCAGCCAAGTGTGTAACAGCAAAATCATATCTATGAATCAGGTGCAAAATAGAAGCACATGATTGCGCAATATAGTGATACTTGGTGGCACATGTCCCAATTATATTGCATAAGGCTTCTTTTGTTGCTGAATCTTTTAGCATCAGTGCATTCTCAAACATCAGGAATGCATTTCTACAACAAGGCATGTTTCAAATCAGATTCGGCCATCATTGTTAAGTGCTCGAACCAATTAAAAATAAAAGAAGAGTTAAACTTACTTCATAATGAAGGATAAATAATTTTCATCAGCATCTGACGAACCAAAGAGCATTGAGAGATTGATCTCCAACGAGTTGGCAATTAAATTCATTATTCTGCCCCTCTGAGCTTCCCAATCCCACAAATTCACAGGATGTTTCTTCCTACTGGAAGCCACCGCCTAGGCCATATAAAAGATTAAAGTTGTGTATCAGTAACCAGAAATTAAAATGACTTGCTACAAAGTGCAAAATAAATTCCTCCTTTTGAATACAAAGATTCAGTTCGAAATTATTCACAAAACTAAACCTACAAGAAGATTCTCAGAACACTATGCCCTGCGTATGAAGAACTAACATTCACATACCCAATGGAGATATATATATTTATATATACATGTATATCAACTAAAACTGATGAAACTTTGGACAGCATTCGCAATAGTAAATAGATATCCATATATTAAATGTATGGCTTCTTTCGATTCGAGGTGCAATAAATTTTCGATGCCAATCTGTAACAAATTAATTCAACAAGAACTTAAAAGTAATGTTACTTTCGTTCCATTGGTAGCTGAAGTGGAACTCGACTGTTCAATAAGCACAATATGCACAAGGAAGAACGTGTAGATCTTAAATGCATTCCGATACGATGCAACTCTGTCAGCAGCCAATTGCTCGCAGCCATGCTCGAAGCTCTCATCACTTCCATTCTCCTGAGGAGCAGACCCTTGCGAGCGCGAGAGCGAGTCAACATTCGGCAACAAAACACTCAGATTAGACCTCAAAGACTCCACTAGATTCAACTTGCACCCAGGGCTGAGACTGGCAAAACCCTTAACCAAAGAATACACGCGGTCAAAAACCTCCTGCTCCTCCACGCAGAACAACTCCTTGTCCGACAGATCAAACGAAACTCCTGTTGTTCCAAAACAATCCAATTAGGAAAGAGGTGAATACCGCGGACAGGGGGAGGGTTTCGAATTACCAACCTTTCACGAATTCTTCCAGCTCCGACGGGCGCAGCGATGAGACGGAAACTGCATTCTGAACTGTGAGGCATGCGTAGCTTGAATCGTTGTCTTCTTCGAGGGAGGTCAGCGTTTGGGGAAAAATGAACGACGGAGCCATTAACGGTTACAGAGAAGAAAGAGAGTTTTGTGGGGGAGAGAGAAAGAGAAACGTTTTAATTGAAATTTGAATTCTGAATAAATGAAAGAGCGGGAAAAAGATTTGGGCTTTATTTTAAGATAAAAAGACTTTTGGGTGTTTTTATCAATTTACTTTTTTTCTTTAAAAATATTAAAAATATTTAATTTTAATTTTTTAATATAAATAAAAAATTATGTTGATAATATAAAAATAGTACTCCTTCCATTCGCAAGAAGGTTTGTTATTCACTTTTTTTTTATGTGTTGATCTTTAAATATTAATTATGATATAAAAAAAACAAAAATATGTTTATTAGTCACTTATAATACATATACAACGATATTTGTCGAGTAATTTATTTAAAAATAAAGATATTTTTAATGTTAAATACAATGACGCAAAAACCAAATGACAACCGGGACAGTAAAAAAATATTTTATATTGAATGTTGATTTTTGTTAAAAAAATAAAATATATATTAAAAGTTGTATGGTAAAAAAAAAGTAGGTAAATACACTATAAAAAACAAACAATAAAACGAACAGTGCATCCGTATAGACATATCACACAGGTATTTTTGTTTGGATTTTGGATTTTTGATGCGATTGTTTTTAATATCATATCAACATTTTGTCTTTTATTATATTAATATAAGACACGTGTCGATAGGATGATGATATGGGCTGGTCTCGTGACCAAATTATAGGAGTACTATATTTCTCTCATGTAATATGATGCGAATAGGGTTTATGTAAAATATAATTAATAAATAATTAAAAAAATGTATTAGTAGAAATAATTATGTATAGTAAAATAATTGCATATTAAAATTAAAATGACTAAATAGTTTAATTAAAATTTTGAAAAAAATATAAAATTTAGAATGTGTATAATTATATTTGGAAAAAAAAAATAAATTATGTGAAACGGACAAAAATAAAAAATATGAACACATTATGTGGAACTAACGAAGTATTTAAAATCAAAACCCCCGGTAAAAAAGTTAACAATTTTGGTTTAATTAAAAAATAATAATAATAATTAATTTTGATCATATCGGTAAAAATGACTAACAACAATGCTCACGTGAATGTAGCGAATCCGATATGTTATCCTACATGAACTAAACACGCTCATGTATTTAGTACAGATTAGATGACAGACCATTAATTTTTCTAACAGTAGAATAAAAATTGAATATATATATATATATATATTTTTATAACGATATCAAAATTGATGATATTTTTTTGGGAAAAAAAATCAAAATTTGTTCCAATATAATTGAATTTTATTAATTTTGGTTCAAATATAAAAAACTCATTAATTTGAATTTCATTAAAAAAAAACTAACGAAAATTATTAACGTAGATATAACGGGGTTGACGTGGCAGCTGACCTGGAAACTATACGGCTATATACAATTATACATGACTGTGTTATCATACGATCGTGTATAATTCAGTATACAATTATACAAGGTCATGTGTCGTGTACCTTTCTATTTTGGTTTAACTTTTTTTGTTTTTCTTTGTTTTTAAATATTTTAAATTAATAATAGTTGATATAGTTAAAATAGGAAAAAATCAACAGTAATATTAATATAATTAAAATGTATCAATTTTAATTCAAATACTCCATCCGTCCCGGCGCAAGGTTGTCATTTACTTTTTGCACATAGATTTTTTAGTATTAGTATCATAACGAGTTGTAGTGAAAAAGACAAAAATATCCATATTAGTACTGTGTAATATAGTGTAAATTGGAAGGGTATTTAGTACAAATAGATAGTACAATTATTTAATTAGGAAATAGTAACCTTGTTTTGGAACACGTTTCAATTGGATGGAGGAAATATAAAATTTATAGAGTATATTCTTTTAGAAGATTTTGAGTAAAATTATAACTATTTACCAAAAAAATTCTTCTTAAAAATATTCAATTACGCAACTATTTTTTATTTTTGTATATATTATACTTCATTTGTCTCATTAAAAGATTGTAATTTTTCATTTTCATCTATCCAAATAAGGTTACTATTTCCTAATTCAGTAGTTGTAAGACATATCTAAAATAATAAATACTTTTTCAACTTACATTATATTACACAAATATTACTCCCTTATTCTCATAACAAAGTATCCATTTTTTCATTTTAGTTTCTACGTAACAAAGTATTTATTTCTTTTTCAGTGACTGTACTATCTACCTAACTTTATAAATACCCTTACAACTTACAATATATTACACAAATGTCATTACTTTTATATCACATATAATTATTTTAGTCATTTATACTTTATTCATACTATATCTCAATATAATACTAATATTTTTTTAAAATTACATAAAAAAAAAAAAAATAAATATTTACTTACGGCACAGAAGAAGAAGGAGTATCGATGAACTAACAATCTTCAAACAAACAAACTTTAAAAAAAACCAACACAAAATCCTCCTATCATGGAACCTTCACAAATATAGAGGAACCAAAATCCCTAATCACCTCACTTGTTCGCCGCCACGGGTTCTCCGGATAAGGATTTCTGTCTGACCTGATCCAGAAGATCTCGGAGATGGTAAGAAATCGGATTATCTGATTTCTCAGGATTTTGTCCGATTCAATTCCATCAGTTCCGGCACTCAATCAAGTGACCTTCAAATGTCTATCTGAATTTCCCGGACAATCAATCGTTCGCCGGCGTTAAACAATCGACGCCGATTGAAGAAATTTCGGTCGGTGGTAGGTCTAAGGAGAGAAGGATTAGGGCAGAGTACCGGCTAAGGTGTTCGACGAAATGTCCAGGTGAATAGCTAATTAATTCCTTCTTAATTTGACGTTTTGTTATTATATATATATATCGTTCGCCGGCGTCGAATCAATCGGCGGTAGGTCTAAGGAGAAGGATTAGGGCAGAGAACCGGCAAGGTGTTCGACGAAATGTCCAGGTGAAAGCTAATTAATTTGTTGTTGTTGTAATGGCGATGAGGTTGAGGAGGATGATGTGGGCGGTGAGGATGATATGGATGGGGTTGAGTGGGTGGGTGGTTTCTTGCTTGACAGTGGCTGATGAGATTGCAGGGTCGTTGAGGAGTGGGGATGTGGGGACATTGTTGCATGGTGAATAGAGATGGAGATTGATGATGGTTTGATACATTATTTGGGGATTTCTTGGAATGTTTGTTTGATCTTTTCTTTAGTGTTCATAGATTTAAGTGTTTCAAAGTGTGTTTGTTGTTAAATATAGAGATTTGTGATGGAGTTAGGTCATTTCCAACCCATCAACTCTATCTATTCAGTTTTGCTACAGTAATTTTACTCCCACCATAACTCCATTTTTCCTTATTATTCTTCAAATATTCAATTTTTCTATTATTTTAAACAACTTTTTATTTTTATAATTTTAAATAATTTTTTTAAAAAATCAAAAAAAATCAAAATTAAATTTGAAAGTCAAATTTATAATTTTAAAAATAAAAAATAAAAAAACACCATAAATAGCGAACAACCCCAAAAAAAGTGTTGCACTCTAGCAAACACCAAAAATGGTGTATGAATTGACGCCCCATTGGAGGGAGACAGCGCCAAATATGGGGATGCAACGTCAATTTTGACATTGCATTGGAGATGGTTTTATAGAGAATAGTGTGTGGAATGTTTGAATTATTCGAATTTTATTTTTATTTTATGTATATATATATATATTTGACATGAAAATTCATAGCCATTATTAGTTGAATGTGTGCTATGGGAAATTCCAGGCTGAATTTAATGTTTGAATTATTTGATTTTTACTTTATGTATACATAGGTTTGTTTGTTTATGGTTTGAAATTGATTTGAATTTTTGTTTAAATAGTATTTTGATGTGTTTTTGTGAGAGAAAATAGTATATTTTTATTGAAAAATACGTCATGTGGTAAAAGAACAACCAGTGTGTTGTCAGTTTTTTTATTGAATGACATGTATTTGTTGAGTAATATTTTTTGGGATGGATTTTTTTTTTTTTTTTTTCTTGAAAGAAATGCAACTAGATCTTTGAGAGTATTCAATTTTGGAAATCGATTGTTAGCCCTTGTTTGCTTGGTTTTGTTTGTTGATTGATTATGTGATTAGAATGGTGGATTAATTGAGTGAGAGTGATGTGTGTTTTGATTCTTGATTGGAATTGTTTGATTTGTTTTTGGATTCATAGTATATTTGTTTCATATTTATAATTTTAGGTGCTTTTTATTACGCGTGAAATTTTGTAAAGTAATATCATTATGGTTATATTACTTATCTAATAAACATCCAAAATAATGTGTACGACACACAAATAACAACTTGTTTGACATGTACTAAAGATAGAAATTATAATTTCTAAATCAATTTGGCCTAAATCCGAAAGTTCGGCATTAACATTATAGGACAAAATGTAATAAATCAATGGACAAACAATTTTATCTCGAGCATAGTTTGAAAAAGTTAAAGCCAGAGGACAGTAACTTAACCTCGCGGAGTATTTATAATGTACTAATTTGATTTTCAGGCACCGAAGACGGTGAGTACTCACCTTTAGAGTCTGTTTGAATTCATCGCATAAACCACATGATTCCAATACTATAAAAACTGATGATAAATGAAAATAATAAAGGATTTTATACATATATTGGTAAATTAATTTTAAGTGATTTAACTTAGATTTATTTAGTTGAATACCTTTTTTATTATCTTCAAGAACAGATATAATTATTCACTATTTATTACTTTTTTCAAGAACCGGTTACTTTCAACAAATTTTTTTTAAAAAAATAATTAAATATTCTTCAAAAAATTTTAAAATTATAAAATTAACAGAAATTATCTCATATATATGTTGATTTATTCGAATAATTTCAACTTTTAAAATAGTAAATTATATGTTTCAATATATTAAAATTTATATAGATTAAAATTTAAAATTTTAATATAATATTATATAAAAATATTATTAGATAGTAAAAATATATAGAAATATGTATAAATAAATAAATCATTTTTATATATTATGTAATAAAAATATATAAATAAATAAACTAGCATGAATTCTATAAAATAGTAAATGTAATGTGTTGAAGGTGATTGCTAGTGATAAAGAAAGTAATTTAAATGTTGAGTTGAATATGATGTGAATAAGAGAGATAAAATAAATAATGAAGTAAAAGTAACTTTTGTAACGAAAGCTCTAATACTCCATAACATAATTGAAAAAAATATTTGTAGGGTGTGTTTGTTTGAAGGATTTCGGTGGATTTCCACTATTCATTCAATTTTTTCCCTCCAAAAATATCAAATCAAACACCTATTTTTCATTTTTTATATTATACTAAAAATCAATTTTACATTCAAAACATCACATCAAACCCTATTTATATCACATCATACAACTATTCAAATTCAAAATTTTTACTATTCAAATCCCAACTCAAAATCCAAACCCCCAAACAAACACACCCGTAGTGTCTTGTGGATTGAATAATTACTAAATATGAAAAATAACTCTTGTAAATAAATAATAAAAGATAGAAAATGTATTTTTTTTCGGGCCGAATGAGTATTTTAATACTCCATCCGTCTTATTACAATAGTCTTATTTATCATTTTTGTCAGTCCCAAAATAATAATTTTATTTTCATAAATAACAATATCACTATAAAATTATCATTACTTTTTTATTATTAGTACACAATTGTCACTACTTTTACATTAATACACTCACAAGGGCAAAAAGGTCTTTACTTATATTTTTTTATCAAATATCGTGTCCAACACAACAAATACTATACTTCTGAGACGGAGGCAGTATAAAATAAAAGTAGTACTCCTTTCGTCCCACATACCATGTCTGTTACACTGTAGACACGGTATTTTAGGAAGAGTGTAATTAGTAGATAATTAAGAATATATTAGTGAAAATATTTATCCTATAATATAAATAATTATAAATTAAGATTAAAATAACTAATTAGTTTAATTAAAATTAAAAAAATAAACTAAAAAATTTAAAATGATATTAAAGTGTGTAATTATTTTTCAAAAAATAAAAGTGACATTAAATATAGGACGGACAGAAACGGTAACTGGACATGGTATCTGAGACGGAAGGAGTATTTATTTGAATTTAAAACTGACACCAATTCACCAAACCCCCTGTTTGTTTACATGCACACTTTCAAAGTTTTTATTTTATTACTCCCTCCGTCTTAAACATTTTGCAACATTTTTTTTTGGTATGTTTTAAACACCCTGCAACATTTCTAAAATAGAAAATAATTAATTATATTTAATCTCCACCCCACACTTTATCCCTCACATCATCTAAATAAAAAAATAAAATATATATTTCTCTCTTCATCACATTACCTAATTTCTAAATTATCATATTTAATACTACTCACTTAGAAACTCTTGCCAAAAGCAAATGTCGCACCTTATTTGGGACGGAGAGAGTACTATTTTGAGTATTTTTCCTCTAATAAAATACTTTATTCCGCCATTAGTAAAAATTTTTATTTGATGTTTTTAGATAAACTAGTACTGTATTATAAATATATAAGGTAATAAAATAGTGTAATATTTATTTTACTATTAATATTAAAGTAAAAGTAAAAAAAAATTAATTGATAATTATTTTTTAAAAAAAATAAAAAATTTTGACCGGTACAAACTAAAATGGTAAAATAACTCTTAGAAATAATATTATGTATAAAAAATTGAATTGTCAAAGATTTATTTATTCGATATTTGATTTTTAATATAATTACATATAATTAAAAAACTTTAAATATTTTAAAAAATTCTATCAATAAAATACTATTATTTTATAGTAATTATTATTTTTTCATATAAATATAAATATAAATACATAAAAATATATTTATATATAATTATTATAAATTAACTTTATAAAAAATACTCCATTTTGATGTATAAAAATATATTTATTAATTAAATAGAATGATATAAATAATAGATTTTAATTGACTTGTGTGACTGTATTTGAAATAAAATTTGAATTAATTTTTTTATTTCAATAATATTTTAATATAATACTCCCTCCGTGCAGTTAAATTGTTTTATTTAGTTTAAATACGAAATTTTAGATATTATGTGATTAGTAAATAATTAATAATGTATTAGTAAAAATAATTATAATTATAAATTAAACTAACTAAATAATTTAATTTAAAAAAATTATAAATTATAAATTTTAAAATGTGATTAAAATGTATAATTATATTTTAAAAAATAAAATGACAAATTACGACCAAAATAAAAATATAAAACAAATGAAGTAGGAGAGAGAGGGAGTATTATATATACCTTTATTAAATATTTACACTTTAAGTTTGAAATAACAATAAAACAATATAATTAATTACTTCTCTGTTCTGTCTAATTTGTTCTTATTTTTTATTTTAGTTGGTCCACATAATTTATTAATTTTTTTAAAAAAATATAATTATACAATTTAATAATATTTTAAATTTAATTTTTTAAATTTTAATTAAATTATTTAGTTATTTTAATTTTAATATATAATTATTTTTAAAAATATATTTTTTAATTCTTTAATAATTATACTTAAAAAGTAATATTTAAAAAGTAAAAAAAAAATATTATCATATGAAACAGAGAAAAATAATATTTAAAAAATAAAAAAATTGAAACATAACTTAAATTAAGCCAAACTCTCAGATGATCTCAAATCGAAGAATCACAATAGCAGGAAGATCAGCTGAGCAAAACCAGAGAATTCCATTACAGTGATGCTGAATTCAAGTAAGGCATCAAGAACTCTCATAAACGCTCTCAGTTTCATCACAGAAACAGCGCCTTTATGTGTCATGTGCTTCTCCGAGCTCCATGATCATCATCATCCTCCATCCAAACAATTGTTCCATTCGAATTCCCTAGCCAAGAGAAATTCAGAGTTTTCAATTCCCAAGGAAGATCACTCATCGAACAAAGACGTAGTCAGGGCGAATTGGAAGGTCACGAAGCTATGCCAAGAGGGTAGGATTTCAGAGGCACATAAGCTGTTCGACGAAATGCCTGAACGAGATGTGATCACTTGGACAGCTTTGATTTCGGGTTATATTAATTTGGATATGCTTAAAGAGGGTAGAAATTTGTTCGATCGTAGCGATGCTTTGAAAAATGTGGTTACTTGGACAGTTTTGATATCCGGCTACTTGAAATCGAATCGAATATTCGAGGCGGAGAAGCTGTTCGACGAAATGCCGGTGAAGAATGTGGTGGCTTGGAACACGATGATCGAAGGGTATGCAAAGATAGGAAGGATCGAGGAGGCATTGGCGTTGTTCGATGCGATGGAAGATAGAAACGTCGTTTCTTGGAATATAGCGATGACGGGGTTGATCGATAGCGGAAGAATCGAGGATGCGAGGTGGTTTTTCGATCGGATGCCAACGAGGGACGTGGTTTCGTGGAATATAATGTTGTCGGGGTTGGCACGGAACGGGAGGATCGACGAAGCTAGATTTGTGTTCGAAAGAATGCCGGATCGTAATGTGGTGGCGTGGAATGCGATGGTGACAGGATACGCGCGAAACGCGAGGTTGCGTGAAGCGTACAGTTTGTTCGAGGCGATCCCGGATAAGAACGTGATGTCATGGAACGCGATGATTACAGGTTTTATTCAAAACGGCGAGATCGAAGAGGCGAGGAGATTGTTCCGTGATATGCCGAGGAAGAACATCGTTTCTTGGACGACGATGATAACTGGGTGTCTCCGACACGGCGCGACGGAGGAAGCGTTGAACGTTTTTGTTTCTATGGGAAGGGACGGGAGGGTGAGACCAAACGACGCGACTTTCGTGAGCGTTTTGGGCGCATGTAGCGAATTAGCGTTTCTTCGCGGGGGCGCGCAAATACACCAAATGATAATTAAGTCGAATTATCGCGAAAACGAGCGTGTGACCTCCGCGTTGATGAACATGTACTCGAAATGCGGAGAATTAGCCACGGTGAAGAAAATGTTTGACGACAACGGATTAAGGCGCAATACGGATTTGGTCGTGTGGAACACGATGATCGCCGCGTACGCTCACCACGGGCGCGGGGAAGACGCGATTTCTATTTTCGGAAAAATGCGACGTATGGGCTTTAATCCGGACGCCGTATCCTATAAAGAATTGTTGTCGGCGTGTAGCCACGCCGGGTTGGTCGAAGAAGGGCTAAATTACTTTAACGCCCTTATAAACGACGAATCCGTCGAATTAAAAGATGATCATTACACTTGCGTCGTGGATCTCTATAGTCGAGCGGGTAGGTTAAAAGAGGCGTTCGATCTTCTCGAACGGAGCGAGTTGGATGCCTCGGCGCACGCGTGGGGTGCGTTGCTATCGGGATGTAACGTTCACAGCGACGCCGAGGTCAGGAAATTGGCGGTGAAAAAGCTTATGAAGGTAAAAATGGAGAGTTCTGGCGCGTTTGCGAATTTGTCGAATATGTATGCGAGAGACGGGAAGTGGGGGGAGGCGGAGGGCGTGAGGTCGAGAATGTATGATCGAGGACTTAAGAAACAACCCGGGTGTAGTTGGATCGACGTCGGGAATAAGTTTCACGTGTTCTTCGTTGGAGACGGATTGAATAGTGAAATCGACAATGTACGATCGTTGCTTTTGGATCTTCATGAGGAGATGAAGATCGGGTTCTTGTTGTTCTTCGATGTTTCAGAGGAAGTGAGATTTGAATGTATATAAATATGCAACAAAAATTTGATCGTTGATTTTTCATCGACTAAGATTGATGAATTTTTTCATATTATAATGAAAATTAATTAAATTGTATTTCAGTGAGACCATTTTTATTTTTTCCCTAAATATATTGATATACTTACTTTGTTACGAAAGGTTATATTGCACAATAGTTTTTTTACCGGAAGAAGGGAATATATATATTTTTTTAAGAAAATCACAGATTTGTTTGATTTGTATTTAAAATTATATTTGTTACTATTCAATATATGCAGAATAAATTTCATTATTTTTTACTCTTTTGTCTCAAAATGAAATATTCATTTGTTTTTTTTTATAGTTTTAGAAATATTAATATTATATTGAGATATAGTAGGAATAAAGTAGAAATGACTAAATAATATATGTGATATAAAGGTAATGACATTTGAGTAATATATTGTAATTTGCAATGATATTTGTAATGTTAAGTAGATAGTACATTTACTTAAAAAAAGAAATATATATGTGACAGATTAAAATGAAAAAATAGATATTTTGTTATGGGACGGAGAAAGTATTATTTTTAATTTTGTGTGTATTTTTTTATAAAAAATATATAATATATTTTTTAAAAAATATTAATATATTATATATTTATTATTTTTATATTATATAGATAACATTTTATACCTTATATAAAAAAAAATCTTAAAACTAAAACACAAAATAAACAAACCCTTTGAAAATTAAATAATAGGTAATGTGATTATTTAAATAAAAAAATATATACTCCATCGGTCTCAAACATCGTACAACATTTGTGTTTAGCACGATAATTTATGTGGAAGGTATTAAGTATGATAATTTGAGATAATTTGGATATTAAATGAAGTGATCGAAGAAAAAAATGATTATTTATTTTTTTATTTGAGTGATGTGATGTGATAAAGTAAAATATATATTAATATATGTATATAAATATTATTAATTATTTTAAAATTTAAAAATATTGTAGTGAGTTTGAAAAAAAAAAAATTGTACGATGTTTGAGACGAATGATGTATTACATATTAAATTAGTAATATATATATATATATATTCCAAATAGAGTATTATTTAGATTAGAGTAGAATGTCTGTAAAAACATATACCAGCCCCGTTAGTGTCATTTGTGTAAATACTCCTATCTGATAAAATAATGAGTACAAATAAAAAATATTATATCTGTTTTTAAAAGTTTTATTTATTTTTTTACATATTAATATTTAAATATTAATTATTATATAAAATATAATACAAATTAATAAAAAATATTAAAAAAATATTTTAATTAGTATTTTGTAATACTAATAAAATAATATTTATATAAAAAAATAAAATTATACAAATATATAAAGATATTTTTAACGTACAATTACGCAAAAAGTCCGAGCACACGCTTTTGATAAATAAATAACATAGTAAAATAAACACATTTTTACAAAAATAAATATCATATACATAATAAAAAAACAAAAAGTTTTTGTGTCTTTCTTTTTTATTCGATTCAATAAGTTTTTGATTGAATTTAATATTAAAATAATATTCTCTGCCCTTTTTATTTATCTTTTTGTTTGTTTTTTTTTAAAAAATTTTAAAAATATTAATATTATATTAAAATATAATATGAATAAAATAAAAAAAATTAAAATAATATTATTAATATTGTGTGATATAAATATTATTAATATTTATGTATTATAAATTACAAGAATATTTAGAATATTAGTAAAAAAATAAATGAATACAACCCATCAAAATAGAAAAAATTGATAGATGTTTAGGAACGAGTAAAAAATATATATGATATTTAAAAAATTTATAATTTCAATGATAAAATTCGAAGATTCTAGAGAAAATTTAAAAACAACACAGCCATAATATTACAATAATAATATAATAATAATAATTACAAAAATAATCTTCCATTTTAATGCGGGAAGAGAGCAGTACCCCAGAAGCCCCAAAACCAGAATCAATCCACACCGTCGATTGTAAAACCCCAGACCACCAACGGTCGAGATCCATCAAATGCTACCAATACAAAATCCCTCAGTCGTCTTCCTCCTCTGACCTGCATTATATCTTCCACCTTCAACACACCCCACTGCATTAACTCCATTGACACCCACCTTCCACCAATCCCCTCCGCCATTGTTGCAGTGCCAAGAAAACCTCAATAATTGCATTTCTTCGCTCACTCCGAACCTCCAATTCCACTCCCCAATGGGCTGCTCCGCTTCTCGCCCAGCCAATTTTATCCCCAATTCCCAAAACCCTAACCCTAACCCTAATCCCACCCCCAATTCGTCTTCCTCATTCCCCAATTCCCAATTGCAGTCGCCGTTCCGATCATTCTCCGATCCTTCCTCGACGCCGGCTTCTAGAACCCTCTCCTTACCCACCCCCCTAGTGCACCACCCCCCCCTGCGGAAAGGCGATTCCAACCACTTCGTCTCCCTCACTTCCACCACCTACGGCTCCCTGCCCGCGGAGGAGCCGCCGGCAGCTCTCGCCTCTGCTAAACCGTACGATCCCCTTAATCCGACGGCTCAGATTAAGCCGCCGCCGCCGGACTCCGCCCCTTCCGACGATCCTTTATCCCCTGATTCAGTTATCAACACATGGGAGCTCATGGAAGGCCTTGATGATGATGGCAATGGCGTTGAGGATCTGTTCAGTTTTGATTATGGCGTTGAATCATCGAAAAAGTTCGACGATTATCCGGTTTCGAATTCGAATTCGAAGCCGTTATGGCGGCATTTGTCGGAAGAATCATTGCTCGCGAAAATGGATCGAAACGTGGTTTCAAGCTATCGAAAAGCATTGTTGTCGAGGCGGCCTCGAGAGAGGCTTAAAGACTTGTTGACGCCGCAGTCGCCGGAGTCGGATATCGTCGAGTCCGGCGGCGGCAGCGAGGATAGAATTATTGTGTATTATACGAGCTTGAGAGGCATTCGAAAGACGTATGAGGATTGTTGCATGGCGCGGTCGATAATTAGGGGTTTTCTAGTGCGCGTCGACGAGAGGGACATTTCGATGGATCGATCGTATAGGACGGAATTAGAGGAGGCTTTGAAGGGTAGAGAGGCGATCTTGCCGCAAGTGTTTATTCGGGGGAAGCGTATCGGAGGGGCGGAGGAGATTAAGCGACTAAACGAGACGGGGGAGTTGGCGAAATTGTTGGAAGGGTTTCCGATTACGGATTCGGGTCGAATTTGCACGGTTTGCGGGGATGCGAGGTTTGTCCCGTGCAAGAATTGTAGCGGGAGTAGGAAGGTTTACGACGACGGGAATGGGGAGTTGAGGCGATGTCCGGAGTGTAATGAAAATGGATTGATTCGATGCTCGGGTTGTTGCCATTAAGTCAGTATATCGATGTCTGCATGTGTTGTGTAGATTATTATCATGTATTATTAATTAGGGTCGGGTTTGTAGAAAAATGATTAACTTGGTGGCAAGAATTGTCGTGGAGGAACTTAGCGCAATGCGCAACGAGAATGGATTGATTCGATGCTCGGGTTGTTGCCCTTGAGTCAGTTATATTGATGGTTGCACGTGCTATGTGGACTATTGTCATGTATTATTTTTTGGGCTCTGGTTTGTCGAAAAAATGATTATTCTTGCTAGCAAGAATCGCCGTGAAGGAAATTAGCGCGATGCGCTTTTTGTGTTATCGTGTTGAATTTGAACGGGTTGCGCTTTCGCCTTGGTTTTACGGCGTTATATTGTATTGGCCGACGGACTCGACCAACGGTTATATATACATATTTATTTACCCACACGCGCACATATTCACGCAGTTAAGCGGATGGAACCTCACTATAAGGGTGTCAATTTGTATTTTTGAGTTGTATTAGTGTCGGAGTGAGCCAAGGGTATAACAAAAAACACTTTCAATTCGAGCCCAATCCAAAACCCTAAAGAATAGGATACAATTTTTTCTGAATAGGTTTAAATGAAACAGACTTGAAAATGTAATTTAGTATTTTAGTCATTTAAAAATATATATTATTTTGATTTTAACTTAATATAAATATTATAAATTGAAATAAACAATAATTTCAGGTCAATCCGAAATTTGAGCTAATTTTTTTATTTCGAATTATCAAGTTAACCCAAAATCTGATCCGAACATGACACCATTCTTTTCTTTTCATATGGGATTCGATTTTTCATATTATGTTTAATTTTGACACTTCTAGCTAACTAGGTCAAATCAATCCATTCTGCACAATAATATCACATATTTGATAGCATGTAAGAGCAATTGCAATGGTTTTGATATAAACAGCTTTTTTGTCAGATTAGAAGCTTTATTTTAGGACATTTCAAAAAATACAATGCAATGACTTATATTTTGATTGAAAAAAAAATGAAAAAAATTGATCATGCTTGGTGCATGAAGCCCAATTCAGGCTATGCATTTACTTTTCTTCTCTCAATCTCTCTCATTTTCCTTTTTTTCTCTCTCCACATTCTTACTTTCTCTTCTCCTCTTTACTTTCTCTCTCATCGTTGTGTCTTTTTTTTTTTTTTTCTCAAATAGAATTGTTGCTCAATTTCTCTCTCTTTACCTATAAAAATATAGAATATTACTTGGACAAGTAAGCTAACGAAGCTTTTTTTTCTCTATACCATTGCAGTTGCTCTAAGGGCGTCTGTATCCAAGAAATCTACTCTTGTTTTCTCCGCCACTTCAGCAATTTTTTTTTCTTTTATATTCATATCAAAAGTTTTTATTCATAAAAAATTATAAATTATTTTTTTTATTCATATTATTAAATTATTTATTTTAAAAATAATTTAAATAATAACAAAATATTAATATATACAAATACAATTCAAATAAAATACATTAATTGAAATACATGGCAGAATGAAGATAAGCAACGTGCAGAAGTGATGATTTTATTTTTTTAATAAAAGCTATTTGCGGATGATTTAACTATACAATATGCAACACATATATGTTATTATTTCAAATAGAATAATATATTGATTTCAGTACAATAATTATATTTATGAGTCACAATAATATATATATTACATAATATATATTTTTATATAATATAATATTGAGTGTATTGTATCTAATAGGACATAGTTGTACATGATAATAATTTATAAAACACATGTTATAATTGAATTTAACACATACATGATTTATATTAATATAATACTTTTTTTGTCCTATAAATATAGTCTTAATTGGATTTGATACGAGATTTAAGAAATATTGATATTATATTGGTAGTGAGTAAAAAATATGGATAAAAAACTTTTTTGTTCTTGTGAATATATTAGTGTAAAAAATAGTTACAATTGTGTAATAAAAATGAAAAAGTAGGGGTAGTTTTACGGTGATATGATTATTTATGGAAATAAAACTATTGTTTTTGAACGAACAAAAATAGTAAACAAGAGTATTGTATTGGGACATAGAGTATAATATAATATATAAATTGAAAATATACAGTACTCCCTCCATCATACAAATGTGTGCTTATTTGACCGGACACGAGTTTTAATAAAAATGAATAATAATTGTTACTTTTTCTTTTTATAGTAAAAAAAGTATAAAATTATAATAATTTTTTACTTCAAAAAAACAAATATATTTTTCAATAACAACTCAAAAACAAATGAGCATAAATTTTAACGTGGAAGGAAGTAATTGTTAAAGTATATGTCACAATTATTTTTAAGATTTATTTATTTATATATATATACCACAATATATAATATATAATATATAAATTAATAGTACATGCTAATGACATATACAACAAAGATATTTCAATAATAAATGTGTGGTTGTATCAATATTGGGTGTATTTATTTTGTATTATTGAGTGAATTTATTTTTATTTTTATGTTAAATACGATAATTTATATCACTAATATAAAAATAACATTTTATGTTAAATTACTAATTTTTTTTAACTAATAAAACATATATTATATTAATGTTTATTTATAATAGTATAATTTTTTAATAATTAGATGCTATCAATTCAATTAATTAGTTTGACTAGCAATTATTTGTTTGTATTAAAGTATTTGGTAAAAAACTATTTGATAATTAAAGATATTGATGTGTTATTTTTTAAAATATTTAATTTTTGTTCATTTTGATTTAAAATTTATTAGAATTTTTGTTATTAATTATTAAAAATCATAAAAAAATTATAAAATTTTTATTTTTATATTTTAGATGAAATTGTGTAAAATATAAAATAATAAATTATATATATTTATTATAAATTATTATTTATTAAATTTTAATGTATATTCATATAATAAAAAATATGTAAATAAATTAATAATATTTATCTTTTATATTTAATTTAAATTTAAATAAATTTATATATTTCACAATTAAAATGATTTATACGATGTAATTAATAGTAATAGTTATTATTTTAAATTTACAAACATAATTTATAATGTAATAAATTAAAGATACTAAAAATTATTAATAAATATTGCAATAAAAATATATTTATATATAATAAATAAATAATTTTAAAAATAAATAAATAATAAATAAATTAAGGTGGAAAAAATCTTCTAGGTTATTAGCTTTTAAGAAAAAAAAGGGATCTTTTAAAAAGCTAATTTTAAATTAGTTTTGTATTTTAGGTAATGTAGATTAACAAGTTATTAATAATAAATTATGATATTATTTTATTATTTTTATATGAGTAATGTTGTTGGCATTTTAAATATTTTTAGCATTATATATCAATAAAATATATACAATATGAATATCATTTTATATAAAATAAAATTTTATATACTCCATCTGTCCTATAATAAAGTATCTATTTTTCCATTTTAGTCACTTTCGTAACAAAGTATTCATTTTATTTTTAAGTAACAATACTATTTACCTAACATTACAAATACCCTTACAATTTACAATATATTACACAAATACCATTACCTTTATATCACACGTACTAATAAGGTTATTTTAGTTATTTAATAAGGATGTGTTTGTTTGGGGGATTGGATTGGATTTACATTATTCATCCAATTTTTTTCCTCAAAAACATCAAATCAAACACCTATTTTTTATTTTTTATATTATACTAAAAATCAATTTTATATTCAAAACATCACATCAACAACTATTTATATCACATCATACAACTATTCAAATTCAAAATTTTTACTATTCAAATCCCAGTTCAAAATCCAAATCCCCAAACAAACACATCCTAAATTAAAAAAGTCTTCAAAAACGTTTTTCCCAAACACCCCTAAAGATTAGATAATTCCATTTACATCCCTGAAATTTGGATAATGCCATTTTCAACCCCAAAACTTTCTTCACCATTTGCGCCGCGAACAGTATTGCCCGCAATCGATCGTCCGATCAAAACCCTTTCCCCAATTCCCAAATGCTCCGTTCCACAACTCTCAGACGCTCTCTGCGCTCCCTCGCCGGCCGCCGCCGCCAGCCTGAATACATCTCCGCCTTCTTCCCCCGTCCGTTGGCCGGCCGCGGATTTTGCTCCGTACCAACGCCGCCGCCCTCTTCAACCACCGATGCCGAGGTCCGCAAATACATCGGCTACACAATTCTCCTCCTCGGCTGCGGCGCCGCCACTTACTACTCGTTCCCATTGCCGGAGGACGCGAAGCACAAAAAGGCTCAGCTCTTCCGATACGCTCCTCTGCCTCCCGACCTCCACACGGTGTCCAATTGGAGCGGCACGCACGAGGTCCGAACGCGGACGTTTTTGCAGCCGGAGTCCATTGATGAGCTCGACGCAGTGGTGAAGGATTGCAATGAGAAGAAGCAGAAGATCCGGCCGGTTGGGTCGGGGCTCTCGCCGAATGGGATTGGATTGACGCGTGCGGGGATGGTGAATCTGGCTTTGATGGATAGGATTTTGGAGGTAGACGAGAAGACTAAGAGGGTTACAGTGCAGGCGGGGATTAGGGTTCAGCAGCTTGTGGATGGGATTAAAGAGCACGGGCTTACTTTGCAGAATTTTGCTTCCATCAGAGAGCAACAGATTGGTGGCATTGTTCAGGTGAGTGTTGATATGTATTCGATTTTTCATGAAATATTGGTATGGCGTGTTTTCGAGCATGTTGGTGTAGGGTTTCCATTGTGATCTTTAATGGTTCTTGAATGTGTTTAATTGTATGCTAAGATTGTTTCTAGTGTAACTTGAGTTTCGAATTGGTTCATTACTATAATGGTGAGTTTGGCGTAGTGAATGAAATTACTGATAATTAAAAGAGAATGAAATGGAATTCAACATAGAAGAATTGATTGTTATGTTTGGGAGAGTAGAGAATTCAACTAAGAAATAAATGCTAGATGAATTAATTTGGAGGAGACGATGTATTGCATGTTGATTGATAAAGAGGATACAATGAGTAAGAGATGATTTCAGTGAAGTGAAAATCCGTCGATAAATGTTAGTGTGTTTAGCTGGTGATTAATTTATTTTATTTGAATAGTTGTTTGAAGGTGATGTTCTATGAAATGGAATAATGTCCTTTTCTTTATCTTTAATAAATAATAGTGAAAGTTAGATATTTAAAAAAATGCCAAATGAACATACTTTTCTTAAATTTCATTTCATTTCGTTTTTCTTTACACGGTGGAGAAATGAAATAAGAGAATCAGATACCATTTAATTCTCAAATTTCAATTTTTTGAATCTTGACTCAAACAAGTGAAATGGGGTATTTCCATTTCTCTGAGCCTGTACCGGACACATTCTTAAGGGATGAAGGGAAGACAGTTTAATTTATGGTGATCATAAAATCTATTATTGAAATTTATCTATAATGGCCTTATATGATGTTTGCACCATTTAGACCTAGCTTTGCATTCATTTACAGCTGTGTGATCGTCGCCTAATTTATATTACGAGACTTGCAGGTTGGGGCGCACGGGACTGGTGCAAGGTTGCCTCCTATAGATGAGCAGGTAATCAGTATGAAACTGGTTACGCCGGCGAAGGGCATTGTTGAGGTTTCGAAAGAGAAAGATCCAGAGCTTTTTTACTTGGCTCGTTGTGGCCTTGGAGGGCTCGGTGTGGTTGCTGAAGTTACACTTCAGTGTGTCGAGAGGCAGGAGCTTGTAGAGCATACTTACGTGTCCAACATAGAGGAGATTAAAAAGAATCACAAGTAGTGTTCAGTTTCGTGTAGCATAAAATTTTCATCATTACCTGTGTTTGTTTTATTTATAGCATTAATAAGTCTTCCTATCATGCTTTGCAGAAAACTTCTTTCTGAGAACAAACATATCAAATACCTGCATATACCGTATACTGACACAGTTGTGGTTGTGAGGTGTAATCCTCTTTCGAAATTGAAAGGTCCACCTAAACATAAACCTAAGTATACCCAGGAAGAAGCTATACAGCATGTGAGAGACCTTTACCGGGAATCTTTGCTTAAGTATAGGTGAATCCATTGTAACCTTACCTTATGTGGCCTTGTTCATAGATTTTATTTTACTTTTTCTTGGGACAGAACATGTACAAATTTAGGGTTTGTTAATGCGTTGTTACTGTTATTTTAGTCCTCATTACGTGATTTTGATTTTACAGAAAAGAGCTTGTCGCATCAAAGACTCCTGAGGAAAATGAACCGGATATCAACGAACTTTCGTTTACAGAACTGAGAGACAAGTTGATTGCTTTGGATCCTCTCAATAAGGAGCACATAGTGAAGGTTAATCAAGCAGAGGCAGAATTTTGGAGAAAGTCGGAAGGTTATAGAGTGGGCTGGAGTGATGAAATCTTGGGCTTCGATTGTGGTGGGCAGCAGTGGGTCTCAGAAACTTGTTTCCCGGCCGGAACGTTATCACGACCAAGTATGAAAGATCTGGAATATATTGGAAAATTGATGCAGCTTATTGAGAAAGAAAATTTACCTGCCCCAGCACCTATTGAGCAAAGATGGACCACATGCAGCAGAAGCCTGATGAGCCCGGCGTATAGTTCATCAAAGGATGATATATTCTCATGGGTAATTTTTCTAATTTCTAATGCCTGTTTATGAACTTCAGTTTTATGCCACCGGTTGGTAATTAATATTGTTATGATTATTTGTCAAACAGGTTGGTATTATCATGTATCTTCCTACAATGGATGCTCGTCAGAGGAAGCAAATAACTGAAGAATTTTTTCACTATCGGCATTTGACACAAACTACATTGTGGGATGAATACTCAGCATATGAACACTGGGCTAAGATTGAGGTGAATGCTTTTATCAAAAATTCAAATTACAATTAATTACTGTAAAGTTAATTGATGAAGCAATGGAAAAATTGAATAATTTCTCTCCACTGCATTTTAAGCTGTATATCTTTAGCATGCTAACGTGGTTTTTACCTCAACTTGCATGTAGGTCCCAAAGGCCCAAGATGAGCTTGCTGCTCTTCAGGCAAGATTGAGGAAGAGATTTCCAGTTGATGCATACAATCAAGCAAGGAAGGAACTCGATCCCAATGGGATCCTTTCTAACAATATGATTGAGAAACTGTTTCCCTCCACTGTGGCCGTATGATGTGCTTGATCATATATCCTTTGGTTGTATGTTGCAAACTGATAATTTTTCTACAGCTCAAGAATTAAGGTGATCTTTTATTATTGATACGAGATGCCAGCCAATTGGCCATCATATTTACTATAATTCATTGTTAAGTTTCTTCAGGTTCGCGCAATCATACCTTGAACCTTGATCTTATAATAGTAGCCTTCAAGGATAGAAAGAAAGCATACTTGGCAATGTTAGTTTGTCAATCAACAATTTTGTATTCTTGAATGGTACTTACTAATTGGTTAATAAATTTTGTTTAATCTTGAAAGCATACTTGGTAGACTTGGCAAGATTTTTTATTAGCATGTCATGGTGTTATATCCTAGTTTTACGCAATATTTTATATAGCTGCTTTGTTAAAGACTTTGGTGCTAGTGGCTGCCTTGATATGATTCTTGATTACAAGCAGCGTGGCTTAGACCCTAACCATGAAGGTGGAAAACTGCATACAATCTGTTTTATGATTGGGTATTACCCTAATTTGTAATTTTGGTAGGGATAATTTATCGGAAAGACTTTCTGTTGTTTGATATAGCATGCCGGTTTGTTTTTGACCGAGAGTGCTGGTTACGTTGATATGATGTTGGCAAGCTAAACCATAGCAATTGGCATTTAAAATTATATGATTATGATTTTTTATCGGCATGAAGAATAGATATCCCAAAGTTGAAAACGATCATGCTGAGCAGAGCATCTTGCTATTATTCTTGTAACTGTCTGAACTTGTAGCTGCCTTATTTAATATTAATCTTCAATTACTGCTAATCATGCTCTATTTTTCCTTGCTTGCCCATTGGATTTTTCTGTGTTGCTGCTATGTTCGATCTCTGCCAGTTGATCTTGAAAATTTGAGTTTCTATCAGATTTTTCAGGGATTGTCTTGCTTCTCTTTGGACTGATTATCGGGAGCAATTGGAAATGTCATACAGTGGATGTAAACTCAGTATTTTAATTAACATACTAATACAGTTCAAACTCTATTTACATCAACTTGCCGACATTTATTGGGTCCCACATTTTCGTCATAAGGGAAAGATCGTATTTAGCATCTTTATATGCATGTGTAATACATTATTTAGTAGAGCTTTTATTATACATGCTTTTAGCACGAATATGCAAGTATCTTGTATGACTCATTGTAGTTGATTGGACTAAAATAAATCGAATATGTAGGATTGGGAGCATATCTGATGTTTGTGCCTATCTGTCTGGCAATATCTTGATTCGAACGTAAAATATTAATTGCAACTCGAATAAATAACAGTGTATTTCTTTTATCTGCTTAAATCTGTATCATTTATTGAAAACAAAAGGTGTACACTTTGAACCTCCGATATCCCTTTGCATCTTAAATTAAAGTACAGAAATTAACATATGTGCCTGTTGTTGCTGTTTCATTCTGATTCAGTCGAAGCATACTTCACAGATCCAGCAGCAGCATAGAGCAAAGAGGCTGCAGAATCCAAGAATCGTAAGTAATAGAAGCCCGAGTTAAAGAAATGAAGACTATTGTAAGTTCTCAGGGAATTGCATAAATATATGATAGAATGTTTTAATAATATATTATCAAGAAGATTGGTTTTGAAGTTGCATAGTCAGTAATTTTACCATCCCTCGAGGAAACCCCTGTCTCCTTTTGTCTTTGTTCTTGGGCAGCAGTTCCTTTTCTTCCGCTCTTTTGAAGGATTTCCAGTCGGATAACCTGCAAGCGATAGAAAAAGTAAGTCCCCGTATCATAAAATGCATGCTTCATTTTGCTGGTAAACCTGACTATATCAAAGTATGAATTTTCTTCTATTTGTGGGTCTGTGTGTAAGAATGAGAGTGAATGGCACCTGGAGGAGGGGTAGGAGGTTGGTTTTGCATTTTCGATGAAGATCAGTGTTTAAGGTTAGATGTGTAGTGAGGAGTTTGGGATTCTAACTTAAAAGAAACAAGTAAATTGAATGTTCTGGCGACAAAAAATGATGGTTTGTGAGCATCAGAACCTCTATATATATAGGCGACAAAATCATTGTGTACGTGTGTGAAAGTATCGTGGATGAGTCAGTAGGAAAGGGAACTTTGTGGACTGTCTTTTCGAGCAATTGGGGAAGTGAATTTATTGCCTTTTTTGTTGGTTTATTACGTTTATTGTGTGTTTGCTAAGCTCTAGATCGTTTTGATTTATATTTTTTTGAAGTGATTCGGTGTGACTGTAAATTACGTAGGGCGAAAAAATGTGTCGATAACATAGGTGAACAAAAAGCTTTAAATGGGAAACATCGGTATAGAATAGCTGTTGGTTTTCACACTGCTTTTGACTATTGCTGGATTCCTTACATTTGGTAGAATGTTGTGTAAGAGAATGTAATGTAAAGCATGAAAGGGGAAGGAATATTTGATATGATGAAATAGTGCCATGGCCTACACTCATCCATGGAATATATTCGATGCTTACTTTTGTTACATGTATATTATCTGGAAAGATTTTAGATTTATTGGTAGAAACTTAGGGACTAAGATCACAGGGAATCAATAGTTAGCTTGAGTTTGGACTTGACGATCAGTTTTGTTGTGATTTGAAATTGATTTGAAATAATGTGTTATTTAAATTTTTATTTAAATAGTATTTTGATGTGGTAGTTTTTTTTGAGATAAAAGGCTTTGAGAGGTTTGTGTATTTATAAAGTTTAGGCTTGGTAAATGGTAATTATAATGTGATTATTATTATTATTAGGGAAAAAATTATTTTTGGTCCCAATATAATCAAAATTCATCCATTTTGATCCCAATATAAATTTTTTTTTATCAATTTTGGTCTCAATATAACCAAAATTATCATTTTTGTTCCAATATAACAAAAATTCATCATTTTTTCGTCTCAATATAATTTTTTTTTAATCAATTTTAGTTTCAATATAACCAAAATTTATTATTTTTTGGTCTCAATATAATCAAATATTAATTTTTTTTGTCCCACCGTCAGCAAACTGACGAAAAATGAGGACTTGGACTTGCAAGATTGTGCAATTTTTTCAAATGTAAATATAAGGTTTGATTTTTTTTTCGTCAGCATTTTTCGTCGGTTTGTTGATGGCGGGACCAGAAAAAGATGAGGTTTGATTATATTAGGACAAAAAATGATGAATTTTGTTATATTGAGACTAAAATTGATAAAAAATTTATATTTGGACAAAAAATTAGGATCAAAATTGATAAATTTTTTATATTGAGACCAAAATTAATGAATTTTTTATATTGAGACCAAAATTGATGAATTTTGGTTATATTAGACAAAAATAATTTTTTCCCTTATTATTATTATTATTATTATTATTATTATTGTAGTGTAAAGATGTCTTTGAGAAACACTGAGGTTAGAACAATTAAAAATAAAAATAAAAATACATTTTCCTTTTTTTCGATTCTAAAAAAGTCACTTGATAATATTAGTAAAAGAAATTCATCTATTTTTTATGAGTTATCTTACGTGTCACAAGCATATGTACTTTACATACTCTCAGAACTACGGGTCAATGATTTGTATAAATTAAGATTTGTTCTTGTTGTAACATGTTCTTGGTTTGAGTTTGAATTTGATTTTGATTTAAATTTTAATTTAAATAATTCTTTAATAGATTTTTTTTTATTTTAAAAGGAATAGTAGGAGCTGGATAGGAAGATTAGGTTTGAAATCCAAATCAGGTTTTTTTGAATAAAAATTAAGCTGAGTTTTGTTAAGTTGGGTTCCAATTGACATTCATTTAATATAATATATATTCAGGGTAAAATATTATTAAAAAATATAAATATATATACTATTAATATAATATATATATATATTCTTATATTATTAATACAATTTTTTATATTACTCATCAAAAATTAATTTAATTAAAAATGGTGACCGAACAAACTGATTATATTAATTAAAATTATATTTATACAATATGTTATATGGATCTGCAGTAGTATGGACGGTGTGAATAATTGTCATTATTTATTAATAGGTTGTCAAATGTTTTAAATGTTTTTTTTTTTTTAAAGAACAATTGAGAAACAATAAAAAGTAAAATGTTTAATATGATATTTTATATATAAAAAAATAAATATTTGATACGAAATTATGTTGAAAATATTTAATAATGCAATAAAAAATATAAGTTTGTTCACTTAATAATATTTTGGTGACATAATTACCTATAAATATTATAAAAATAAGTTAAAAGTATATACATATCACAATACCCTCTTTATTATTATTATTATTATTATTTTATTTTTTTATTTTTCCTCCATTTGACATATTTTTTTTTAAAAAAAATTATATATTTTAATCATATTTTAAATCATAATTTATATATATATATTTTTAAAATTTTAATTAAATTATTTAATTATTTTAATTTTAATCTATAATTATTTTTATTATACAATAATTATTTTTTCTAATATATTTCTTAATTATTTACTAATTATACTTTACTTAAATTTGTGTATATACAATAATAGAGACATATTACCTGGGACGGATGAAATATTAACTTAAAAAATATTAACAACTCAATAAAAAATATTCGGTTCAATATAATGTAACAAATTTTGTCTGTCTACTTAAAAGTATTTACTTTCAATTACAATTAGAGTTTGTTCGTTTGAAGAATTTTACCAAAATTCTACTATTCATCCGAAATTTTCTACCCAAAAATATCAAATCAAACACTTATTTTTCATTTTTTATATTATACTAAAAATCAATTTTACATTCAAAACATCACATCAACACCTATTTATATCACATCATACAACTATTCAAATTTAAAATTTTTATTTTTCAAATCTCAACTCAAAATCCAAACCCCCAAACAAACACACCCTAAGTAATCATTTTTAAAAAACCAAAATACTTTTAATTCTCTTAAAAAATATTCATTTTCTTTGTGCTCTTAAGAACAAAAATATCAAAATCATATTATATATTTTTATTAATCAATAAAATATTATTATTTTTTAACCGACTAAATAAAAATAAAGGAATACATTAGGGTGCGTTCGTTTGGGAGAAAACCTCCAAATTTTAATGTTCATCAAAAAGATTTTCAAAAAAAATTAAATTAAACATCTATTTTTTATTTTTTTATATTATATTAAAAATTAATTTTACATTCAAAACATCACATTAGCACCTATTTATATCACATTATACAACTGTTACCATTCAAAATTTTTACTATTTAAATTTCACCTCAAAATTCAAACTTCGAAACAACCACACCCTTAAGATTGAATGAGTATTATTTTTTAATATCTTATAAGAAAATATTTTTTATTTTGAAAATTAGTTTAAATTTTATCAAATACTCTCCCACTCCCACCTTAGTTGATAAATTTTTCATTATTTTCTGATACATTAAACACATTTTCAGTAAAATCAAAATATATTTAGCTGAATACTATAAATTAAGTATATAAAATATAACATAATACATCATATAAGATCCATTAAAAATTCCTTTATTTATTTCTACTAAAAAATATATTTTATTTATATTTAAAACTTCATCTCAATAATAAATTAGTTTATATTAATTATAAATAAAAAAAAATATTTTTTGTATTCACTTGTATTAAAAAAAAATTCTTTTTTACAAAAAAAATAATATCCATGTTGTATGTATATCTTTTTATTATGATATAAATTTTAAAATATTTAAATACATATTTTAATTTTTTTAATCATATATATTAATCTATTTTAAAATTATCAATATTATTAATTACATAAAAAATAATAAATTACTATCATAATCCACCATAAATTTTTACTATTTAATTTTTTTTTTTTCAAAAAAAAAAAAACTCTAATTTTTTGTCTGACAGCATCCCACTATATTTTATTTTAATACCAAATTCAAACCAAAATTTTGCAACTACGTCAATACCAATTATTTTATTTTTTAAAATTTATTAATTCTAAATTTTCTAATGCAAATTCACGTTAAAGCAATATTTTTAATTAATTAATTAATTAATTTTTTAAAATCACGGTACAGTAATATGCAGATTGTAATTATAGTAATAAAGAAAATCTGAGAGGCAGACTACAGAGAGAAGCAGTGTGATCTGAGCTTCCCACCGACGCTCCAATCGAATCCTGCGATTGATCTCTCAGCAATCGCTCCCGCCATCTCGCACGGATTCCGTGGCTCTGGATCTACCTCTGACCTCCAATGGCTTCCCCAATCATGCATTAACTCCGCGTCTTCTTTTGGAGGTTGCAGGAAATGGTGGGATTTATCAACACGATGACCTTCGATTGGAGGCTCGCACAGCTTGTTATGGTTGCTCTTTTAGTAATGATAGCTTCTTTCTACGCTGGCACTCTCTTCGGCAATAGCTCTGCTTCCATTTACGAAACACTACCGCAGAAGGCCGAAAATCAGGAGCAATCGTCTGCCGTCGATGGTTCGCCTGCAGCCTCTGGTTAGGGTTCAATGCCGCACTTGTTTGATTGCTAATTACCAGTTATTCGAATTTGCATTATTATTTTGTGCTTTGTTTTGAATCAATTCAGATTTTATTTAGCGATTTTAGCGTTTTGAGTGCATATAATTGTGATTGGAAAATATTAGGTTTTAAGTTTAACCAGTTTGGAGCAATTACCAGTTATTCGCATTTGCATTTTCATGTGTTTTGTCAATCGATTTCGTGTTTATATATCTATTTTAGGGTTTTGGCTGCATATAATTGGGATTGGAAGATATTAGGTTTTAATTTAACCAGCTTTGAGCAATTACCAATTATTCGAATTTGCATTTTTCATGCGATTTGTGAATCAATTTAGTGTTTATTTATCGATTTTAGGGTTTTTACTGCATATAATTGGGAATGGAAAATATTAGGTTTTAATTCAATCAGTTTGGAGCTTGAAATGATGAATGGAATTCATGCATTCTAATTAGAAATTTTAATTTCAATTTATAGGAGCGAATTCATGTGTTATAATTAGAAATATTATTGTTGATTATGGTCAGATTTGTTCTTGGCAGAAGTTTTTACAAATAAGGTTAGTCTTACTTATCGGACAGAAGAAGTTCGGATCCCCGAGACAGGGATGAATATCTGCCCTTTGATGTATAATGAGTATATTCCCTGCCATGATCTCTCTTACATAGAAGAGATACTGCCAAAGTTAGATGTTTCTAGGAAAGAAGAGCTAGAGAGGCACTGTCCTCCTCTGAATCGGCGCTTATTTTGTTTGGTGCCTCCGCCAGCTGATTATAAGATACCAATTGGATGGCCAACTAGTCGGGATTATGTTTGGCGAAGCAATGTGAATCATACGCATCTTGCGGAAGTAAAGGGCGGGCAAAATTGGGTGCATGAGAAGGATCAGCTGTGGTGGTTTCCGGGAGGAGGTACCCATTTCAAGCATGGAGCTCCTGAGTACATTCAAAGGTACTATCAATAGGTTCCGTTTAGATGGAATTCTTTTTCAGCCTGGATTGAGTTTGGTTGTTTGGGTTTTATTGCTGAAATAATATTTAATGTGATGTTTTCAGAGAGGAAAAAGTATATTTTATTTCAAAAATGTAAAATCTAAATAGTAAAAACCAATATAGAAACTGAAAAAAGAACAAAGGAGTTTTGAAAAGTTTTAGGAATTGTAAAAAATTGAGTATTTGACGTGATGTTTCCTCAGATGAAAAAGGTATTTGATATAAGAGTTACTGTTGATGAATAGTATCAAAAGTTTTTCTAAAGTGTTTATTTAAATAGCGAAGTTCGAAAAGTGTCTATGTAAATTGAGCCGAATCATTTTTCTTATTATTGCTCGAATCCAAGATGTTTACGTTGGTGCAAGAAACTCTGTCAATCTTTGACTGTACATTTAAGTTTGTAGTTTGTTGCGTTTTTCATTGAATTTCAATCGATCCTCTTGTAAGACAGTGACTTGTTTTAAACATATTGATTACATATCACAGAATTTTGTTCTGAGTATGTTTGAGCAATAACGATTTTTACCAATTAGGTTGGAAGACTGATTCAGATGGAATATTCTGCTGCAGGTTAGGAAATATGATGACTAATGGGAATGGTGACCTTAGTTCTGCTGGGGTATTTCAAGTTTTAGATGTTGGATGTGGAGTCGCAAGCTTCTCAGCGTATCTTCTTCCCTTAAATATTGAAACCATGTCTTTTGCACCGAAAGATGGTCACGAAAATCAAATTCAATTTGCTTTAGAGCGAGGAATCGGTGCTATGATTTCTGCATTATCCACCAAACAGTTACCGTATCCAAGCAATTCTTTTGAGATGATCCATTGTTCAAGATGTCGTGTCGATTGGCATGAGAATGGTTAGTCTTTTCAACCTAACGGATTGGTAGCACGTTCTCGATTCAGAATTTTGCTCGACATGGTTACATTTAAATGAGAAATGGGATATGTTTGTTGTATTCGGATTCAGAAATCTGAATTTATACTTTTCCTTATTTGGTTTTCCTCAGAGAACAATTCCCCAATCATTTTCCGAAAGTAAAATGTAACACATCCTTGTTTGATGCAGATGGGATTCTTATTAAAGAAGCAAATCGCCTCCTGAGGACAAACGGATTTTTCGTGTATTCTGCACCACCTGCTTACAGAAAAGATAAAGATTTTCCTTTGATTTGGGATAAATTGATAAATCTAACTTCTGCAATGTGCTGGAAACTCATTGCTCAGCAAGTCCAGACTGCAATTTGGGTTAAGCTGGACGACAACTCTTGTCTCCAGCAAAATGCACAGCAGAACCTTATCAGTTTATGTGATCCAAAAGACGACGAGAAACCTTCATGGAATATACCTCTGAGAAACTGTGTATCGGAACGCTATGTGCAGAAACTTCCGCCAAAGCCCCAGCGTCTGTCAGAGTATTTGGGGAATCTCAGTATGCTAGGTAACTTGAATGAAAATAACTGTTGTGTGTAACATAGGCTCCGTTTTGAAGATTTGGAAAATTTTGAGAATACAAAAAAGTTGAGTATTTGACATAATGTTTTGTTAGAAAAAATAGTTATTTGATACAAATCATGAAGTTTAAAATGTATGTGTCAGAGCTTTTTCATACACTATTATGTGGTCCATCATGCTAGCACTGCACTAATATAACTTACACTTAAAAACAATAAATTCTATTTCGTCTTTTTTTTACTCTTGCAAATGTAGTAAATGAAGATCTTCCATAAAAGTTCTTAGTAGAATCGAGAATGAAGTTTTTATTTGCACATAACAGAGATCTTGAAAGTAGTAATTGCATTTAATTTCCGGTTTCAACTTTCCATCTTTGAAACTTCCATTGTATGGAGTTCATATTTGTGTATGAAATATTGTACAAAGCATATAATTTTGTGATATTTAGGATATTACTTCTTTGTCTAAATTAACGGCCAAGTCAATTTTATTGGACTAATTATACTTTCAAAAGCTTTCTTGGATTTCTCTTTGGAAAAACTTTTTGCTATACTCACCTTTTTGATATATTTATGTAGAAATTGATCATCATATCTCAGCAATGGCTATTGTCCTTACTTTATTTCTATCGTTGAAATCACTGGTTCATTTTTGGAATAATAAATATTTTGCCTCAAGTGGTTGTCTATTAACTGCAGCATTGCTCGTTTAGTTGCTCCGATTACAGTTTATGTGGCTAGATATTTTGTAGTGTAACTCATCTATTAATCAAAAGAAAACATTCTATCCTGATTGACGCTTTAGGTGATATTGGCTCTGTTCACTCCACTTTTTTACATGAATTGATTTTTTATACGCGGCATGAGAAATTGTGTTGGTAATATAAAAAACAATACTTCCTCCGTCCGTCTCTTAGGGTCACATTTACCTTTTGCGTCATTGTACTTAACATTAAAACTATCTTTATATTTGTATAATTTTTTATACAAATGTTATTTTTTTAGTATTATAAGACACTAATGGAAGTATCTTTGCAATTTTTTCTTAATTTGTACTATTTTTTGATATAATAATTAATATTCAAATATCAACACGCAAAAAATAAATGAGACCCTTAGAGTCGGACGGAGGTAGTATTTTGTGTTGAATGATTGACTTTGTGTGAGTGATTAATGTGTGTATATTTATATATTTTTAATAATATTTATAGGAAATCGTTTCATTGAAAAATGCTAAGTGAACAAACCCAAATATTTTTGTATTTAAATGATTGACATTCATCACTATAAGTTAGCTGACGATGTTTTATGCATTTGGTGCAGGTATCAGCCGGGACAACTTCTTGTCCGACACATTCTATTGGCAAGACCAAGTTCGTCACTACTGGAGACTTATGGGCATTGAAGAAAAGGAAATAAGGAATGTGATGGACATGAATTCTTTCCTTGGTGGGTTTGCAGTCGGCATGAGCACATGGCCGGTTTGGGTTATGAATGTGGTACCTGCAACGGCAAACAACACATTACCTGCCATTTATAATCGGGGTTTGATTGGCACTTTTCATGACTGGTAAGCTGCAAAAACAACCATTCATTAGCGACACTTTTTTTCAAATAAACCCGACATTGGACATTGAATTCGTGACTGCAGGTGCGAACCCTTCTCAACATATCCACGCACGTACGACTTGTTACATTCCAACCGCCTCTTCTCTCACTACAAAAACGGTGGATCCGGTTGCTTGCTTGAGGATATCATGCTCGAGATGGATCGTATATTACGCCCTCAGGTCAATAATCTCACATTTCCATTGCTTTACATAAGTAGTCCCTCCGTCCGGGATGTTTATAACACTTTTATTGGGCACAGAAACTAAGAAATAATACTTACTCCGTCCCATCTAGATACTAAAATTTAGGTAAAGTATAATTAGTAAGTAATTAAAAAGTATAGTAGTAAAAATATTATTGTATAATAAAAATAATTATAAATTAAAACTAAAGTAACTAAATAGTATAATTAAGATTAACAAATTTATAAATTGTGAGATTTAAAATGCGGTTAAAGTGTATAATTACAAATAAGGTGGCACATACGAAAATAGAAATAGTGAACGAAAAAAGTGGGACGTAGAAAATAGTATTATAATATAAAAGTGAAGTTGGTAAAAGATAAATGGGTTATTACGAGAAATTTATCAAAAAATGATAGGACAAGTAGAAAAGTAGTTACAAATTAGTTAATGGTCCCTCCGTAACATTAAAAATATCCTTATTTGTATAATTTTTTTGCACAAATGTCATCGTAATAGTATTATAGGATATTAATAGAAGTATTTTTTTATTTTTTTCTTAATTTGTATTACGTTTTCATATAATAATTAATATTCAAAGATCAACCATAAAAATTGTAGATTGATAAAATTTTCTATTATACAGACCAACCATAAAAAGAAAGCTGACATAATTACTCCGGACGGATAGAGTATTTTCTATTTCATATGCAAATATTCGTACATTTTTTGCTCGTGTATTGGTGATAGTATACAGTTTTCTCTACGACACATTACATCTTCAGGGGCATGTTATTATTCGAGGCGAAGATGAAGACGTCATTACAAGAATTAAAAATCTTGCTCCCAAATTTCTATGGGAAACAAGAGTACACACTCTTGAAAATGATCAGAAGAAAGAGGAACAAATCTTATTTTGTCGAAAGAAATTCTGGGCTATCCATTGAAAAATGATCGTTAAAATCTTTGGTCTCTATCGAAAGCCCTCATCGAGCTATGCAAAGAAAGGACTGACCACGACAAGTTGTGAATCCATGGTTGTTTAAGCGGCATTTATCCGTAAAGTCAGTCCATCCCGATTGCCTAAGGCAGGTACACCCGATAACACAACTCGGTAACTTCGTTGAATGTGTATTTTTTTTATTTTTTTTTTTGTGTAATATTGAGATTTATAGAGGAAATGTTTGGGAGTAGAATTCATGTTTATTGATATTTGCTGTTTTTTGGTGAACTGAAATTGGTGTTGGTTCATTTGTTCAAGCATGTTAGCTTTGTGCATTGAGGTCTATTTGTTGTTAGTTAGGAAATAAGATAAATAGTGTTTTAATTTAAATATATGAAATTGTTGATTGTGTAGTTCATCAATGTTTTAGGTAATTCTTTTGTGGTTTGAAATTGATTTGACGGTGTACTTTTATTGGAAATTGTACGGAGTGAATAGTATTGATTTGGATTTGAAATGCAGAACTTCCTTCGTTCCGTTGGAAGGGTGTCGTTTGCTTTTTGCACGTAGATTTTTGAATATTAGTATAATATTGGATGATGGTAAAAAAAGGACAAAAATACCCCTATTAGGTAGTACAAAATTTATAAAATAATGACATTTGTGTAATATATTGTAAGTTGAAATGATATTTATTATGTTAAGCAGGTAGTACAATTACTAAATTAGGAAATTGTAACTTTGTTTTGATATGGAGGGAGTATTTGTTTTGTATAATTGAATTCGAGTTTTAATTTAAGTAATATTTTTATATGATATTTTGTGAGAAAAAAAATGGTGTACATTTGGAATTCAAGTATGTTCTTTTAAAGTTTTGCTTTGTTTTTTCGTTTAAATGTTCGTGTTTCTTCGCTCTATATTTTTGGATGACATGATTTTTTTGTAAATACTATAAAAAAATATATATATATATATAATGTACGCTTGTTAACAATAAAAAAATACTTTAATACAAAATATTTAGTTAGTTTGTTTAGTTTTTAATGTGAAATATTATGTTGATATGAGATATAATAAATTATATTGATAATATAAAAAATAATATTTTATTTTAAATTATTGAATTTTTTATGAGTAAAAAGAGTATATATTATATTTAAATAATAATTAGTGAGTGATTTTGTCTGTAATTATTATTAGTGTTATTATTATTATTTTGTTCTTATATTTTAAATTTAATATAAATAAATATAAATTTGTAAGTATTTACATACATCTATATTTGAACGGACGAACATGATAAAATACATTTATTTTGAAATGGACAATGGACAGGTGAAATATAAAAGATTATTTTCTATGTATGTATTTAAACAAAGAGTTTAAATTAATATTCAATTTCAAATTAATTTTAAATAATAATTAAATAAATTCAAAAAATATTTTGTATTTTATGTATAATAAGTAGTATGATAATATATAGTATAATATATGGACAAAAATATCTTACAAGTAAAGGGATTCATAGTTATGTATTAATAAAGATTATAGTAATTTTCGATGAAAAAGTGTACTTTGTGTTGTCTTTTAAAATTGTATTCAATTTTTTTTTTTTTTTTTTTTTTTTTTTTGTCTTTTAAAAATATTTATATATTTTTATTAGTAAAATTATATATATTTTGTTTCAAAATAATTGACATATTTGTTTGGTAAAACGATATTTAAAATATTAGAATTTAATAAATTAATAATAATGAGTTATAATATTATTATATTTTTTTCAACTTGATAAATATATATATATTGCTTTCTTTTATTGTTTAAACAACAAGTAGTAATTTTTAAGTATGAATCCAACTATATATAACAAATACCCTCGTATTTATATTTATATTTATATTTATTTATAACAATATTAATATAATATGGAGGGTGTATGGAGTATAATATATATTTTATTTACTCATAAAAAAAGTTGTTTAAATTGATTGGGTTTGTTTGTCTTGTAAACTAGTTTGAAAAGATATATTTATTTTCATGTGAAATATATAAAATTGTGTAGATAATATAAAAATAACAAATATTTTTGTTTTGTGAAATAGTTTGAAATAATTTATTTATGTGATATATAAAAAATTGTGTAGATAATATAGAAATTATAAATATATATATTAATTCTTTTTAAGAACCGTATGTGTATATTTTTTTTATAAAAAAAACACACTCATATTAATTTTTTGTGAAATGTATATTTGGTTTTATGACAAAATAAACAAACCAAGTAACTTAAAAAAAATTGATAAAAGATTTAGGGTGTGTTTGTTTGGGAGTTTGGATTTTGAGATGAGATTTGAATAGTAAAACAGTTGTATGATGTGATATAAACAGACGTGATGTTTTGAATATAAAATTGATTTTTAGTATAATATAAAAAATAAAAAATAGGTATTTGATTTTATGTTTTTTTTAATGAGATTAATAGTGTATTTAAAATCCAATCCCCAAACAAAAACACCCTTAGTGTTTCTCTTTAAGTTTTTTATATTTTATTATTTGATTTTATATATTAAAAAATATTAATTTTATTTTATATTATAACAAATTAAATATTATTTAAATAAAAATTTTAAATCAATATTTTCAATTCAAATTTTAAAAATAGAAAAAGTATTTATTTAATTTGATTCTTTGTCCTTTTTTGAGTGTTTTTACCCTATTTTGCCCTTTTACTTTTTTTTTACTAGTTTTTTCCTTATATATAAGATTTTTATACCTAAATTTTCTATACACAAAAAAGCACAAATTGTTCAAAGCGAGAGTGAAGAAGAGAGAAGAATCTCTCAATTTTTCAATTCTTCACCGCCCAATTACCCCGCAGCAATGTCCGATTCGCCTCCTGCACCACCATCTCCTGGCTGCGCCGACGATTCTCAACTCGTCGTCTTCGAAAGTTCCCTCTCCCTGAGCCCTAATCACCGCGACACAGAAAAGCCCCTTCCTCCACAGGTCCTTCTCGATCCGGACGACAACAACCCCGAAGACGACGACGACGACGAAGAAGCAGACGAAGTCGAAGAAGGGCAGGAGCACGACCCGCCGGCGGCGATTTCGCCAGGTATGTCTTCTCCGGTTCGCGAAGTAACCCTAACTTCCCGGCGAGGGGGAAACAATAATAAAGGGAAGGGGAAAAAGGGGAAAGGCAAGGGGAAGGGGAAAGGGAAGACTAACGCTAAGAAACAGCAAGCAATTGTAGAGAAATTGCAGACATTAATGGAGAATTTGATCCTTATCCCCTTTTCACCCCCAAAAACTCTCGATTTCGCCAAACACGAAGCGGTTCTTAAGCGGCTAGGGCTTTGGGATTTCGTTCACGTAGAATTCGATAAGCACATTAGAACTGATTTAATTGCAGAGTTATTAGCTGCATACGACGGCAAAAATCGAGCAAGCTACGTGGGCGGGTACAGAATTAAGGTTAACAGAGCGGATTTGTCGCGGGCGATTAAGCTGCCGATGAAGAAAGGGGCGGATGCAGAACTGGAGGGAGAGGATTTGACTGAGGAATCCATAGCTTTTATATTGGAGATTGTTTCGGATTGGTTGCTTTTGCACGAAGAATTGTGGATGATGCCGAACGAAGTGATGGAATGGTTGAAGATGGTCAAGGAAGGGCATCCGGAGAAGGTCGATTGGGCGCAATTGTTGTGGTTTATGGTGGAGAAGGAGCTGAGGCAGGGCGGGAAGTTGCGGAAATGTTATTACGCGACGCACTTGCAGCATTTGATCCGGTCGCAGCGGGAGGATCTTTTTAGGTCGATTGAGGAGGAGCCAGAGCCGAAATTGGTGGAAGAAGACGAGGAAGAAGAAGAAGAATTCCGGGGTAATAATGAAGGTAATAATGACGAGGAGGAAGAGGATGCCGAGGTTGTTGGATTGGTTTCTGTTGGTTGTAATGAGGAGGACGATGATGTAATGGCTGGGCCGAGTACGGAGCTGACACTCGGACAGGATGGTGAGAAGGAGGAGAGAATGAAGGATGTGAATATGATGGATGTCGAAAATTGCGACGGGAGTGACGAGGAAAAGGAAAGGGAAAAGGAAGAAGAAGAAGACGACAACGGAGATGGCGACGAGGAAGACGATGAGCAAAGGCAGTGGCTTTTGGATGGGAGGAATGGATTGGGGGATCATTTTATGCAATCTTGTGATGCAGAAAACGGCGACGGATTCGGGAGTTTCGAAATGAGGAAAGAGGAGGACGACGAGGAAGAGCCGATGGATGGAGAAGAAGACGACGAGGATGCAAGGAATATTTTTCATGGTTTCCCGAGCGATCCTATTGAAGACACGCTTGAAGAGGAGCGGTATCCCGCGAAATTGGGTAAAACTGTCGAACCAGCGAATCATATGTCGTTTGGCGCCGAGGGGCAGCTCCATAGCTCGCCGGACGTCAGGCCCGAAATGCATTTCTTGAACAATGCCACCGGTAAGAGAGTGATTGAGGAGAATCGTGGATCCGATCATAACAAGAGAATGAGAATCGGCGGCGATTCTTGGGAAAATAAGCCGGTGGCGGATATGGGGGAATGCTTTGATCAAATTCAGCATTGGAATGAAAGGGCTCGGCTCGTATGGGAGGAGAAGGATCAGGCACTGGCGCAAGCGAACGCGACGCAGCAGATTCTGCTAAACGAAATTCACAAACGCGACACTGCGATTGAATTCCTCCACAAGACAAAAGCGGACGAGGCGCAGAAAAAGGATCGCGAGATTTATCGACTGGAGCGCGAGCTGTATTTAATGGAAACTGTCCTCGACGGTTACCGGAACGCCTTGAAGGACACGCAGAAAGCTTTTGAAGAATATAGAGAAAAGGCGCAGCTTCCGGAAGAATCGACTTACAAAGATGCCGGCCCTGGAGGACTTATGTTGACCGCCGCTGAAATCGAGAGGCTTGAGAAGAAGCGCAAAGAGGAATATAAGATGAATTGCGTGATTCTTGAACAGAAGATGAGGGAAGCGGAAGAAGATTATCGTCGCCAATTTGATGGGCATGTGGAGAAGATTAATCTCATGGATCAGAAGCTGGCAGGCCTTGAGGCCACTGCTAAACAGGTTATCGAACTTTATGCGAGTCGAAAAGTTCCAAAAATTGAAGAAAGATTGACTGCCATTGTTGAAGGAACTTCAATTTTGGAAGATGAAGAAAAAATTGTCGAAGCAGGTGAATCTTTACCTATTGCAGAAACTGGAGATAAAGTGGCTGAAGTTACCGAACAATCCCTAATTGCGCAGACAGCCGAAAAAACTATGGATGAAGAAACTATGTTTGAAGAGGAAGGAAATCTACCGGAGAACGAAGAAGGAAAAGAAGAAGAAGAAACTATGGCCGAAGAAAAAGAAGAAATTATGGCCGATGCGAAGGAATAAATTTTTGAGGTAAATTTGGCGCTTTCTGATTTATGCCAATTGTTATATTATGTTGGAGCCAATGTGAATTTGCCGAAGATGATCTGTATGTTTGTCGATTTCTGTTGACTGTCTTTGATGATAGATTTGGATAATATCTATGGTACTAACTTGTGATTCGAAATTTGAGGTGTTGTTTGCATTTGTCAATTGCTGTTTTTTTCAATATGTTGCACATAAGACTGAAATCTGTGAATGAATGCCGATAATTTGTATGTTTGTTTGCTTGTTGTTTATTTGTTGTCCCCTTTCTGGTTTGTTCGATTATTTTGTCGCTAGTAAAATGTCGTATCTTTTCTTGTCCTTAGGGTATGAACTCTTTTGAAGGAACTTGCGACTTGGGTTGTTGTGCAAACTTGTTTTATTTAGTGTATCTCTATAGGAAATCGTGATTGTTGCGAACTTCTAAGTAGAGATGATACATATGCAAAATTATCGATCATTTGTTTGTTTTGGCCTGTTGCGAGTAAATGGTTGTGTTTTTCTTGTCCTTCATTATGAACGCTTTCAAAGGAACTTGCGACTTTTGTTGTCTGATGATTATATCACTCGTGTCGTGGACTTTTTTATTTGAATGTGAGCCTCTAGTTTAGTATATTTTTATAGAAAGTCATGATTGTTGCGGATTTTTAAGTAGAGATGATGATACATATGCCAAATTATTGATCGTTTGTTTGTTTGTTGTTCGATTATTTGTTTTGTCCGGTTGCAAGTAAATGATTGTGTTTTTTTCCTTGTCCTTGGGTATGAATTTTTTTTAATGAACTTGCGACTTTGGTTGTCTAATTATTCATCGGTGTCGCAGATTGTTTTATTTGAATGCGAGTTTGTAGTTTAAGAGTATTTTTACAGAAAATCGTAGTTGTTGCTCACATCTAAGTGGAGATGATGATATATGTGCAAATTTATCAATCGTTGTTCGATTGTTTGTGTTGTCTTGTTGCGGGTTAGTGGTCGTGATTTTTCTTGGTCTTGGGTATGAACTCTTTTGAAGGAACTTGCGAGTTTTGGCTATTTGATTATCCACGGACGTGTTTCTTTTATTGTTTCCGGCAATTTAATGTATTTTTATAAGAAATCGTGATTGTGTAGTCTAAGTAGAGATGATGATATATATATATATATATATGCAAATTTATCGATCATTTGTTTGTTTATCGTTCGATTGTTTATTTTGTCATGTCTCGAGTAAATTGTCGTGCTTTTTCTTGTCCTTGGTTATCGAAGGAACTTGCTACATTAGTGTAAAGATTATGAGTTTGATTGCTTTGTAAATTTTTTTCAATAATTTTTATTTTAAAAAATAATATATTATATATATCCATTACTTTTATATTACTTACCAAATTTAATGTATATCACATAAAATAAACAAATCATATACTACAATTTTTGTATAGTCCATATAAGAGAATATCCATTTTTTCCTTTTTTGAATTTTTAAATTTTATCTCTCTTTTTTTTTTTTTTTTTTTTTTACTTTATTTATTCTTCTTTATTATGATTCACTTTAATTTTGGAAAATATTGTTTATGAAATTTTTGTTGATATTCTATGAATTTTATAAATTTTGAATTTGGATTTTCTTAATGATCATTTAATAGAAAATCTTTTCATTTATGATATAATAAAAAGAATTATTAATAATAATATTAAGTACATAAATCACTACATTAAAAAAATAAAAATGATTATTATCAGTCCCACTTTTTATTTCTATCATTCCCATGCATTGATTTTATATTTTAATCATATTAAAATTTTATAATTTTTTTTTTAAATTTTTATTTTAAATTTTAATTTATAATTATTTGTATTATATATTATAATTAATTTTACAAATATATTTTTAATTCTTCGGCGCCAGAGACGCCCGCGTGGCTAGCCGGAAGCCACGTGTCCGCCAGGTGTTGACCTTCCGGACATGTGGATTTTATTTTATTTTTTTCATTTTATTTAATTGTTTTAATTTTTTTTATTATTTTTTTAAATTGAACCAAATAAAAAAATAAAAAAAATTATATATATATTTTTAAATAAACAATAAAATCTACGTGTCCCTGCCAAGTGTCACTGACCTGGCGGACAGACTACGTTTACGTGACTAAAATAATAAGGGGTCCAGTTACGAGATTAAAAAATAGTTTACCCTTTAAATTTATGTGCGTTATAGTTTTATAAATTTTGAATTATATATTTTTTTAAGTGGCTCGTTTATATAATCAAATTTTATTCATTTGATATTATTAATATTATATTAAATATTCTTTGTTTTTATAAAACATCAAATCAAAAATTAATTTATTATTATTTTTTTTTCTCTTTTCAAACATTTAAATTGTAAAAATCTTCAAAAATATCTATCTAACTAGAGATGTATAATTAAAATAATTCTTAGATTTTGGTATAATAAAAAAATATTATAGTAAAAGAGAAATAAATTATACTCCTTCCGTCCCACCGAAATTGAACCATTTGATTAGGGAACACGGTATTTAAGGTAAGAATGTTTGATTAGTTAATAATAATTAGTTATGATATTATTATATTATTTTTTGTATAATTAATAATATTTATAGTTTTAAAATAAATTTAATATATATGATTAAAAAAATTTTAATATATGTTTAAATATTTAAAAATTATATAGCAATTAAAAAATATATGCAATATGGATATCATTTTGTAGAGAATAAAATCTTCTATAATACAAGTAAATAAAAAAATATTTTTGCTTATTTATAATTAACATAAATTAATTTTATAAAAGATGTGTAGTTTTAAATATAGATAAAAATATTTATTTTTTTTAAGAGAGAGGTAGAAATAAAGGGGTTTTGAGTGGGTCATACGTCATTTATAATGTTTTATGTTATGTAGTTAAATAAGTTAGATTTATATTTGTTAAATATGTTTTGGTTTAATAATTTTTACCAAAAATAGAAAGGTGTCAATTGTTACATGACAGATAAAAATGAAAATAGTGTCAATTGTAGTGGAACGGAGTTAAATTAAATATTATATAATTAGTGTGATGGTCTGTGCATTGTATAGTTCGTGTAAATGATTAATTATATCATTAAATATTTGGTAAATTATATAACAATTTTTTTGTATTTTAGTAAAAATGCACAAAATATTGTATATTTTATTTATGGTGTAAAACTCTCTTACGTTGATATAAATTTGCACGAAACATCCTTCTTATCCAAAATCAATGTTTGGTACGAACCACCCTCATTGTGATGTTTGTATAAATAAAAAATTGTAAAATGTTTTAAATATTATTTTAATAAAATAAATAAATAAATAATTCATCAATCATATATTTTTATATATATATTTTTTTAAATCAGATAACAATTTATCTCCAAAAGACTATAAAATGAAAGATTAATTAATTTTTTTATTTATTTTATTAAAAAAATTATTTAAGACATTTTACATTTTTTATTTATATAAAATTTGCACAATTTAGGTATTTATTTAGAACATTAACACAAGATAATTTTCCGCAATAAATAAAATACATGATATTTTCTACATTTTTACTAAACACAACAATTATTATACTCCTTCCGTCCTATAATAAAGTATCCATTTTTTCATTTTAGTTCATCCCATAACAAAGTATCAATTTCATTTTTTAGTAACCATACTATTTATCTAACATTACAAATACCCTTACAACTTACAATATATTACACAAATGTTATTACCTTTATATCACACATACTAATAAAGTTATTTTAGTCATTTCTATTTTATTCATATTATATCATAATATAAAAATACTAATATTTCTAAAATTACGTGAAAAAACAAATGGATACTTACTTGTGGGACGGAGGAAGTATAATTTACCCTTCAATAATTTATTATAAAAAAAAATATTAAGTATGTTCAATAAGTCAATCATTAATAAATATTTGGCTATATGAATAAATAAACATGTTTTATAAAAATTTGGACTTGATCGCATATTAATGATATATATATTTTTTTATCATTATATTCGAGAGACATATTAATAAGCTAATACTAGAAAAAATTCAAATAATTATGTATTAAAAATATATAATATACCTGTTTATATAGATATTTAGAATAAGATGATTAATCAGAACGATAAATTAAAATTGTTTGTAAAACAATTTTAAATTCTTGACTTGTATTGTCAAATTTACACCAAATTTACATAAAAAATTATATTTAAAATATAATTATAATGAAAAATAAAATATTAATATGTATATATATGGTTATTACTTAGAGTTGTTTCAATTATATTATTACGTATATAATCTTTATAAAGTGACTTTCACATAAGTTTTTTCAATTGTTACATCAGTCCACATATTTTGAGCATTAATATATTGAATTCATCTAATTATACGAAATATTATGATCTTCGTATGAGAAAAAGAAAATTATAATAACTAATTATTTATATAAAAAAAATAATGATGGAAATCATGTATGTCTATTATTATAATTTGTATTTAAATTCGTTACCAATTTCAAAATCATATGTAATTTCCAAATCGACAAGACTAACTATTCCATATTTTTATTTTATTTATATAAATAACTATTCAAATGGTAATTGTTAAATTATCTTCTTTCTCATATGATTTATCATTTTTTTTTGGTATTATTAGAGGAATTAAATATATTGATGTTTAAAATTTTAGGTTTGTCAATGTGTAACAATTGCAAAGAATTTTGTAAAATTTTATTTCACGAATGTTATATGCATGTAGTGGAATAATGGAAACAATTTTAAGGTAATTAATAATCACATATATATATAAATATTTCATTTTTTATTTTCATTGTATTTATATTTCATATATATTATTTTTTTTATGAAGTTTTGAGGTAAATTTGACGATAAAAGATGTTACAAGAAAAATAAAATTTAAAATTATTGCACAAATAATGTCAATTTATTTTTTGCTATGAATAATTTTATTTGAAATATCTACGAGATCGGGTATATTTAATATATTAATTTATATTTATTAGTTTTAACAAACTAATAAATATATATATGTATTTTCAAATGTAATGACAGAAAAATGATATATTATTAGTATGTGATACTTTATTGATCCGAAAAATATTTGAATATTTCTACAAAAAAAATTTTCATAATAAACAAGCTGCTCCAGCGTGCCTGCTATCATTGTATAGAAGAAAACCCGATAGTGGACGTCGAAGTAGAAGCAAATGACGGTGCTGTTACACAGCTTACCTGATCACATAGATACTTAAAATAAAATAGTTAACAAGAATGATAAATTGAAATTGTTTGTGTAATAATTATAAATTTCTTCCATAATTATTTGTTGTCTTAGTTTTGAATTTTCAGTTTTTGTGATCCTGGTTTCGAGATGACTCGTTTGAGTGACCTTTGAGTCAATACAAAAGAATTATAATGTCTATCAAGTTCGTCTTCAATAATTATTATTAGTATTTTTTATGAGCTTAGACGACTGCGTTTGCTTCAGATATCACATTTTACTGTCAAATTTACATCAAACTTACATAGAAAATTATATATGAAATATATTTATAATAAAAATATATAATATTGATATATATGTGTGTGTATGCGCGGATATTAACTTAGAGTTATTTCGATTATATCATTACAATGCATATAACCTTCATGAAGTGAATTTTTCTTGCAATTATTACTTGTAGCAGTCCATATAATATGAACAACAATATATTCAATTCAATCAACAATACAAAAAATTATGATCTTCATAAATGACTAATTGAATAACCATTTATACAAGTAAACTAAAAGTATGGAATATTTACCCATCCTTGAAAATCACGTATGCATATTCTTATAATTTGTGTTTTAATTCATTATCAATTTCAAAAGCATATGTGATTTTCAACATCGACAAGGAGTAATATTTTTATATTTTAGTTTTTTTTTAATAAATAATTATTCAATTAATAATTTTTTTAGTTATTTTGTTTCTCACATTAAAATTATTTTTTTTTTTCGTATTGTTAGAGGAATTGAACATATTGATGTTCAAAATCATTGGACTGCTAATGTGTAGCAATGCAAAAATTTATGTGAAACATATTTCACGAATGTTATATGCATGGATTACAATGGAAATAGTTGAAACAATTTTAAGGTAATAACTACACATATATAAATATTCAGTTTTTATTTTTTATCATATTTGTATTTCATATATAAAAAATAATATTTTATATTGAATGTTGACTTTTGTGAAGATATAAAATATATATAAAAAATCATGTAAAAAAATATTATTTGTCTTTTATTGTTTTTCAGTTTTTTTTTCCTTATATAAGATATATATCCAAATTTTCGATACTTAAAAAGCACAAATTGTTCAACCAGAGTGAAGAGAGAAGGATCTTTCTATTTTCGATCTTTCTATTTTCAATTCTTCGTCGCTCAATTACCGCGCCGTCATGTCGGATTCACCTTCTCCGGTGCGGTGCTACCCTCTCCCGGCCGCACCAACAATCCTCAACTTGTCGACTTTGAACCTTTCCTCTCCCTGAGTCCGAATCACCGCAACACATAAAAGCATATACGAATCCCAATGTCGGCAAGGAATAACTATTCCATATTTGTAGTTTATTTTTATAAATAATTATTCAATTAGTAATTTTTTTTAGTTATTTTCTTTCTCATATGAAGATATGTATATATTTTTTTTAAGTATTGTTAAAGGAATTGAACATATTGATGTTCAAAATCTTTGAACTGTCAGTGTGTAATCATTGCAAAAAAAAATTGTGTGCAACTTACTTCACAAATGTTATATGCATATATTGGAATAGAATAGTCCAAACAACTTTAAAATACTATCCACACACATATAATATTTAATTTTTCATTTTTCATCATATTTATATTTCATAAATATAATTTTTTATGTAACTTTAATATAAATTTGACGATAAAAAATAATGAATCTAAATTGTTACCCAAACAATCTCAAGTTATCTTTCGTTGTGAATAATCTTATTTGAAATATCTACAAGATCACGTATATTGTATACTCTTGTATTTAATAGCATATTATTTTATGTTTATTGGTTTTAACAAACTAATATTTTTGTTTTGAAATGTCATGACAGAAAAATAGTACACCATTAGTATATGATTACGTTCAAACTTTCATAAACATGTTTATATATTTATACAATCAGTTTCTCCTTCATGCGTATGATCATAAAATCGTTAAATTTTGTATGAGGGAAGCGGAATAAGATTATCATCGCCAATTCGATGGGTATGTGGAGAAGATTAATCTCATAGATCAAAAGATGACAGGCCTTGTGGCCAATATTAAACAGCTCATCAAACTTTATGTGAGTTGAAAAGTTCCAAAAACTGAAGAAAGAATGATTGGCATTGTGGAAGGGACTTCAATTTTGGAAGTTAAAGAAAAAGCTGCCAAAGCAGATAAGTCTTTACCGATTGCAGAAACTAGAGATAAAGTAGTTGAATTTACCGAACAATCCCCAATTGCGTAGACAAACGAAGAAACTGTGGATGAAGAAACTAGGGTTGAAGAGGAAGGAAATCTACCGGAGAACGAAGAAGGAAAAAAAAAAGAAAAATAATATATGGCCGAAGAAGAAGAAACTATGGTTGATACAAATGAATCATTTTTTTGAGGTAAACTTTGGCGCTTTCTGATTTATGCCAATTCTTATATTATGTTGGAGCCAATGTGAACTTGCAGAAGATGATTTGTATGTTTGTCGATTTCTATTAAATGTCTTTGCTGATAAATTTGGATAATATCTATGGTACTAACTTGTGATTCGAAATTTGTGATTTGCATTTTTTGAATTGTTGTTTTTTTCAATCTGTTGGCCAAAGTGGTTCTTGATTGTGAAACTGTGAAATTTGTGAAGGAATACCAAGAATTTTTTTGTTTGTTTTGTTTATTTGTTGTCCTCTTTCCAGTTTGTTCGTTTGTTTTGTCGCTAATAAAAGGTCGCGTCTTTTCTTGTCCTTGGGTATGAACTTTTTCGAAGGAACTTGCTAGTAAAATATATTTAGAAACAATATATTGTATTTATAGTAGTTATTTTATTTTAAGAGATTTGTAAGATTCTTGTCTTATTTAGAGTATCACTATAAATATGTGCATAGTCTTATGATTGAAATAGAGAATTTCAATTTATTATATTCTAACATGGTTTCAGAGCCAAAATCTCTCCGGGTATATCTATGACCCGTTGGGATTATTTTTATGTCGTCTACGTCACTACTACTCCACTGACAGAGTCTATTTTCGACTCTAACGCCGTTGATAGTCCTGTTTTTTACTCTAACTCTATTGAGAGTGAGAGAATCATGTTTTCGACTCTAACTCTATTGTGAGCGAGTGAGTCTTGTTTCTGACTCTAGCTTTGTAAAGTGAGCGAGTCCTGTTTTTTACTCTAGTTCTGTTATGAGAGAGCGAGTCTTGTTTCTAACTCTAACGGTGTTGAGAGTTCTGCTTCTGACTTTGATCAAGTGGACGGCTGCATCACCTTCAGTCAATCTTGGCGAATTCAAATTCGTAGTCACTTCTGACAAATTCAAGTTTGTTCAATCATATCTTGAGTTTGAGGAAGAGTGTTAAAATATATTTAGAAGTAATATATTATATTTATGGTAGTTATCTTATTTAAGAAATTTATAAGATTCTTGTCTTATTTAGACGATTTGTATATTATTATAAATATGTATGTATTTTTATGATTGAAATATATAATTTTAGTTTAATATTCTAACATTCATAGTATGATTTAAGAGTAAAATAAATATTACATTACTCCATTTGTCTCACTTTAAGCAAATTTTTAGAATTTTATAATAGATTAAAAAATAATTGTTATGTAAAATGTATATGAGATTTCGATATTTTGGTTTTTTTATTTTATGTAAAATCAATTATATATGAAATATTATGATGTGTAATTTATGTAGAAAAGGTATTTTAGTATTTGTTTATGATTATTTTTATTAAAATATAAATAAAATACTTTTAAATGAGATAAACAAAAATGATAAAAATTATTTTGAATTGAAACGAATAATGTATTACAAATAATACATAATTTATATTAATATTATACAAATATAATATTCTCGCTATTCGTTTCTAAAATTTACATTTACTTTTTATTATACTTAATATTAAAAATATTTTTATATTTATATAATTTTTTATACAAATATCTTTATATTAATATTATAAAACAGTAATAAAAAGTTAAAATAATATCAAACTAAAGTAAATTTTTTACAAACCAAATAGAATTACACCAAAATACGGTGCAAATAGAAAAACCACACCACCAAAATAACAGCGAATCGTGTATGTCCTCGATGAGCTCGCCACTGTCCCTTCAGCTCTAGATCTTTCGTGCTGATTTTTTTTCATTACTATCTCTTGTTAATCGACGATGAAGTTGATGTTGATTATCGAATCGTGGGTATAAATTTCTCCACGAAATTTTGTGCAATTCGGTTATTTTGGGGGAAATTGGAAATTTGCGCGAGTGAAGATGCGATTCAGTTCGTCAATTGGGATTTCCAGTGCCCTAGCCCTAGCAGGGAGGAAATCGAGGTCGTTTTCGGCGGAGCATTTCAATTCGGTGCCGAGAGAGGCGGCGGATGCGGTGGTGGTAGGCGGCGGCGTGGTGGGCATAGCGGTGGCGCGTGAGCTTTCGATAAACCACGGCAGAGAGGTTCTGGTTGTGGAATCGGCGGCGACGTTCGGGACGGGGTCGAGTTCTCGCAACAGTGAAGTCATTCATGGTGGCATCTATTACCCTCGCAATTCTCTCAAGGTAATTCCATTTACTCCTCGATTAGGTTATGATTGAATCAAGCTAAATAGCATAACTTACATAATATAAAAAATAAAAAAATTAATTTATAACTCAAAAAAAATTATAAAATATTAATGTACTCCTTCTGTCCGAATATTTTTATGGACTTTTGTTTTGACATAAAAATTTAAAAATAATACTATCTCCGTCCTACTCACTATTTTTATTTTTTATGTCTTATAGAATTTTTTTCTTTTAAAATATAATTAGATACTTATTAATTACTTACTTAGTAATTATGCTACCATGAACAATTTATCCCAGACAGAGAGAGTAACATTTTAATATGAAAGTAGAATAAGTAAAAATTAAATTGGAATATTATAAAAAAATTGTTAAAAATTAATAAAAATAGCAGTATAATTAGAAAAAAAAAAAAGTGTCAAATTGACTATTATTCATTAAAATAAAGGTAATAAATTTGTGGTCCCATAAGAGATGGCTGGTGGTATTGGACTTGTGACCGTGAGGTTATGGATTCAAATTGTCTATCGAAACTAGTTTGCAGGTTATTAGGTTAGCGACTGCAGGTTAAAAAATGGATTATATACATAAATTTAACAGAAAATAGAAAATGAAACTGATATGATTATCTTGGACTAGGGGGTATAATATTTATATAACAAATTATATACTATAATTTTTGGTATGGTATGTGATATTATCTGAAATTTTCACTATATTATAAGGTGCCACCCCTATTCTGAATGCCTTTCTTGAATTCACAAGATTGATATTATGTTAAGAATATAAAGGTATAAAGTAGCGGGTTCGTTTTACACAATTGCACGTTTAGATAGAGGGTTTTGGAATTGTAGAGTTTTGGAAAGTTTTGAAAATAGTAAAAATAATTTGATACTATATTTTATGAGAAGAAATAAATATCTGATATAATGCTTTGTGGGAGGAATGTTATTGTTGATGAATAGTACAAAAACTTCCAAATAATATGTATATAAACATAGCCGTAGTTTGTATCTCAAAAGATTCAAGGGTTTGTTTGGTTTTGGTTTTTATCTAAGTTTTAGTTTAAATAATAGTTTGATATAATATTTTGTGAAAGAAAATAATATATATTTATTGAGAACTGTACAGGTTGAATAGCCTTAGTTTTGATTTAAAACCAAACACACCAAAAGGATCTTGAAACATTTATTTGCTTGTGAACTATGAGACCGAAATTCCTGATTTTCTGATCTGATATTCGGTAAAAAGGGGAGTATCGAGGAACTGAGAAATTACTTTTGCAGGCAAGATTTTGTGTTAGGGGACGGCATTTGCTGTACAAATATTGTCGACAACACCAAATTCCTCATAAACAAATTGGCAAGCTGATCGTTGCAACTGGACCTAATGAAGTTGCCAAGTTGAATTTTCTGATGGCTCGAGGAACTGAAAATGGAGTTGAAGGCCTGAGAATGATGGAGGGACATGAAGCTACGCAACTCGAGCCAGAATTGCAATGTACAAAAGCTCTACTATCACCAGCATCTGGAATAATTGATAGCCATTCATTTATGCTATCCCTTCTGGTATTCCTTACATCTAGTCGTCTTTACTTATCGCCATGTTAATCATTTGCCACTTTTGGAGTTATTATATCCGTATTGACAGGACTGTAGCATTTAGGGAGAAGCTGAGAGCCACGGTGCCATTTTTTCTTACAATTCGACTGTAATTGGTGGTGAATACAAAGAAGATCAGATTCAGCTTCACATTTCCGAAAGCCAGGCTCTAAAAAACTGGGATGGAAAGTCTCCATTGAAGCCCAATCTAATTCTTACCCCCAAAGTTGTGGTGAATTCAGCAGGCTTGGGTTCGATTGCCCTTTCGAAACGAATTAATAGCCTCAATCCCAGCGTCATTCCACAACCCTACTTTGCCCGCGGCTGCTATTTTACATTATCAAACAGTGGCACTCCTCCCTTCCGACATTTGATCTACCCTATACCCGAAGATGGTGGCCTTGGAGTGCACGTCACTTTGGACTTAAATGGCCAAGTTAGATTTGGTCCAGATGTTGAATGGATCAACGGTGTCGATGATGTTTCAAGCTTCCTTAACCTGTAAGTTCTCCTTTGAATTGTTCTGAATGGCGGGATGATAATTTCGTAGCTAATTCTTTACAGTATGTTCAATGTCTGTTGAAAGATTCGATTATTCTGTGCCTGGGGATCGTGCAAGCCTGTTCTACCCGGAAATAAGAAAATACTATCCATCTCTGAAGGAGAAGTCATTGGAACCCGGATATGCCGGCATTCGATCAAAGCTGTCTGGCCCGAAGCAGACTCCTGCCGATTTTCTAGTTCAGGTAACATCTGTCTGTCTTGGAGCTTGTTTAATTTGGTTGATAGGATGCTTGATTTCACAGTAAATAAAGTTTTACCGTTTAGAAAAAGTTCTGTGGGAGATCAAATTATTGTAGTTTTAATTTTCTATCCAGTTTTGATTGTCAAAATTGATTGAATTTGCTAATCTTGATATGCAATTTAAAGTTATTTAAGGTTGTGTTTCGATATGTTTTGAAAGTGTTTTGTAAGGTTTTGGAAATCGTAAAAAGTTGATAAAAAATAAATAATCATTTGACATGGTGTTTATATAGAACACAAGTTTTAAATTGATATTTGTAATGAAAGCATTTGGTGTGACGTTTCTTGCAGAAATAACTGTTGATGAATAGTGATAAAAGTGACTTGAAAACATAGTAAACAAAGCTTTAGTAGCAAATTCCCTTTACTTGATGACGGAAAATCTCTTAAAACTATATGTGTGTTTGTTTATGGATTTGGATTTTTAAGCAGTTGTTTAATGTGATATAAATATATATATATGTTAGAGGGGAAAAAAAAAAATTGAACAGTAATTATGGTAGTTTGACCTCAAAAAATCGAAATTTCTGCAAACATTATGAATTATGATATTGAAAAGAAAAAGTTGTTCTAGCAAAGATTAAAATCTTTCTAGTAAACTATGCTATTTGTTTCTCCTGTTAAGATTATCAACGTCAGCGAGCATCGGCAATAGTTTAAAGTCGAATGCGCTTGATGTTGTGCAGGGAGAGGATGTTCATGGCATACCCGGGCTTGTAAATCTCTTTGGCATCGAATCCCCGGGGCTGACCTCAAGCTTGGCCATTGCTGAAGATGTTGCTTCCAGATTATCCAAGTGAGTTTCTCTTTTAGGCTTTCGACATTTGATACAAGATTATAAATATGGTAGTCGTGACGCTTTTAATGTTAAATAAATTTATATTATAATATAAAAAAATAAAAATAATTGTTTGATTTAATGGGAGGATTGAACACATAACATCATAATCTACCGTACAAATTAAATCATTGAACTACACATTTATTTTTAACATAAAATCATTTGTTAATATATTTATAAATATATTTTCTAAAATCATATTTAATCTATAATTTGGGCTGGACACGGAACGGCACGGCCCGACATTGATAGGTCCGGGTACGGAACGATTCATATTAGTGCCAGGCTAGGCATGGTTTGAAATTTTTCGAGCCTATCTTTTTTAGACCTAAATTTGTGTCGAAGTGTGTCTATTTATTTTTTGTCAATCCTAATTCAAATATATGTCAAGGTCTTTATTGGAATAAAATGGGTCGGGCCCGGGTCAAATTAGGTGGGTGGGCTGCCCAAATTAATCAGGCTAAATTTGTATTATAAAATTCTTCTCTAATTTTTACAGGCTATGTTTCTTTTAATGAAAATAAATTTTGTTTATAAAATAAGACAGCCTATGAAAAAAAAAAAAAAAAAAAAAAAAGAAGGAGAAGCTCAATTGTAATAAGATATATCTACTTTAAAAGAAAATCTTTCCAATATGATTATTAAAAAAAAAAAAAAAAAAAAAAAAAGGAGAAGCTCAATTGTAATAAGATATATCTACTTTAAAAGAAAATCTTTCCAATATGATTATTAAAAAAAAAAAAAAAAACATTCGAACATAAAATATTTGTATATTTTATTTTTTTTAACAAAATTAACATTTAACATAAAATATTATTATATTTTAATTATTGACATAATTTTCAATATCTTATATGTATAAAAGAATTCTTCGAATTAAAATATTAAACAAATAAACCCATGTTTATTCTATTTTTACTTAAAATATACTCCCATTGAAATATATATTTGTTAACTATTATTTATTTTTAATAAAAAATAGTATAACATTTCATTTTAAATTTTGTATATTTTTAATAAATATGATTTTTTTAATATTTAAAAAGTATATATATACATATTTTTTTTTGAAATGATAGAAAAAAAAGCATGGACTTTCTTTAGTTAACAAATTTTTACTAATTTGATGTATGTTTAAAAAAACATCACATCAAATATATATATATATATTTTTTTTTATAGAATATCAAATTAAATATTAATTTTTTATTTTTTTAACTTTCAATATTCTAAAAATCTCCAAAAATTCTTGTCTAAACGGAGCAATTTTTTATGTATTGTTTTTTTATATACATTTTTTTTCTTATTAACAACAATTTAAATATATATTACTATCTCTGTCTGGCTTTAAAGGTCTTATTTATTTTTTGGCATGTTGATTCTTTAATATTACTTATTATATAAAAATGTAGTACAAATCAACCAAAAATGACAAAAATATTTCTATTAGTGTCTTATAATACTATTATAATGACATTTGTGCAAAAAATTATACAAATATAAATGTATTTTTAATGTTAAATACAATAATGTAAAAGGTAAATGAAACTCTTAGTTACGAATGGAGTATTTTCATTAAAAAATATTAATTTTAATTATATTGAAATTGACTATATTTAAATATCAATATATTTTTATTCTTTAAAAAAATATTTATTTTTATCAAAATTCTGTTATACTAGGCGAAGTCGTGTTATGCACTGTGTAATTATAAATTTTATTGAATTATTAAAATTAATTATTATTATTAAATATATAATATTTTAATACAAGAATCTGAATATATTAAAATATTTCATACATCAACTTCTAATATTCTAAACATTAGAGATTAAAATATTTCATACATCAACTTCTAATATTCTCTAAACACTAGAGATTGATAAATTTTATCGATTAAATATAATTATATTAATTTTTAATTATATTACATCGTATATCAATTATTACAAGAACTAATTGTTGACCTTAATGAAGTTACTTGCGCCTATGTGGTGTGATAGTTTAGTATTTTTTCTAAGAGACATTATTATTATTATAAATTATTCATACGTGTTTATTTGTGAAATTTTTATTTCTAATTTTAAAAAATTTTAAATATTTATTTTTAAAGTATATTTATTTGTTAGATTTCAATTTTAATAATTATATTTTAATAAAATGGAAAATATTTGATGTGATGTATAAAATAAAAATAACAAATATTAATATATTATAATAGTATAATATTATAATTTAAAATCAATATAAAAAAAAAATATTATAATAAATTATAGTTATAAAATTGAAGATAAATATATGCAAATAAATAAATAAATACACAAATAAACAAACCCTAAATAGAGCCGACTCCTCACCGCCGCCCACCCCCACTTTCTTCTTCCTCTTCTGTCTTCTTCGTTACATTATTATTATTATTATTATTATTATTATTATTATTATTATTATTATACATTTTTTAATTTTATATTAGAATATATTAATTCTGAATTCCAAAGCCTTCTCGACAAACCCTAATTTCCCAGATAAGGGTTTTTCTATTTTATCTTGAAGGCTTATTGCCGTCGGCAGAAGCAGATGGGGAAGAAGAAAGAGAGGTCGGTGAACGTCTCCGGGAAGCCAAAGCATTCCCTCGACGTTAACAGGGATGCTTCCAAGGGCAGTAAATCCAACAATGGCCGGAGCGCCGCCACGGTCCGCCGACTCAAGATGTACAACACACGCCCAACGCGCGATGCCAAGGGCAAAATTCTCAAGCACGATCTGCAGTCAAAGGAATTGCCTAACACTCGTATTATGCCCGATCGTCGATGGTTTGGTGCGTTCTGTTGCTCTTACACCAACTGCTTTTCTGTTAAATTGTTCAAATTTGAGCGGCTCGCATCGATTTATATTTAATTTATGAAGCTATGGATGCAACTGTGTAATTTACACAAACAATTAATTGAATTTCTAAAATTGCAAAGACGTTATTTACTCGTCAATGAGTGATATAAAGAAGAAGAAGAAGTATTTTGTTTAGCGATGCTGTTTGGAAGAAATTTGAATATAACGCTGTCAGTTCTTTCATTAATTTATCTATCTATATTTTTGCAGGGAACACCCGTGTAGTAAATCAGAAAGAGCTTGAATTTTTCAGAGAGGAGCTTCAAACTCGCCTTTCAAGCAACTACAATGTTCTTTTGAAGGAAAGAAAGTTGCCTATGTCCCTGTTAAATGACAATCAAAAGGTTTGAACCACTGATTGTGAATATATAATTTGTTTGAGGGCCAGTAGCTCCTCTTGCATTCATAAAATTGTCTGATTTGGTTCTTTTGCATACATTTAAAGCAATCAAGAGTTCATCTCCTGGACACAGAGCCTTTTTCCGATGCCTTTGGTCCTAAGACCAAGAGGAAGAGACCTAAATTGATGGCATCTGATTATGAATCTTTGCTCAAAAGAGTTGATGGTTCTCAAGGTGACGGGGATATTGAATTGTCCCTTAGTTTGGTGATATTTTAATGAATCTTAGATAAAGTTAGAAGTTCTTTGGGTAATTTTAGTACTAACGGCTGAAATTTACACTGCAGAGGTCTTTGAAGAGAAGCATGGTGCTAGTACATCTGCAGAAGGAGGTGATGATGGGGCCAGAGATCTTGTCCGCCACACAATGTTTGAAAAGGGTCAAAGCAAACGCATATGGGGGGAGCTCTACAAAGTGATTGATTCTTCAGATGTTGTTGTGCAGGTAAATTTGGGCTGATAATAAATAGTTTTAATTATTTTATTTCCTTTAGTAATTTAATTTGGCTGGTTTCTGCTTAAGTTTTCTTGGTTTAATGACTTGGTTGGTATTTTATGCCTTCAATCATTAAGGCTGGAAATGCATCTTAAGAAGCTGTTTGTATATTTAAACATTTTGAACATTTAGTTTAGCCCTGACTGGTAAAAATTTGTTGAAGTGTGATTACTTGTGTTTTGGTGTATTGTTTTTTGATTATTTTATAGTTGTTAATGTGATGTTTTCACTGAAAAATAAGTGTTAATTGTGATATTTTTGGTGGGAAAATGGTAAATTGAATAGTTTGAAAGAACAAGTAAACAAACCCTGACTGCGAACTGCCTAACACGCCTAAAATGAAGTAGTAATTATGTCATGGCTAGTTTGAAATTTTGAATCTTTTAGCTGGAAAAATACAGTGAATTTTTAATTTAAAGCAATTACTATAAAATGAAATGCTATTATTTCCATATTTTTCTGCCTCTTTTCGTGGAAGTATATCTGTGATTGAAACTCTCTTCATATGCTTCTGTTCATGCTGCTACGTTGTTTTGATATGGATTTTTGTTTATTCATCAACCCATTTTTTATAATGTAAATTACTTGGAAACTGTCTTAATTATATGGCAGGTTCTTGATGCTAGGGATCCGCAAGGTACAAGATGCTATCATTTGGAGAAGCATTTGAAAGAGAATTGCAAGCATAAGCACATGATTCTTCTACTAAACAAGGTTTGCACCTCTTGCATATTGTCGTTGCATTAGTACTTTTTTCTTGTTGGTTGCTTAACTTTGATTGTTAAATCCTTACATCCGTGTATTTATTTGCAGTGTGACTTGGTTCCTGCTTGGGTAACAAAAGGATGGCTTAGAGTTCTTTCCAAGGAGTACCCGGCACTTGCTTTTCATGCAAGCATAAACAAATCATTTGGAAAGGTCTGGTAGATCTCATCTTAAATTATGGTACCAGTTTAACATTGGTGTATCATCAGCTTAAGTTGTGATTCTCAAAAAGGAGACCATCCACTTTCTACATTCCAATTTGTTGCTTTTTATGTTTCCAATCATGGTCCTATGATGAACAGCGGGGCAACTAAAGAAATCTCATGTTTTTGTGATAGAAGATCTAGTTTTGCCTGCATAGGATATAGAAATTATATTAATTTTGGTTAAGAAAAAAAAAATCCAAGTCATGCAGTTGTTGTTCTCTCATTACCGTTTCCTCCCTCAGAAAATTGAACTACCAAAATGACATCATTACCATTCAACATTTATGTAAAAATCTTTGTTTTCTACGTGCAAGTGTGCAAGTAGGTGTGTTAGTTAACTAGCATCAAAAAAATTTCTGATGCATATTTTCTGGATTAAATTTTACTTTCAGGGGTCCCTTCTCTCAATATTGAGACAATTTTCCCGTCTAAAAAGTGACAAGCAAGCTATATCTGTGGGATTTGTCGGGTATCCAAATGTTGGGAAATCATCTGTTATCAATACTTTACGCACAAAGAATGTAAGACACTCTGTACTCTTTTAATTTGGATTGGCCGCTTTTCTTTCTCTTGCCCACAATCCTTTACAAAGCAATTTGTGTTAGATTCAACAATGCTGGCAATTTAGCCTTTGTCTATGTTTTGCATACAAAGAATGTAGTTTTGCTTTGTATTTTCCTTACTCGTTTGAACCGGCAGTCCTTATTCATTCATTATGAACTGCATTGTTAGAAATTATTAAAGACTTCTTTTTCTTATTAATTTTTAAATTGACTGTTTGATAAAGACCTGATGGGTAAATGTAGTTGGAATGTAAGCCTCTTAGACCAGGAGTAGAAAAAGAATATAATTAATTGAAGATTAAGATGTCCTACTTCCAGCACTTCAGTTAGCTTCTCTTGAGCATTGAGGAGACAGTCCTTGTCCAGACTCCCACGAAAAATTGATTTATCTGTATCTAAAGAATATAATTAATTGAAGATTAAGATGTCCTACCGATGAGGTAGGTTCCAGCACTTCAGTTAGCTTCTCTTGAGCATTGAGGAGACAGTCCTTGTCCAGACTCCCACGAAAAATTGATTTATCTGTATCTAATGCTGCCTCGTGTTTTATTTGCTATAATATTACAACTTATTTAGCTCAAATGCTCAATTACCTTGCATGATATTCTTATATATCATTGTTTGACCCACTTCTTTTTAGTTCATTTGTCCATCTAGTTCTAAATTTCTAATAAATCTTTTTTGCTACTTCTCATCTCTGAGTGAAATTACTACAATGCTCTACATATGCCTCGTTTCTCTAATAGTTCTGTGGAGTGGAATTTGTAATGGTTTCATTCATTAGTTAAGAGTACTATGAGAACTAAATTAAACCATTCGTTTTCTTTTGAACGACTTATTACTTGTCGTTGGATTGTTTGATCATCTTTTACCTTACGCATTTACAGGTTTGTAAGGTTGCACCTATTCCTGGAGAGACCAAAGTGTGGCAGTACATTACACTAACGAAGAGGATCTTTCTTATTGATTGCCCCGGTGTTGTTTATCAAAATAAAGACACAGAGACGGATATTGTCTTGAAAGGAGTGGTAAGATGTTTGGAAATCTTTTATTTTTGAACCTTATTGTTCTATTCATCGTATTTCAGCAGATCAGGGGTGTGATACGGTTCTGAAGTATGAACCGGATAGGGACAGTTCCAATAAGATTTCATTCTTGAATAGAAGCCATTAAGGGTTTTATCTCATGCATATAACTGAAAATGATGAGCACTGTTGTTATAGAGGCAATCATATTCACCAGAATTGGAGGGGGGGTAGGGGGGTAGAAATCCTTAAAAAGAGAGAAATCATAGTAGACGAGCAACTTCTGTTGGGGGTAATGTGGGATCTTGTTACTTTATTCATCTTTGTTCCTATCAAGGGTACATTGTTGTGAATTTGGAAAAAAGATTTTCAGTGTTGCTTCGTATTCACATTTACAATGGCGTAGAGCTTATCTTTTTTTTTTTTTTTTTTGTAATTTTGTTTTTCCCTCAAGTAAAAGAGATTTGCTCTTTCAACTCGTATATGCTGATTAGACTTTTGTTCCAGGTGCGAGTGACAAATTTGCATGATGCTGCCGAACACATTGGTGAAGTTTTGAAACGTGTGAAAAAGGAGCACCTGGAAAGAGCTTACAAAATAAGTGACTGGTATAATTTCTGCTTTATGCTTCGAAGAACGAAAATTTATTTCCTACTTATTTTAGTACAAGTTGCCACCATTGTGACTAGTGTTGGTTCAATATTCTGCCATAGTAGTATATATGATGATAAGTAATCCTCACCCCGAAAAAAACTTATCCGCATTCTACATTCTAAATGCTAAAAGCAAATAATTGTTACACTAAAACTAAAAACTTGTGAGATTTTATTGGTAATCTTCGGCTAATATTTTTTCTAGGTGAATGAGTATACAAGTCTCCTGTTCTAGTATTTTGTATAGTCATTCTTTTATGACATTTCTCTCCCCACAAATATAATTTTACAAACTTATGCTATCTGTGATACCATTACACTATTTATAGCAGCTATTTATAAAGTTGCTTAATGTAACGTCATAAAGCAGCTTTTAAAAACTGGACAAGAAAAGCATATTTGTAAATTAAGGGCTCTTGCTACTTTTCCATAACAATTTACCAAAGGCGAGTTTTAACAACAGACATATTCGTTTTATTTTCAGGGAAGATGATAATGATTTTCTACTTCAGCTGTGCAAGTCGACCGGAAAACTTCTGAAGGTAATCTTGCATATCATCTTGAATATTCAGTCCTATCAGCTTTTTTTAAAGTCGGAACATTTATAGTGTGTTTGTTTGTGGGTTTTAGTGTGTTTGTTTGTGGGTTTTAGTTTCTGAGTTTGGATTTTTGAATAGTAAAAAATTGAATTTGAATAGTTGTTTGATGTAATATAAATAGAGGTTTGTGATGATTTGAATGTAAAATAAATTTATAGTATAATATAAAAAAAAAGTAATTGTTTGATGTAATATTTTTGGTAGAAAAAAAAGAATATAAATAGTAAAAACCTGTAGTAAAATCCACAAAAGAACACAGCCTTGGAGTGTACTTTTGTTTTTGTTGTCTTTTTGGTTTTGGGTGTTTCTGAGATGAAATTAGGGTCTGTTTGTTTGAAGGATTTTGTGGGATTTCCACTATTCCCACAAAAATTTTTCTCCCAAAAACATCAAATCAAATACTTAATTTTTCATTTTGTATATTATACTAAAAATCAATTTTACATTCAAAACATCACATCAATTATTATTTATATCACATCATACAATTATTCAAATTCAAAAAATTTTACTATTCAAATCCCAACTCAAAATCCAAACCCTTAAAACAAACACGCCCCTAGTTTTTTTATGTGAGATTTTGTATAGAAAATGTGTTCAAAATGCTTAAAAATAAAAATTTGAATAGTTGCACCTAAGTAGTTTTCGGCAGCTGCATATATATAGCTAATACTTATTTTATTTATTTTTTATTTGATCTGTGGGTAGGGAGGTGAACCCGACTTAATGACAGCTGCGAAGATGATTCTCCATGATTGGCAGAGAGGTAAAATACCATTTTTCGTTCCTCCTCCAAAGCAAGACGACGAGCCAAATGAATCTAAGGAACAAAGGAAGGCTGTGGATGATGACGAGGCTTCTGCAGCTAGAAAAGCAATCGAAGACCTAATCCAATCTCAGCAGATCGATAATGATCTTGTCCAAAAGGACCTTTTCAACGAGCAGGAGTTAACCGGTGATGGCGATACATCAGACAAACTCAAAGCCACTTCTTCATAGTACGTATTCGCACCTTAAAACTCTTTACCATCGCTGTCCTTTTTCTTTCGCACTGGAATTTGTTTTCTTGTTTAAGTATTATACCATGTAATAACATCAGCCTGCCTTGTTTTTCTAGCTGTAATGGCATTTATATATTATCTATCAGAATTTGATGAGCAGATCAGATTAGATCATAGGATTGTTATAGATGATGGATGAAGACAAACAAACAAGTTAACGAGTATGTTCTTTTTTAGTTTATTTTTTTATTTTCTGTTTTTGTTTGAATGATTTCTTATCATGTTTGTTGTGAGAGAAAAGTAAGAGCAAAAATCAATAATAGTCTCAATCAAATTCATTTTTTTACAATTTTTGGTCCCATTCAAAAATAATTATCAAAATAAGTTCCATACAAAAAATAAATTATGAATTTTGGTTCCACCATTATAATTTCAAGGGAATGTACTGACGTTGGCGGTAATAAAAGCTGATGTGGCATTGGATTTGAATTGAACACGGCCGTGTGTCCAAAAACATGCCCGTGTGTCCACCTTCCATACCATTCTTGGTGCTACCGCCATGACCTCAAAGTATTTCCTAAATCCAAAACCCTAGTCCCCGAACAAAATCAATCACACAAAATCACAGGCTTTCAATCCACCAAGCATACACTGCAAAATCGAAGGGAATCCTCTACTCGAAAAAAATTGCAATCACCAATTCACCACACGCCGCCGTCGATTGCGGAAGCAGACGGAAAGGGTTCAAACTCCGGAGACCGGAATCCGCTATCTAACGTCACGGTAAATCAGCGACGGGATGTCTTCCGCCGCAGCCGCAAGTGGAATTCCCTCAATGCGGCGACGATTGCCGTCGTCGTCGCGATGCATACACTTTGTTTATTCACTCTTTTCGCCTTCAATTGAAGTGTCATCGCCGTCGCTGTTGTTTTGTACTTCATCACCGGCCTCTTCGGAATCACTCTTCTTCCAAAGAAACTTCTTTCACAGAAGTTTAAAAAATCCCTAAATTTCTTAACCTCTCTCACAGAAGTTTAAAAAATCTCCACATTTCTTAAATAGCTTTTCGCTTACTGCGGCCTTCAAGCCCTTCAAGTCAATCAATCAATCGTGTATGTATATGTATAGATTTGTATATATAATTTTGAATTAGTAAAAAATTGCAGGGAAATCCTATAAATTGGGTGAGCACATACAGATATCATCATCAATTCTGTGATACAGAAAAAGATCCACACAGACCAGAGGGGTTTTGATTCAATCGCATTGATAATAAACACGGGCGTGTGTCTCAAACAACACGGCCGTGATTATATATGCTGAATTTTGTATTTTATAACATGGGCGTGTTTCTGGGTACACGGTGGGTACACGGCCATGTTGGATTCAAATCGGATGCCACATCAGCTTTTGTTACCGCCATGTCAGCACATTCCGTTGAAATTATAATGGTGGAATCAAAATTGATAATTTATTTTTTGTATGGGATTTATTTTGATAATTATTTTTGAATTGAACTAAAAATGTCAAAAATAAGTTTGATTGGGACTATTATTGATTTTTGCTCGAAAAGTAATGTATATCTATAGGAATGCTGAAAAATTTTGACTCTATAATTCCAAAAAATGTTGTATAGTGTGTTTAATTGATATATGTATATATGGTGGAATGTTTTGTGAAAAAATATATATACAACCTCCGGCCAGTTCTAAGGTTTACATTTGTTTTTTGCGTTTTTAATAATAATTATTATATCAAAATTAACAAAAATATTTATATTAGTGTTTTATAATATTAATATTTGTACAAAAAAATTACATAAATACTTCATCTATTTCTTATCTATATATCCGTTTATTTTTTGCACGAAGTTTTAGTAATATTAATATTATATTGGAATGTGGTACGAACAAAGTATAAAATACTAAAATAATTTTATTAGTATTGTGTAATATAAAGGTAATAACAACGGACTAAAATGAAAATATGAATAATTTGTTATGAGACAGAGTGATACTCTCTAGTCCGGCCATGTTATTTTTTTAATAATTATTATTATATTAAAATGTATACAAATAAGGGGAAAAAAGACAAAAAATGAATACTTTGAAACATTTGTAAAAAAAAAAAATAGATAAATATAAAAATATTTTTAATATTAATAATATTTTTAAGATAAAGTAAAATATACCCGTCTAATACGAACGAAAAGAGTTTCCTTCCTTTTTATTTTTTCGAAAAAGACATAGTGTAAAGTAATATTGGGATTTGAAGACAAGAAATAAATCCGTTCATGTAAAATGAAATAATATATAATTATTATTTATTAAAATATAATAATAAAAGTATGAGATGATAAAATATAAATAAATTATGAGTTTAGTGAACACAAATATTGACATAATTTTAAAGTGGAAGAGTATCTCAAAATCCATTCAAACACTGTCATGTTCCATTGAATTGAATTCATAATAAATTTTATTTTAATTAATTAGGTCAGTGGTTGGAACCTTGATAATGTGCTAAGGTAATAAATGAAATTCATATTAAATACTCCGTCTATCCCGTAACTATAGATTTAGTTGAGTTTGACACGAGATCGAAATTTAAGAAATATTGATATTAAATAATATATTTTTAATATGAGTAAAAATATTTTTAAGATTATACAATACAAAATAAAGAGATATATAATCAATAATTAATTAATTTATTAAAAGTAGAAGATTTTAAGTGCATAAATATATTAATTTCTTATAAAAAATAAAAAGAAGATTTATAAATAAAACATATTTTAAAATTATTTAAAATTTTTAAAAATAATTAATTGATATAGTATAAATAGAATATAATAAATAAAAATATGTACTATAAAATTTCTTTTAAAAAATTATTTATAGTGAAAATAATTTTAAATTAAGCAAACTTTCTATATAGATGCATGTTACAATGTCTCCATCCAGCTTGGATATGACAATGACTGTTGCTCTAATTATTAACTTATTTTAATTAATTGTTTTTTATTTTCTTTCCCATTATTTCGGAAAATTTTCGGCTTTGAATTTGATATTAAAATAAAAATAAATTTAATATTTATACTTTTAATAATAATATGATTGATGAAAATTAGTCTTTCCGTTTTATAACAGTTAATAGTTTTTATATTAATAAATTTATCAATTTTAATATATTTTTAAAATATAAATTAATTAAATTAAATTTTAACATAGTAAACGTCTCAAAATTCTTTTATTTTTATTTATCTTATAAATAATACATATTTTTACGAACATGTTAAAACATTTGTTGTAATATCGTTAACTTCAATCCATTATTTTTATTATTAGTATATAATTCATCCTAATTTATTTGTTTATAAATTTTATTATATAATAATATTTAAATGATATTTATTATTAATAATATATTTAAACTATAAGGTACTCCCTCCGTCCCAGAAAATATGAGACTATTACTCTAGATACGAGAATTTAAGTAATTAAGAAGTGTATTAGTAAAAATAATTGTAGATTAAGATTAACATAAGTAAATAGTTTAATTAAAATTAAGAAAATTATAAAATTTAAAATGCGATTAAAGTACATAATTATATTTCCAAAAATATAAAGGACAAGTTATGTGGGACGGACGAAAATAGAAAATATGGACAAATTATGTGGGACGGCGGGAGTATTAATTATGTAAATTAAGATATTTTATACTCCTTTCGTCTCCCTCTAGGATCTCATTTACTTTTTGCGTCATTGTATTTAATATTAAAAATATTCTTATATTTGTATAAAATTATTTTATAAATATTCTTCTATTAGTATTATAAGACACTAATTGAAATATTTTACAATTTATTCTTAATTTGTACTAAATTTTGTTATAATAATTAATATTCAAATATCAACAAACAAAGAGTAAATAGAATCCTTAGATACGAATGAAAGTAGTATAATTTTTTTAATAATTTTAAAATAGTATATTATTAGAATTTATAGGATTAATGACATTTTAAATTTGAAGGATTAAAAAAATTAATTGCAAAAAGCTGATTCAAAAACAAGTTTAAAAAGTTTTGGGTGTATTCTTCTACAAATTTTCAAAAAATATATATATATATATAATTATTAATTATATAGACAAATACACCCGAGTTTTCTTTGATAGAAACTTAATGCTTCTTCCTCGCCAAATTTATTCTTACTTTCATTTTTAATTTCTACACTAAATTTATTTTATTATTAATTTTGACAAAATCAACAAATCAACATTTTATTATTATCTTTCACGCAACACTTAATTACAACAAATACCACTAATTTTATTACATTTTCTTTTTATTTACTTTATTTTTTAATTACATTTTTAAAAATACGTTCAACTATCTATCACTTTTTCAATAAAATATATTTTTTTTTTTAATTTTCATGTCGAGCCCAAATAAACTAATTTTACTGGACGAAGGGGTATTAAAATTTTGATATAAAAAATTAGAAAAATTTAAATGATTGCAAAATATGCAAATGAAAATAATAATTTTAATTTTGAGTATTAATTAATTAATTAAATTATTATATTTTATCAAAAATGATTAGTAAAGTGATTGTATTATATGCTTTTATATAATACAGCATCATTCAACGTATAAATACTTAGTTAGTATTTAAATATTAATTATTATATCAAAACAGTAATATAATTAAAAAAATTACAAAAATACTTGCATCAGTGTCTTATAATACTAATAAAAAAATATTTATAAAAATATATATATACAAATATAAAACTATTATTTTCAATTTTAAGGACAAAGATTACTTCTATGTAGCAAAATCAAATAAAAATAAATTTCGTAATTTACCAAAATTTCAACGCCACTGTATTGAATTAATTACTTAATTTCATTTGACAATACAGAAAACAATTTCTGGATATTTGAATTTATCCTTTTGGTAAATTCCCCTATTCATATTAGTATTTATTATTATTATTTAAAAAGATAACGTAGAAACCAGCGGAATCATCTGGGCCGTTGATTCTCCATCAGACGGCTGAAATCAGCGAAGCAGACATACCCATCCCCGTTCCTATCCGCACCCCTTATCATGCGCCGGCAGTCCTCTAACGTGCACCGCAAATCCCCAATCCGCCGGAAAACGCTGAACAGCTCCTCCGCCGTGATCCGCCCGTCGCCGTCCGAATCAAAGTAATCGAAAGTGTCACGCGCCTCCGCTTCGCTCTCCGGCGGCGTGAACGCCGATCCGATCGACTGAAACTCCTCTAAACTGATACAACCGTCGCCGTCGCGATCGACCTCGTTAACCACCAATTGAAGCTCCTCCTGGCTCGGCGGCGGCGCCGCGGCGCCTAGCCGGAAAAGCAGCGCCTCCAGCTCCTCCTTCCGTATCTTCCCGTCGCCGTCGCCGTCGATCATCTCGAACGCGCGTTTGAGCTCGAATCCGACGTCCCGCGCGATCTCCGACCACTCTGCGGCGGCGGCGGGGATGAGGACGCTCGTCGGCGTGGATGAGCCTTTAGGCTTTTTGTAACTGTCCTCCGATGAAGACGACGACGTCGTTTGGGAGCCGAACGACGCCGCATCGGATCTGGAAACTGATCGCGATTTCTTCTGCCGGAAAAACCTCCGGGGAACAATCTGGACGAATTTCATGGCGGAAATTGGAAATTGCAGAAGAAGAAGAGGCGCAGGAGTGATAGGAAGGATCGAGGAAGGAGGCGAGGGTTAAATGCATGGAGAATTGAGAACGCCATTAGTGACCTTCGACGAAGCTTCGTGGAGAGAGAAAGCAACACTTAGCTTAGAAAACGAAGGGTTTCATTTATTTAGTTTTCAATTTGATAGCATACTAATTTTTTAAAAAATAGATTAAAATAAAATATTTTGTTTTTTTAAAAAAAAAATTAATATTTTATTACTAAATAAAGCAATAGGAATAAATCTAAATGACAAAAAAATAAATAAATAAATGAGAATAGATTTGAACGAGAAATAAATTATTATTTATTACCATATGTTTTTTTATTTGGAACAATTACTATGGTGATTTGGAAAAATAAGTATCAAATATATATATATTTCTTCTGTTTTGATTCAAAATATTTTCTTTACTATTTTCGTCAGTTTCAGTCTAAATTATTTATTTTCTATTTTAGTATAATTATACACTAATACCAAAATACTTTTAATTTTTACCTAAATTACAAATATATCATTACACATAATTACTTTTTGTATAAAAATCAAATAACAAAATTATCAAAATTTCTTACATATTTTCGTAAAATACTTTTATTATTTATAATTAACATAAATTAATTTTATAAAAGATATAAATTTTTTAATGTAGATAAAATATTTTTTTCAGAGAAAATATAGAAATAAAATTTTTTTAAATGAATTCTACATTATATATAATGTTATATGTTAAGTTGTTAATTAAATTGATTTATAAATTATTAAATATATTTTAATTTAATAAATTTTATTCAAAATAGAAAATATCATTTGTAATAATATATACCAAAATATAAGTAATGTCAAATATGGTGAGACTAATGGAGTATTAGTTTATATTTTAAAAAGCATGAATTATAACTTATACTTTCTTAATCATTTAAATTTATTTCTTTTTTTTATTATTTAAATTTATTTTTTCATTTTTAGTAAAAAAAATATATCACATTTTTATTTTATTTTTATCCAAAAATAAAAAATAAAAATATATTTTTACTTATTTTTCCTAAAATTTATGGTCGATCAAATGAACACAAAGTTAGATAACATGAGTGAATATATAAAAATAATACTCTCTCTGTCTAAGCAATAAATATATATTTACTTTTGGCGCGTAATTTAAAAAATAATAATATTTTAATTATAATAGATAGATAAAAATAATGTAATGATATTTGTGATCTTATTCTTTGATATAAAAGTAACTATGTAATGTAAAATAAAAATATTTATAAAAATAAAATAAAATATCTAATGAAATGGGGAAATTGTAATTGAAAATTTCAAAATAAAATTACAGACTATCAAAGCTATTTAATATTACGGTGGAAATGATGTTAGAAATTTCTGTTTAGTGGGCCTTTTGTCTGTAGCTGCTTTGTTCTGTTACAGAAGCTCCGGGATCAAAGATCCTGAACGGATCTGGACCGTTGGTTTGTAAGATTTGCATAATCAAAGGGTGTGTGGCTTCTGATAAAAAGAATCTGGATTGCTCCCGGGTTTGCGTGCCGATATTTTATTTTAGATTTTATTGTCAGGCCTAAATTCGTTATCTATTTCTTGAAATTGTGTGGAAATTTCCACAAAATATGTTCAAATTTTACTATTTATTATATTTATTTGAGGATGATTATGATGACACCACATACTTTTATTTATATAATCAAAATTCTACAAAATATTTTATAAATAAATATAATACAAACTCTTATTTAATATAATATATATATATATTTGTATGTGTTAAATAAAAATATGTATTATCATATATTGTCGATAATTAAAAGCCGTCTATTTTTTTTATTCATAAAATATTTTGCATAAAATTTATTTAATAAATTATTTTTATATTAATTAAATAAGTATTTTTTAGTATGTAAATTTCCAACCATGTGTAAACGTATTTTATTAATATAAATGTAGTTGTTCATTATATTTTATAAATAAATATTTTTTTATTGAATAGTGGAGATTTGCGTTTTGTTTTCATTTGACTTCTTGCAATTATTTTATTTTCTAGGAGTTTATTCTTCATTTACTGGTTTATTTTATTACATTTTTTTATTTGTTTGATTATGATTTAGAGAGTATTTGAGAAACAATTTTTTTAATAAGAGCTTTTAGCTGTTTAATTAGTAAAAAAACTAATTTATGTGTTTGGTAAATTAGTTTTTTGAAAGAGTTTTTTTGGACCCAAAAAGTTAATTTTTGAAAAGTTCATCTACCAGTTAGCTTTTTCATGTTAATTTTAACCCTAAACCCTTCAAACTTAATTATTTATTTTATACATATAAATATATTTTTATAGCAGTATTTATTAATTATTTTTAATATAATTAATTTATTATATTATAATTTTATTTTTGTAAATTTAAAATAATTACTATTATTAATTATTACATATAAATTATTTATTTGTAAAATATATAAATTTTTAAAACTAAATCAAATAGAAAAAACAAAAGTTATTAATTTATTTATATATTATAGTAAAAATATATATACAAAATATTTATTATGTTATATTTTACATAATTTCAATAAAAAATAAAAATAAATATTTTAAAATATTTTTATAATTTTCAATAATTAATAACAAAATTTCTCATAAATTTTAAACCAAAGAATAAAATTAAATATTTTAAAAAATAACATATCAATATCCTTAATAGTCATTGTATAAATAGCTAATATCAAAAAGTTGTTTTACCAAACACTTCAGCGCTTAATTGAATAAGTTATTCAAACAAGCTAATTGAATAATCTAATTGCTAAACCGCACCCTTAAAATAAAGTATTAGTTCAAATCTTTGTTTAAATAATATCTTAATTTAATATTTTACTCCCTCCGTCCCATGTAATATGAGTGTATTACTGTAGACACGAGAATTTAGATAAAGTATAATTAGTTAGTAATTAAGAAGTATATTAGTAAAAATAATTATAGATTAAGATTAAGATAAGTAAATAGTTTAATTAAAATTAAGAAAATTATAAAATTTAAAATGCGATTAAAATACATAATTATATTTCAAAAAATAGAAAGAACAAGTTATGTGAGACGAACGAAAATAGAAAGAATAATAAGAACAAATTATGTTGAATGGACAGAGTATGTGTAAAAATAATATATTTTAATGCCTAGTGAATAAAATATTACTATATATTTTTTTAGTAATAGTTTTAAAATAAAAATAATATAATAAATGAAAACACTCATTAATTTATAACGACCTGGAGTGCATTACCGTTAATCCCTCCACAATTTAAGGACACGTATATAGTACGGTTTTTCTTTTTAGAATTAATTATTTAAAAAATACTATTTTCCGTCCACCACAATCCACACTATTTTTATTTATATCTCTCCTTAGCAATTGACACCTTTCTATTTTTGTAAAAATTATTAAATCAAAATATATTTAACAAATATAAATCAGCTTAATTAACTATATAACATATAATATCATAAATGACGTAGATTCACTCAAAACCCCTTTGTTTCTATATCTCTCGTAAAAAAAATAAATATTTTTATTTATATTAAAACTACACATTTTTATAAAATGGATTTATGTTAATTATAAATAAAAAAAATAATTTTTATTTATTTATTTGTATTATAGAAGATTTTATTCTTTACAAAATGGTATCTATATTGCATATATATTATTTAATTGCTATATAATTTTTAAATTTTTAAACATATATTTTAATTTTTTTAATCATACATATTAAATTTACTTTAAAATTATAAATATTATTAGTTATACAAAAAATAATATAGTAATATCATAACTAATTATTATTAACTAATTAAATATGCTCACCTTAAATACAGTGTCCCTAATTAAAGAGTTCAATTCTGGTGGGACTGACGGAGTATATTGAAAAAATTGTTGAAAAAATAATACTCTCCCCGTCCCAATACAACAGTCTTGTTTATCATTTTTGTCTGCTTTAAAACAATAGTCTTATTTTCATAAATAACTATATCACCATAAAACTACCTCTATTTTTTCATTTTTATTACACAATTGCCATTAATTTTTACATTAATACACTCACGGGGGCAAAAAAATCTTTTATTCATATTTTTTACTTGCTACTAATATAATATCAATATTTTTTTAATCTCGTTCCAATGAAGACTATATTTATGGGAGGAAAGTAATATTATTTGAAATTGTAACATGAATATATATATATAAATTATTCTATGCTTCTCTGTCGCACACTATTGTTTTATTCCTTGTCAAATATTCCTGGAATCATTTTTATAATGTAATTAATCATTGGATTCTCAATCATTATTAAGAATGCTTAAACAAGTATTGTATGCATTATTTAATATATTCTCCTGTCTTATTGTTTTTTTAAAAAAATAAAAAATGAAAATTGTTATGATTCTCTATTTAAAATATTTTTATAAATAATTAATAAAGACAAAGAGGAAAAAATTACGTATAAATAAATAAAAGTTACAAATATTTTAATACATCTCAAATTAAAGTAATAACAAATATATTAAATATATGGATAAACTATTTTTTTAGTCTCGTAACTGGACCTCTTTATCATTTTAGTTTAAGCCTGTTGCAAACTAGTCTCATAAGTGAAAATTTTTCGCTGTTTTAGTCCTCCGGCGCCGGAGACGCCCGCGTGGCTCGCTGGAGGTGACGTGTCCGCCAGGTGTCCCACCAGGTCAGCGACACCTGGCGGACACGTAGATTTATTTATTTATTTATTTATTTTTTTTAATTGTAACAAATAAAAAAATACAAATAAAATTTAAAATAAATTAAAAATAAGTTTAAAAAAATGAAAAAAAATGAAAAAAATCCACGTGTCAGCAAGGCAAGCGGGCATTTTCAGCGCCAGAGAACTAAAACAGCAAAAATTCTTCACTTATGGGACAAGTTTGCGACAGGCTCCACTTACGGGACTAAAAAAATAATTTACTCTAAATATATATGTAATATTTTCTACAAATTTTATTGTATGTATGATTAGTTAATTTTTGTTTATATACAAAATTCAGTTATGTATGTATATAAA